AGTGACAACATTAGGAGATAGGTCATCAGTTTATAACAATGGAGTGATATAATGAATTCTGTTCTTAATTTCACTAATGAAATTGATGTTGTTTATTGTCATCTGGGAGGGGGGCTGCTGTGTCAGGGGAGCAGCAGATTATTGGACACACCCAGTAACATGTCAAACAAAGAGGGACAGGGGGAGGGAAAGGGTGAAAAATTGATTGAAACAGATGTAGTTTAGCTGAGATGGATTGCAAGAGGAGAACGTGAAGGTGGAGGTAAAAATGGAGCATGTGAAAATGTCATTACACAAAGATGATTCGATCTTTATAGGATTACTTTTCTAGCAACGTAACAATAATGTGTAAAAATGGTCGATGACAAATCCTGGTGCCACATTTATTAAGTTATGTGGCTGATTCTGGAACACCATAGAGCCATATAAAATAGACCAAAATAAACACTGATACATCTGTATGACCTTCAAAGCAAATCAGTCTGTCAGTTCAAAGATCAAGAAAAAGCTTGTGCGTGTTTTAAAAAATTCTGCCTGAAATAAATGTCCTATTCTTGACGACTATATACAGTATATTAACATTTGCTGTATTTGATGTTTTAATAGGTCTACTTTCTTTCCTTTACTAGCTAGAAGCAAAGGTGGCTAATCACAAGGAGCTAGTTAGCATGCTAATATTCCTACGCTTAGCAAATTAAATGTTTTCCATGTATGCCTCCTTACCAGATAATTAAAAACAAAGGTATACTTTGGTAAATAGCTTTTAAGCATGCTGATATTTCTGAATTTAAAAACAACATGTTCACTGTTCTGTACTTTCTTGCCTTAAATAATAAAAAGCGATGGGAGGCTCCAGGTTAATAGCTAATAAGCATGTAAAGACAAGCTTTAAATGGAGTAAGAAAGCTAACAGGTTATCATACTCCTTAATCAGAGTAAAAGGGGAAATACAGAAAATATTAGTTTCTCACAATGACTCATTTGGCTGAACAAACCTCTCCATCAGATATGTCAGACCTCCCTGTGTTCAGTGGATTTAAGGGGGGCCGAATTTCACAATATATCTGACCACAAGCATTCCTCCTCAGGCACGCTCATCCTCCCAAACGCATACCATACCTTCATCGATGCCGAGGAATCCAGGCTAGATCACACTCTTCCCATGCTCCCCTGCACTGTCAACTTCCTGTTTGTTTATCGTCTCATATTCCATGCTCCCACACTAAAATTGTATCGTACTCACTATTTGTGGATTAATTTCTTTAGGAACACGTTGCCAAAAGTGAACCAAAACTGCTGAGTTATAGAAGTGCAAACATGCCACAGGCCCTGTGTCATGTCACTGGGATGTTTTTGTTTATTGTTTAGTTTCTCAGACCAGTTTCCTCCCAGAGTCCAGCGTACTAGCATCGGTGACTCACTCACCATTCAGAGCCTGGGAAAACAGAGAGGTTACATTCCTCATAGCATCAGGAATGAAAGGGGATAGTACAGTCTCATATCAGATGATTCAAGCATGTGAATCAAAGACAGATAAGCTTTGAGATTTCCCCTACACTGTGACATCAATTATCAATACGCTCTACCTTATATGATCAGAAATGCTGAAGATGTCAAACATCTTTACAAGCCAGGTGGCAATAGAAAGATTCTTTAAGTACAGCAGCAAATCCTTGGTACTCCCCTGATACAAGTCTGAGTGCAGTTATAACAGATTTGCTTAGTTTGAAGAAGCCAGGTAATCCCTGTTACATTATATTGCTCTTATTACAACCGTTGTATTATGTGTAAAGTTAAAACAAAATATACACAAGAATAAAGTCCAAAAGTGTGATTTTTTTCACTCTTGTAATGCTTTGATATTCAGTAACATTAGTCATCCCTGTGATGCTCATATTCCACTCTCACAAACTTTAGCAAAGTTAAAAAAAGGGGTAAAATTCACACTTAAGGGATCTGTTTAAGCTTCAAAACACTTGGTCCTCCACTCCCCGCAATGCAAGTTCAATGTGCCCTCTTTGAACACTCTTCCTTGTTCATTCACAAATACAGATCTTAATTAATGCAGACATTCCTTTTTAAATTTGCTATCTTTTATTCCATATGGTGTTGTTATACCTGGATAATATTTATTTTTAGTTGTTTGATCTTTTATAAGAGATTTTTTAAAATTTCACATAGCCAGAGAGGACGTTTGGTTTAGGAGGTAGAGAGGACTATCTGTCAATCTGGTTATTAAATGGCTTCGAGGTTTGATAACCAGCTCCTCTTGTCCATACACTGACGAGTCTCTAGGCAGGAGAAAGCCTTTATTTCCCTCAAAGGCCATTAATGTACATTTGCATGATAATTTATTCTGTTTGAATATAATCCCTCTGCTTGTTTCTTTTTAATGTAAATGAGTCTTACTTAGTGGAGAGCTTCTGTAACATCAACTGTTCCAAATAAGCTGGACTGTGTCTCTGAGAGGTAGGGGCTATTTGCGGGTGAAGGGTATCTGAATACACCTGCCTCCACCAAAAACAACAAAGAGGGCTTATTTAGGGGGTTTGGTGGGGGTGATGGGACAATTCAATCTAATTACAGACTCTGGGGAGATGACTTCATTGAGGTGACGCCTGACCCTGGGGGAGTTTTTTTTTTCTCCTGTGTCTCTGATCAAATTAAGTGCAGGCCACGGGGATAACTGTAAATATGTCTGGTTTTTATCTCTGTAAGGTATTTAGATGATGTCTACAATGCTTGAAAAGTCAAATTAAGTGTAGTTATAGTGTATTTAGTGCAACCTGATCTGATCAAACTCTCTGAGACTGAGTTAAACAGCCTCTTTAATGTTTGTATTAGTCTCAGTCACTTCCTTTGGACCTCCACTCTTGCTATAATACCTCAGTAAGTGGTTTTGTCCTCGGTGCATTAGTCACTGGGTTTCTTTGTGGTTGAAAACATCCATTTTCCACAAGCTAAGAGGCTGCAAAGATGGTCTACTGACAAGCACTCTTCAGGCACTATCACACTCATAACCAAATTACAGGCCTGTGGATATAGTTCCTCCCCTCATTCCCGGGAAAATTAGTTGAATCCGACAGTGGGCTAATGATCCACAGGACTGCAGCCATTTGTTTTATCTAGAGCTCAAATCAGCTGCCATTAGCAAATTGTGAGCATCTTCTCTGTTTGTGAGTAAAGAGGCGGTACGGGAAAGGAAATTACTGTATTGACAGTCACTACTGCTTAAGTGGTCTGGACTGAAAAGCAGCATTTGTTGAAGTGTGTGCGCATGAGTGAGAGGGCAGCAGGCGTACATACACGTTATCAGCCCAAATAACCAGGGTTAATTGTTTGTATATCAGTGTGCAGTTCTGCATTACGGCATCACCCCCTTAGCTATCATTTAAGAACTTTCTGTAACCATAACGACGTACAAGCAGGCAGCAAATTTGACCTGGACCTAGCTTTGAATTTCTGTGTCAGCGCACTTGGATATAAATCACTGCCAGTGGTATTTAAGCCAAACTCAGTTTTTGTTTCCAATGATCTCACAAAACTGCATGATACTGCTAACATTAAAAAAAGTGGAAAATGATCTCCTCTGGTCCAGACTTGGAGTTACAAATACCTTGTCTACCTGACATTGTCTCACTACAGGACTGCTGTGTCTCTTCTCTTGAAGTATTGAAGCACCATCTAGTGTTCTTTGTAAGAACGTGCTCAGTCACACACACTCTGCCAGCGAAATTTGAATGTATGGACCTATATGTAAACACTTCCCTTGTCTTACAATAGGTCCGTCATTAGGTCCTGAAATCAATGTAAATATTTTAACAAATATCTGCATTTTACATGGCATTAAAACATAATTTCAACACCATTCAAAGCACAAACAGACACAGAGCACAGACCTACAGCTATTGTACGATGAACCGTTCCTGAACTGGATGCTTTGTTCTCTTGCCAGGCCCAACATAAAGGGAATTGTTCTCAATGTATATAATGCAGAGTATAACACCATGTTGTAACAGTTCTATGTTATATAGTGGCCCTTTTTGTTTTGCAGCTCACACATTTATTGTCAATCATTTTTTGCGTCTCATATAGAAATAGGAACATAAAATATCATTACAATGACAAAACAGGTATGTAACCTACACTCTAACAGATACAACAATATAAGCACCTGGGAAATCTAATGTAATCCAATACAACAGCTCAAGCATAAAATCTACTTTCACAAAGCCTCTACAGCTTTAGTTTGTGTTTGTCTGTTCTTCAAATCAGCTGTTGAAGTCATAGGAAGTGTTGGTGATGTATCGTAATATCTTGCTTCCTTCATGTTTGCTAATGAAGTGGACAAAATGTGAAGAACACCAGTACCTACTATTAACAACTTTAACTTCCAATAGTCACCTGTTTTAGTGCGTCAACAAGAGTTGAAAATTTAGTTCCTTTCTGAAAGTAGAATTTATGGTAGATCTTTGGTATTTGGTATTGTGTTCATAATGTCACAGTCGGCAAAAATTGTAATATATAATTTATTGTAATTCCTGTTTGTTTTCAGAAAATTTGAGAAATTTTGTTAAAATATTGCTTATTAGTTGTTTGTTTGTTAGTTTAAGTTGTTTTTCTCAGCTGTAACATAATAGGCCACTGTAATGTAATTTGTGAATGTTTAAGGGAAAAAAAGTAGGCTATTATATACCAAACAATTTTAAATCGTGTTTTGAAATCTAAAAGTGGACAGTTTGCGAAATTTTGCGAATATTTTTTATTCCATTCTTAATCTAAGTTTTCATACTCAATTTTGAGAGTTAGAAATAAAGAAAAACGATGCTATAATAAGCCTTACTTTTTTGAATTTCCCTCTTGTATTATCTATCTATCTATCTATCTATCTATCTATCTATCTATCTATCTATCTATCTATCTATCTATCTATCTAAAATATGCAGGACAGTATAACGGAGTAGCGTCGTTGAGAAAAACGGCGAGCTTTAGGACCCGGAGGACCACAGATGACAGTCACATGACGGCAGTGGAGAAGCAGCGGGCCGGACGTTCGTGTTGCTCCTTCAGTTTGCAGACATGCAGATGTGAAAGCAGTGGCAGCTGCACATACAGCAAAGTTCAGTGATAATGACTTAGTACAGTCTGGTGATGAAGTAGCTGAAGGCTCAGTCCTCGCAGGAAGGCAGTGGACATGACAGCTGGTGTGTTACTCTACGCTGCCTTTTTGGCTGTCAGTGGAAACTTGGTAAGAGAGAGCTTTACATACACGAGTTTTTAAAGAAGAGAAAGTCACCTGATCTCTCACGGGGCCTGTAGTTCTTTGTTGAGTCACGTACATTTTATGATAGTTTTATAATAAAGATTGATTCCTATGATTCGGGGCTAACAGGTAAAGAGTCTACAGACTTATACAAGTGTTACCCCTGAAGACAAATCTTATAACGCTGTTAATACCTGCCCAGACATGTGAGGTGATACATATCACACTGCAAACTTTCCCCTCTTTCAGGATAAACTTCAAAATGTCGTCTTTTTTAGGTCTCAGGAGATAGATCTTTCTCCATAGACTACACAAACAACTGTTTCCTCAAGGATGGGAAGCCTTTCCAGTACATCTCAGGCAGCATTCACTACTCCAGGGTCCCTCGATACTACTGGAAGGACCGGCTGATGAAGATGTTCATGACTGGACTCAATGCCATCCAAGTGTAAGTTCAACACTATGGATTAAGTGATGTTTTTACAACACTGTAATGTATCTTAAGTACTCTGACTGTACCTGCCCACAGATATGTACCCTGGAATTACCATGAAACAGTACAGGGTGTCCAAAACTTCACAGGAGACAGAGATCTGGAGCATTTTTTGGACTTGGCCAATCAGACAGGACTCCTGGTAATCCTACGACCAGGACCGTACATCTGCGCAGAGTGGGAAATGGTGAGAAAATCTGCTGCAAAGGCTTGATGTTAACATTGTGAGCACAACACAAGATTTTGTGGCATGATTAAACAAGTGGAACTAAAGCAAAACCGGTTGGTGTAAACTGATTCGAGACAGAAGTTCAAATTCTCCAGCTAAGCCCTTGTAGAACTGTCCTAATAAAGTTTGTTTAACAGTTTAAACACGTATACTTCGACTATAAAGTCTGAAGTCCAAGCAACTTTGTTCAAGAGTTAAAGTATAAGAACTTTGTATACTTCACAAACTTCAGAAGACGGATGTCATGTTTGTGTGATAAAGAGGCTGCTGCTTATCATATGACAACAATCTGGATATTAGTCATCTCCTTCCTAACTTCTTCCTGTCTGCCTTTTTTCTGCCATGTTGTGCATTTGATAGAAAACACCATTTTTAATACATCTACCTGAAATCATATTATTTCCCACTCAGGGTGGACTGCCAGCATGGCTACTTCAAAAACCAAATATCATCCTTCGCTCAGCTGACACAGGTAAAGCATGCTCCTGTTTTATGAAAATCAGTTTGAAAGTGAGGTTACAGTTTTTTCTCCTACTTTAGATTACATGCAGGCTGTCGGCAACTGGCTTGCTGTCCTTCTCCCCAAAATAAGACCTTGGTTGTACATCAACGGGGGTAACATCATCACAGTCCAAGTCAGTAGGTACTTTTTTTATCTCTTTTATGTGAAGGGTTAACAGGTGATAACTTATACTCCTTTTGACTTTAGGTGGAGAATGAATATGGAAGTTACTACACCTGTGACTATAACTACATGCGTCACCTGCAGACTCTATTTCGCTTCTTTCTGGGTGAAGACACAGTCCTTTTCACCACTGACGGAAACACAGACAGGGAAATGGTTTGTGGGACTCTGCAGGGGTTATATGCCACAGTAGACTTTGGAACAGGTTGGTACAAGTAGATGTAAAAAAAACCTGTAAAACAAGTGTTATTATACATGTTAAATTTACTTTCTAAAAATTTCTGAATATTTCAGACACCAACGTAACAGAGGCCTTCCAGCGGCAAAGGAAGTTTGAACCGACAGGACCCTTGGTGAGTCACATGTTTACTCACCTACTGTAACAAACACACTGATCAGACAGTACATATGATGTGGGAAATAACTGTATTAAATGACATTACAGGTGAACTCAGAGTTTTACACAGGCTGGCTGGACCATTGGGGAGATCAGCATGCTGCAGTTGATGCTCTGAAGGTCAGCAGAGCGCTGGGAGAAATGCTAGCCATGGGGGCCAACGTCAACATGTATGTCTCCCCAAATACTCCATTTTCTATTTGTAAAAAATATATTTATCCTTTTTTAACCATTCTTGCCAGTGTGTGCCTCTGAGCCCAAGGACTGTTCATTCCTTCATAAAAAAAAGAGATGATTAAAAACAGGTCACAAACACTATTTTGGCTCATTTTGTAACATTTAATTTAAGGGATCTTCTAAGACAGCTTAGCACTGTGAATGTCAGTCTGCAAACATTCACATATGCATTTGTTGAGGACTATTTTCAGTTGCAGAATATAGCACATTTAATGCTTGAGTGAGTAAACTGCAGCATGCAAGTTGCAACTGAACTATGTTGCTCTTAAAAAAATAGGAACACCCAGTGTTAATGTTTGTGTAACAAATCGATGTGTCGTTAGTGAAAGAGGAAATGAAAGTCTTCATCACAGAAAATAAGAAGAGGAAAATAGTTGAATATGTCCAGTTTTCCTGAGTAAACATCAATCATCAGTTTAAAATCAGACAGTTTCAGCCCCTGTCGTTTTCAGACCCACGTTTTCCTGGTGTGTAACAAAGCCTACTCTCTTTCTTTCAGGTACATGTTTGAAGGAGGAACTAACTTTGGCTACTGGAACGGTAAAGTCACAGGTTTAGATAATGTCTCTCAGTTTTGCTCCATCTTAGGTGAAGGGTAAATCTGAGTGTGAGATTTATTCATATTTTTGTGAAAGGTGCTGATTTTGACTCAAGATACCGCTCAGTAGTGACAAGTTATGACTACGACGCTCCACTGACAGAGGCAGGAGACCCTACAGAGAAGCTGCTGGCCATCAGAGACATCATTAAGCAGGTAGATCTCTATCAGCAAAAGCTATTGTGTGGATTAGACTGCTTCATGTGTCTAATATAACACATCTTTGTTCCTTATAGTTTAAAGATATACCCTCTGGCCCCATGCCACCAGCCACTCCCAAGTTTGCCTATGGTTTTGTGACCCTTGAAAAGGTAATTTATTCCAATCTTTGTGATAATGAGTTGGAAAGATTCTTGATCCTGAATTTAGCAAACACACTTTCCAGGTTGGAAACATCAGCAGCCTCCTGAATACCCTCGCACCACTTGGCCCAGTGAAAGCCCAGCATCCTTTGACGTTCGAAGATATAAAACAGGTACAAAGAGTTAGAAGGACTTGTATTGACAGAAAACCTCCTGAAACATGGAGAACTTCTACACACCTGACATGTCTTTTGTGCTCAGTACTATGGATACATGCTCTATCGAACCACGCTGCCCACGGACCTCCCAAAGCCCACGCCTCTTATCTCTCCACTGAATGGGGTTCATGACCGTGCATATGTGTCCGTCAATGGGGTGAGCCTTTACAATGAGCTTTTGTTGTACAGCCAATCAGAGGTTTGTGTCAGGTAGAAGCAAAACATGACAGGTAAAGACCAAACATGTTTGTAACACGTCAGCGAGCGCCGTGTCGGTAGTTTTTATGTACAAGCTCATGACAAAGTGTCTTTGTGTGTGGACAGATTTACCAGGGCCTGTTGGAGAGAGACTCTATTCTGGTGACGAACATTACAGGACAGCAGGGGGACACTTTGGACATCCTGGTAGAGAACATGGGCAGGGTGAACTTTGGCAGCAAGATCGACGATTACAAGGCAAGAAAACACTGAAACCAAGAGAGTAATGCTTGTTTTATGCATGTTTTCTGTACTTTCTTATAGTTTTCTTGTAGTTTAAACATTATTTCTGCATTTTACTGGTTGAACTACATTAGTTCATTGCAATTAGTGCTCATAAGTCTTTACATTTAAAGTTTTTAATTTCTTTTTTCTTTCGATCTGAACAGCACTTTATTTTTAATTTGTATGAAAGGTGTTTTATATATACACACCTTTTCTGCCCGATGTTGTGCAGCTCTTTTAAATCTCTGAAGGTGTGCTATATTTACTGAGCAGCAGATCTTAAAATCTTGAGTTCTGTAGAGACTGGCCTCTCTGACATCCAAGGGATGCTCTGTGCATTGAAAACTGGGGAATAAGGACACTAAAGGCCACCTTTTCCCATTGCTCTGAGTTCCAGCTCTGATGCCCATTGTAGATTCCTTTGGGGGTGAATAGGTTTTAGCCTGGATACAATGATCGGTCTGCAGCTACACACAAAAAAACTGGGATGTACAGTGTGCTATGTCAACTTTGTATCAGAGCCAGTGAGAACTTTTTCAGCAGTTTGAGCTCCAGTAGCTCAATCACCCATGACCCTGTATCCCCTTTTCTGCTCTGTCTTCGTTGGACCACTTGTGGTGGGTCCTTATCACTGCATCCTGGGGACACCTCACAGGAGCTGGAGTTTAAAGATGTGCAGACACAGTTATCTACTAATCACAATTTTGCAATCAAAGATAGTCACTCTGTCTGACTGTAGTCATAATGTTAAAATCAGACCAGTGTGTTTTTAAAGACGCTGAATGATTGATTTATATAACTATACTCACACAAGGAACAAGTATACAGTAGTTAAGGGTATGTTTGCATCCTGCAGGGCCTGGTGAGTAACCTTTACCTGGGTAAAGATGTACTGACTGACTGGCTGATCTACCCTCTGGACATTGATGGAGCCATTGCTGCTGGTTGGCCTCATTCAGACAGTCTGAAATCCTTCACCGCTCCTCAAAAGGAGTCTGCAGCAGGACCCGTCTTCTACTCAGGGACCTTACAGCCAAACGGCCTTTCATGGGACACCTTTCTCAAACTCCATGAATGGACAAAGGTAATGTAGATTATTTTGTGGGCATTTTGGTGGCAAACTACAGTAGCTTATCATTTCTCTTAAGGAAAAAAAATGCAGTTTTTCAGAAATTAACAAAATAATTGTCTCAGAATTATGAGAAAAAGCCTCATGAAAAAAAAAAAATTGGGAGGGTAAATGGTTATCTGTTTTCAGCAAATGCCTGAATATATATGGTAAATGGGCTTTCTCTATATAGCACTTCCTATGGTCTTCTGACCACTCTTACAGGTTTCATTCACTCATTCACACTTCATTCATGCACTGATAGCAGAGGCTACTGTGTTTAGTGCCAGTCAGTGAGAACTAATCCCAGTCAGGGCAGGGCAGTCTGGGGTCAAGTATCAAGTACCAAGTACCTTCCAATTTTACCACTGGACCATGTCTGTCCCTTAATTATCTCTCAGCCAGCCTGAATGCATGTCAAACTAATACCAATACATCTACCCTTTAGTTTAAACAGCTGTGACTGAAAGCATGTTATTGTGTGTAAGGAACAATAGTCATGATCTCTACATACATAAAACATCAGTTGCTGCAGTTTGTTTGGAACAGGCCTAAGTTGAAATATATTTGCTCTGTCACTATGAAATAAACCAAAGAAATAAATAAAATACCACCTGTCTTCTTTTAGACACGAGTGTCTTTGAATGCCTCAAACCAGAGGAGACCAAAATAAAACTGAATGAAACTTGACAGCTGAGGGCATATTTGCCTTCTCACATGGCCTTGAGGACACTCTCTGTTGGGACTTGGGAGCAAGTTCTGATATTCATTTATAAAGATTTTTGTAGAGCAGAGATCATTTTCTTGTCAATTCAGTAAAACTGTTTCCCTCGAGTGAATGTGATATGCTTTGGTAGCACATCAGAAATTCCCCTGAGGGTTTTTTTTTTCCTCTGTTCAGACTGTATTTCTTGTCTGTTATCCAGGGTCAGGTTTGGATAAATGGTGTGAATCTGGGACGATATTGGCCAGCCAGAGGCCCTCAACAGACTCTTTATGTTCCTGGGCCTCTGCTCAGCGCCGCCCTACCTAACAACATCACAGTGCTGGAGCTGGAGGGAGCTCCGGCACACCTTCGGGTCCTTTTCATGGACCGGCCTCAGCTAGACTTTCCACCTGTAAAGTCCTGACGGTGTTGTGCCTCTGGACGCTCTTAACAACATCCATAAACATGATATGTTTAAAGCTCTCTGTCTGGAATATTGTTGGGTTTAATGACAGTAAAGCAGAAGAAGTCCTCTGAACAATCTAACTAACATGAGGTAAAAGTTTGTTCTGCATTCTTTCTGTCAACTACCGTAAATCACTTCTTATATCAGTGTTTCATTGTAGCTAAATCACTATCAGTCACAATGCTATGTCAGATTTGATCCTCTCTGCAGCAGCTTTAGACACACAATAATCAGATAATGATCCAATACTTAGAGCTAAAGACGCACTGACACCTTCAAGAAAAAGATGACAATGATTTTTAAACAATGTTACAGTTTTTAATTATTATTTTTTACTTCCAAAATTGCATACTGTTATTAAATGAAACATGTTTTATGATTTTGACAGTTAATTCAGTTGTCTATGTCCCTCTGCCTCAATAAAATTATTTTCAAATGTATGCACATTATTTTTAGATTTGATATGAAATTTCAGACTTCATGAGGTAGCTTGCTTCTTGCTTTGATTTTTTTCATGTCTTGCCTTGAAGGTTGTTAGCTTTTCGATGTGTCTGCACACAGCGTGGAGTGCAGAAAGAATACTCCAGGTATTCAAATGGAATCTTCCCAAGCAGAGACTCTCCACACATCCAGCATCTCCTGGTGACAAACCCCCCCAAAAGCCCAGAAATTCAGTCCCATTTAGACATTGACATTTACACTGTGAATGTATCAAGTAAGAGGCTGGCATATGGAGAACTTACTTGACATTAGAGATACTGGCTCTACTTGCAGCTACTTGCTCTGCTAGCCTCCTCTCAGCTGCCAGAGCTCTCTGCAATCATAGAGAAAGCTGTGACATTTAAAGGATGGTCAAAGAGTTAGCATTAATATCAGGGATTAAACACATTGACTCACCTTTTCACGATCACTCAGAGATGCAAATTTCTTCTTCTCCTCTGCCTCCAGCTCTTGTTTCCTCTTTTCTTCCTTCTGTTCTTTCTCTCTCTGCTTCTTCAAAGCCTTGTGGGCTTTTTTCTTTTCTGACTGTTTGGATTCAATCTCAGCTGTTAGTGGCCCCGGGACCTTGGGTTGGATGAGCATAAAAAAGGTTAGGTACTTTGCTCTAACTAGAAGAAAAAAAACAAACATCTAAATTCAGACTTTGTCACCTTACCTGTGCCTTAGTGTAGTCATACTTGTCAGGATTCTCACCCATGTATTTACGAAAGACGTTCCTCGTGTCTTTATCAGGGGCGACAGTATATGGGGTCTGCCCTTTATTGGTCCTATAAAGACATGTAGCAGATAGATTATGATCCAGGAAATTCAGCACAATTTTGCAAAACACAGAACAACATTTTCTTTTTCTACACTTGACTTTTTTGGTACCTGCAGGCTGGGTCTGCTCCAGCATCCAGCAGTAGTCTGACTACTGCCTTTTGTGCAGCTGCTGAGGCAACATGCAGCAAAGTGAACCCTGAGGAGTCAACGGGCTTGTTAAGAAGTGTTAAAGGGCTCGGGTCATCAGGCAGGTCAGTGGCCTTTGCCTGCTCTTGCCCCTGACTCTCTCCTGTTTCTCCAGGTAGTTTGAGAAGCCTGCAGAGAGTGTCCACATCCCCTATCTTGCAGGCTGTAAACATGGTGTCTGTCACACCGTACACCCAGGACTCCTCCTCAACAACTCCTGTATGAAAAAAGAAGGCCTACTATTGTTAATACTGTTAAATAGATGGAAGAAGTTGTAGGTTTTGAGATTTTTTTACAGATGTAATGTAACCAATAATGATGATTAACATACTCACCTTCCTGTTGTTTTTTGCTTTGTGCTTTCCTCCTCTTTTTGCTCTTTGACTGTGTCTCTTGAGGAGCGTCTCTTACCGGTGAGGCCTCTGGCACCTCCTGTTCTTCATTGTCTGCTTCCATGTTGTCTGATTCTGCAGCACATGGGTGTGAAATTTCATAAAACTTGCAGAACCTCAGTTAAGATTCAGGGGGGGTGCCTTGAGTTTCTATAATGCAGACTAGACTCACCTTCTGTTTGCATTCTGCTGTCCTCCTTCTTTTTCCTCCTTCTCCTCCTGTGTCTGGAAGGGTAGATTTCAGACTCCCTAAGGTCCAGAGTTCCTAAAGTCACCTCCACCATCTCAAGCTGGATCTCTCCACCCCCTTCTTCATCTGAGCTTTCATGGTTTTCTTCTGATAAATAAAAAAAGTCACAGCAAGGACTAAATGTTGTGCCTACAGAAAATCATTTCACCCTCAAACTTTACTTTGAACCAAGTCAAAGCCCCATCCTACATGATCACCTCTTGACCTACCTGTCTCTTGATCGGTACTTATTTCAGCAGGGGGGTTGTTTTTTTTCTTCCAGGCCTTCTTGGATGGGCTGAGGACAGCTGACATGTCAGTGTCTTTCCCTGCATCAACATATTGTGCAGAGTATTGATTATACCTTGGCCGAGCAACAGTAAGCAGATAACATGGCATTATTCAAAGGTGATAATTTTACTCACCATAAATACGGACAGTGGAAAGCATGTCATGTACCCTCTGTGCTTCTCGAAAGGTCGCCCTGCGTGTGGCAAAAGGAAGTGTGCGGACCCGTGAATCCCTCTTATCCAGTGGAGCTGCACGCCCCCCGAAAAAGATGGTTTTATTGTAGCTTGGGGCTCGAATAAATATAGCAGAGGCCTCCTTTAAGTATTCATCCCAGCTAACCAGAAGGTCCTGAATGTCCTGCGAGATTTTATAAATAATCGTGTAAGCCTGTGGTTCAGACACACTAGAAAAACCAAACAGAACTCTAGAGAACTGGCCAAATTAATAATCCAGACACCTGTACATGAATCAGATAACTCAGCCTAACTTAACACTCAGAAAACAATATGAGTTTAATTAGAAATTTTTCTTGGTTTTCTGACTTGCTAACAGATTTCTCTTTTGGAAAAGCACCATCAAATTGTCAATGTCCCAAAAACTATCACAGTGCTGTCAAACTTTCATCTTGCCTTGACAAGTGCCGCCTCATTGTGACGCCGCAGGGCAGCTCCTGCAGACTTTGGGGTGTGACTTCGATTCTGAGAGTCCCTAAGACCTTGGGCAGTGCCTCTCTTTGCTCGCACAGTGTATCGGTGGAAAGTTTTGTGCTGAAGGACTTCTTTTCTGAAAAATAAAAAAGTGAGGTAAAGGTTTAGTTTGACAAATGCCTAGGCTGTTCTTTCAAATTAACAAGGCAAGCAATGACAGGCAGTCTGATGCTCTTTTTACATCTGGTGTTAGCAAAACATACTCTTACAATTAAAACAAACAAACAAATACTGATCACACCCTTGGAAAACAGCACCAGCAAAGTGGCCTCCGCCCGTCATGAGAATCACCCACACAGTCTTCTTATTGATAGCCTTCAGCAAGGACACTTCATCTTGATCATCACTGGTCTGGAATATTGCAGGAACAAAAGTTAATATTATTTACAAAAGAGACCCAAAGGTCTGTTGGATCAATCCTTATTCTGTTATTTATCTGGTGAGCTTCACCTTTCCCTGCAGAATACAGCGGTAGACTGATAGATACTGTCCTGGTGAGTTCTGGAAAACCACTTTGCTGCAGAGCCGGCCAGATATCAAACTGCTCTCAGTCGAGCTTTCGTTATCTGTGCTGGCGACATTGCTGTTTGTTCCACCACCTTCACTACTGAAATCCTCATCTTCTGAATCGGACTCGGAGCCTGAGATACTTGACATGTCCCCTGTGAAGAAACAAAATAAAGTCCATTGACTATCTCACACACTTAAACTGCAGGGCTGCTCCTCTGGACTCTGGCCTTCTCACCTGCTCCAGTTTTCTTCTCAAACTCCTCAGCTGTGAGCGGTGGGAGTCCTGACATTTTCAGTCTCAGGTTGAAGCGATGCCAGTCGAGCTTGTAGTGTTCCGTCTGATATTTAAAAAAGAGAAAGTGAGTCATGCCTGGTCTAATGTATATTAAGTATTTGTTCTAATTTGCTCAATGAAGCAGCATTCAGACTTGTGTGGTCACCTGTTCTTCACGGTTATTAAAGGGACACCTGCAGGCTGAGCAGATCATCTTGTCTGACACCTCTCTTAGCAGACTGGACTCCCTCTTTCTGTCATCCTCTTGAGATTTATCCTCCAACTCTGTGTGGGAGGTAACAAAAAGCTGTTTCAAAAATGGCAGAAATTTGATAATATCCAGAAACAGACAAAAACTAAAAGGTGAGATTCAGACATACCATCTAAAGGTGGGTGTGTGGTTGAAACCTGCTTAAGGACGGGGTCCACCTCTCTCAGTCCCAGCAGAGCCTCCTCATTCAGGCACAAATCAAAGATTGATCGGCTCTCCGTAGAAGTCGTCATTGTTGTTTCTGCTTTTTACCTGCTAAATCATCAGACACAAAGAAAATGAGCACGTTTGGCTGACATAATACAATATAGCCGGCTCCGTGTTCACAATAATGTACTACAGAACAATGTTGTTTGACGGGACACGACTGTCAACAGCTGAAAACTTCGATGATAATTTCACTTATAAGCTTGTGTTATCTTCGCTGATGTAACGTTACTGTACGCTCTTTGAACGACACGTGTAGGGACCAAGTCATCAGCCTCGTTAAAATACAGCTCTAGTAACCCGTTCAATAAGTAAACAAATTTAGAGTTAAGTAATTTTCAATGACAGATAGTTAACTCAGAAAACGACTTACCATGAGGATCGTGCAAAGCTGAGAGAAGGCACTACTGTTTCTTCATGACACGTCTACGGAAGCTCGAAGGTGTCAAAAAGGCGCTATCAAGAAAGCGTGCAATTCGTAATTACCATCAACAAGCGTGCACATACGTAGATCACAGTCACAGAAAATTGCGGTAAATACACATATTTTATTTGAAATTCTACCCATAGCTTTTCCTCTGATTTATTGAGTGGGAAATTAGATTAAATGACTTACACAATGGGACGAATACTTTCAAAAGGTAAACATATAATAAAAATATCAGTCACTTTGTCTTTGCCCTGTCCTTCTAATTTTATACTTCCAGATAGTTGATTTGTATTTTATTCATGTAGCCACTTCATCTACCATATGTACATAACCCACCTGTAATATGATGCTAAAACTGCATATGTGTATTTTTTTTTATCACTCAGTCATACCTCTGGACTCCTCACCATTGCACTGCTTCTTTAAACAGTTTTGAGTATCCAAGTTAAATGTCTAGTGTAAGCTTGTACACGTTTGTGTAATATTTCATGTTAAATATTTGTACAGAGAGCAAAGTCTACCAGAGTCAATTGGCTTGACTATGTACATATACAGGGCCAATAAAGCTGATTCTGACAACAGTGGTCAAAATTTGGTGAAATAAATCAGGAGTGAAATCCCAGTAGATGTCAGCACTTAAATAGTCAGAAAGGTAAGCTTCAAACCATCAACCAGAAGATTTATTTCTATTTAGCTGAAATAATTTAAACACATTGCCCAGAGTTTACAGTCTATATAATAGTAGAACCATCCCACATTCACCTTTAGCAAGTGTCATCTTATTTGTTTTGACTCATTTCATAACTGAGGTCCTTATCCAGTAGGGCAGATACATTTTCTCCCTACACTAGTATGATTGTGATTGCCAACACACCTCACTTTATGAGGATGCAAAACAGCAAAAATGTAGGAAAACTGACTCTTAAAATATACAGTACAGGCCAAAAGTTTGGACACACCTTCTCATTCAATGCATTTTCTTTGTTTTCATTACTATTTAAATTGTAGATTCTCAAAACTATGAATGAACACATGTGGATCATGTGCTTAAGAAAAAAGTGTGAAATAACTGAAAACATGTATTATATTTTAGATTTCTCAAAGTAGCCTCCCTTTGCTTTTTTGATAGCGCTGCAAACTTAAGCTGTTCTCTCAATGAGCTTCATGAGGTAGTCACCTGAAATGGTTTTTACTTCACAGGAGTGCCTGAAGTAACCCTGACAAGGTACTCCTGTCATCGAGAGCAAAGAGTGGCTATTTTAAAGAAACTACAATATAAAACGTGTTTTCGGTTATTTCACACTTTTTTTATAAGTACAAAATTCTACATGTGTTCATTCATAGTTTTGATGCCTTTAGTGATAATCTACAATGTAAATAGTCATATAAAAAAATAAAGAAAAGACATTGAATGAGAAGGTGTGTCCAAACTTTTGTCCTGTACTGTATATCTCTAATAAGTATATTACATGTACTGAGAAAGTATAACGTTGTTCTCTGAAACACAGCAAAGTCAATTACGATTGAGACATTTTTTTTTTTTTTTTACTAGACTGAGTCAGCCTGTGGTTTGATTGAATACCACTTGTGAAATTTTGTCATTTTTGGTAACATAGTCTATATTTGCTTATCTCCAGGGAGCTGCCCTGTCTAGTTATTGAAGTAAGTGCGTCAGGGTCAAGAAAAATTAAAAAATTTATTTGATGTACTAGAATAAACAATGCACATTAAAAACATCATACATAAGTTTAAATACAAGCAAAATGTTCTGTTCTCTTCAAAAGGATCTGCAGAGTTTTGGATTCACTTTTGTTTGTGTTGAGTTCTTTTAGATTTTCTGGCAGGTGCAGCAATCAAAGCTTGTGCTGTTTAAAGAGAAAGCCCTTGATTACAAACAAGTATATTTCAAACATAAATTATCAATTTGGAGAAGCCCCAAAACATTTCTTACCTGACATATTACGAGCTTTTGCCTCTGCCAAATGCTTCTTTACCTCCAGGATTTCAGCAGCAAGGCTTTTTGCTTTGTTTGTCAGGCATTCACTCCTCTCTTGTAAATCATTCCTTTGATTCATGAAAATGAAAACATGATAAAAAAGGGCAAAGTTTTTTGTGTGCAAGGCTATTTTCACTCTCAGTATTTAGCACAATCCTGTACCTTTCTGTAGACTCCTGACCACTCAGTTTCTCATGAAGTTGCCTTTCTTCGAGCAGCAAATGACCCAGCTGCTGCAAGACATCAACGACGGCATTATTTTTCATCATCAATTCCACCCTTTGCTCAGTTTCTCTGACACTGAAAGAGAGAAAAATACTTTTGAGAAAATATGAATAATAATAATTATACATTTTATTTATGATGTGCTTTACATCTAAGAAAACAGACCTCAAAGTGCACACAGTGAAAGGCAATAGTAGCGTTTTAGTAGAAGAGTTTTGATGTAAACACACCAAATAATGTTTAGGCTTGTATTGGTAAGAAATGTGGATGTAAACAATAGCTCAAGAAGTCATTGCCAAAAGGTAGTCAGGTACAATAGAGAAAAAAAAGACATGTCAAGCAAAAAAATACTGATTGATAATAAAAAGATAAGCAAATATCAGAACAGTTTGACCTTCTGAAAAAATAGGTCAAATGTAACAGTAAAAGTGACTTTGGTCAAATAAAACTATACACTGATTGTCAATAAGCAGTCACGTGAGGTCACAGGCAGGGAATGGCTGGGGAAAACAGATAAACCAAACCGCTGCTTAAACATAGTACCATTGAATTATCTCTTTGTCCGCAAAACATCTCTTCTGTCTGACCTCCTCCAGTTCTTGAGTCTTTTCTTGGATCGCATACTGCAGTTTTCTGATCTGCTCCTGAAATATGGTAAAACGAAGACCTGTTACAGCAATAATTTTAAGAACATGAGCTTCACACATAAGACCAAGCGCAAGTAAATGCATTTGCGCAAATGAATGTACATGTGAAGTCAATGCAAAGACGCGACTATTAGACACTCCTGCTACTTTTTTTTTCCTCTCAGACTTTATTGACATGTCAGGAATTACAATAAAACACAAAACGAAGAACAATGTAATGGCAGGGGGCGCCCCTACTACTCTGGTGGCGCGAATGACGCGAATAGGGCGTGAGCTGAAAATGTCTCAATTTGAGCGGATATTCGCTACACGATAAACAATCCGCACGAAGGTTGCCGGTGTTCTGCCGTAGAATGCACCCCTATCGTAGAGTGCATCCCCTGACGAGAGCGCAGTTGAAAGTACATAACAAGGCGAAATAATCCAAGCTGTCCTTGCCATTGGATGGATTCAAAAGTGTGTGCCTAAATGATTTTCAGATAGACTATTCAGATAAACCGAAAACAACAGCTCTCTGATTTGGAATATCTGCTGTCCCTAAAATATAATGTTCTCAACCTTGACAGCTTACTGTACAGTTTATATACCCAAGTACACCTCTATGTGTGCATTTTTGACAGACATAAAAACGAAACGAAAGTTTGCTGCTCCATTTAACATGTTGTCATACATGTTGTCATGATCCAATACTCAGTGTATTTTTTTTTTTAAAAATGAGATCATGTTTCTTCCACTTTAAGAAGGTAATGAGTGGATGGGATGCATTCTACGGCACAACACCTGGTGACGTATGAAAACGGACAGTTGTTCACTGGTATCTAAAATGGAGGACAAACTGATCGTGTCGGTGTGTGGGTGACCCGAATTATATGATACATTTTCATTTAATTACCGAAACTGAAATGAAGAGGCGCTAGCTTGAAGGCAAGTGAGTGAGAGGGTCGGACTACCTGGAAATTGTATAAAACCTTTGTCTATCACTTGAACCCGCCGGTTGAATTGGCAAGGGTTACCCTTGAAATTAGCATAGCATTAGCATATTTTACTCGCGCATGGTGTGAGCGTCCTATTACAACCGTGTGGGTAAAATGGGCTGCCACTGCAGTTTTTATTCATGAATTTTTCGATAAAAAATGTTATTGTACTTTTAAAAAAGTTTTAACCGGCTAATATATTAATATCCCAATTTGAGCAAGCCAACACGGTTTATTGAAAGTTAGCGCTACAAAGTTACTTAGCCTTACCGCAGAATGTCCTTGATGTTGGTTGGTTTGGCCACGATGTGCGGCCATAATAAAATACCTATCTTAATTCTCTGTCAGAAAACGAAATATCTCAGTTGTCTTGATGTGTTAAAGTTGATCAACCGGGAATCGAACTCGCGTTACCTGGTGGTAGGTCGTTATTCTTCTCTAAGCCCTCTAGTGGCGGTTGTAAACCAGTTTATGTTGCATTACTGCCACCAACTGGACTGGAGTAAAGAGCAATTTGGATTTAAAAGAGAAAAAAGGAATTAAAATAAAAACTCATTTTTCAACTACACCATTCAGTTTAAAATGTTTGATATGAAACCTTCACGTTTTTCTTTATTTTCCCTCCTTACCCCATTGAACCAGATACTGAGATGTTGCTTGGTTTTGAGCTCTTTAGAGACTGGGAAGGGCATTTCTCATTTTGGTATATTTTGTCGTAATAAAGAGGTACGTGTTCCATTTTTTCAAGGTGAATGCAGCGTTTCTGGTTGGTCACTTACTTATTTTCGGACTTGGAATCAATTAACTGTTTGATCAGTACGCTTGTAGAAGTTCATAAAGACAGCTTCCTGTTGAGTTAGCAGAGCCCGGATAGCTCAGTCGGTAGAGCATCAGACTTTTAATCTGAGGGTCCAGGGTTCAAGTCCCTGTTCGGGCGATAGTACTTTTCTCCCTTTACCGTACACGCCTGTCAAACATCTAATATTAGGGTGTGAATTTAACGTGTGGTATATCTCATCTGTTATTAGCAACGCAACAGGGCTCGTCAACTGATGTTAATCTGTGCTTCAGAATAAGGAAAACAGCTCTCCTGGCATATACACAACACATTTAAAGCCTAAAATTGTCTCAAACCTGTGCCAAACATTAAACCATTGAGTTTAAAGCCAGTCATTGCAGAGGAACTGTTATTACTCTGAGTGAGACCTCACATTATCTTAGTGTTGGAGTTGTTGTTTATGAAAGAATCAAACTAATTTAGAGATTAAACTCACTCGCAAACAAATAACAGTAACCCTGTAATTTACCTGAGAAAATCATGGGTATTATCTCAACATGGTGATTGGGAACGCCTATAAAGCTAGGAGTTAGTGCTGATAAAATGGCAATACTGAAGACGTACTCTATCTGACTGGCAAAGATGAAGCAGATTATCTTCTTGTGCTTGGTGTCCACCTATCTCTGCACTGTATCTACCCAGGTAAATATATTTTGTTCTGGATGTGAATATTTATTTTAATATGTTTATTAGCAGACTGCAACAGATTTGTCCGTCTTTTTCTGCAGAAATTTTTCTTCAGCCCAAAATGGGGCCCCATTGGCTTTAAAGGTAAATATAACTTGATCTAATAATAACCATTAATGGAAATCTAACAGCAGAAAAAGTGCGTATTTACTCTACGTATTTCCTTTTCAAGATCGTGCTGAACATGGTGAGAGAACGGCAATGGATGAAATCATTAAAGTTAATGAGCTGCACGGTAGGTTGCACACCGTTTATTTATGCCTTATTCATGCACTAACAAATGACCCCCCCTGTTGGTCTGTAATGCATAATTTTAATTCACTGGACTTCTGTTTCAGCTTCCAGAATTATCGACGGCACAACTACTCTCAGAGAGGGGGACATTGCTGTTTCTTCTGGGAGGCGCTCCAAAGTCTGCTTCGCTCGTAGCTGCCTCTGGAATAAGTCCATTGATGGACACGTCTATGTTGCATACAGGCTGTCCCCCGAATACAGTATGTTTTTTTCTGAGTATGGATGTTATGGTACAGTCAGTTACACTTGCAGACTCTGGGGTTGCCCGATGGATTTGAAATTGTCTGTTTCTCTGATTTGACTAAACAACAGCTGAAATGGAGGCCAAGGTGTTAAAGAAAGGGATGGAAAATATAGAGAAAGGCACCTGCGTGCGCTTTGTTCCCCGAACTCACCAGCAAGACTATATCGACATCCAACCAAAGGCTGGGTGAGACCCTCCGATATCAAAATTTTAAATCCCCTAAAGTTCCAGTCTTTCAAAGATGTTATTCACAAAAGAAAAGGTTGTCATTTGTAGAAATTACATGAAATGTAGGTTTTAAACATCTTAACCTTACATTTTTTTATTGCAGGTGTTGGTCTTACCTTGGTGCACGTGGGGGAAGACAGACCGTGTCGCTCCAGAGCCCAGACTGCCTGCAGGTCGGAGTCATCTCCCATGAGTTCATGCATGCTCTGGGCTTTGTGCATGAGCAGTCCCGTTTCGACCGGGACAACTATGTCACCGTCATGTGGCCAAACATCTGGAGGGGTAATTTCAAAGGGGAGGTGGCGTGAGGGAATAAGATATCAACAAGGTGTTATCTAAATAATGTGCTATGTTTGCTCTACCAATTTCCTAGTTTATACAGCAAATGAGTAAAGCACAGAAGACCCCTGACACAAATCCAAAGTTAATCGTCAGAAATACTCAATTAAAACTGAAAAAAATTCTTCCACAGACCGTTTGAGGAACTTTGAGAAATTCAAGACTGACGATCTGGAACTTCCATACGACTATAGCTCCATTATGCATTATGGGATGTAAGTTAACTTTAATCTTGATCAGTTTATTAAGATAAGTATTATAATGTGCTCCGTGCTTTAATTTTGATATGTTTATGTTTAGGTATGCCTACTCTCAGGACGGGGAACCAACTATCCTTCCTAAGAACAGCAACACCAAAGACATCAAGCTGGGACAAACTACAAGTCTCAGCCACATTGACAAGCTGAAAATCAACAAGCTTTATAACTGCGGTTGGTACTAAACATCCTGAATTAGGTTCTAGTGATTAAATAGGTCCTGTAACTCTACAGCATGTGGACTAATTAAAAGGAGATGCGTCATTCATTAATATTTGTTCGATATTTGTCTGCTTCTCTCTGTAGGTGACCTGGATGATAACTAACCACAGTGAACTGAAGTCTAACAGGAATATTCTGAAAGTTTCTATTTAAATTGATGTTCAATCATACATAAAATGCTCAATAAAGATTGATTTAAGCTTCATGTCAGCCTGTTGTCTCTTCTCATACAGAACTGAGTGCTAAAAATCATTCCAGATTAAAGGACGGTAATAAGTAGGGATTTTTTGTCATAATATAGGCAGAAATACATGAGTACAATCAATGAGCAAGGCCTGACTAAAATAAAGCTTTAATGCTGTATGCAAAGGAGCAATTCAAGGAGTTTCACTTTTCAAAGAGCTAATGTTTGGATCATGTTTGGCACCAATTTAAGGAACCCCTTTGATAGAGTAAAAGTATCAGATAAAAATAAAACAGATGAGAAAGTGGAACAAAACCTACCTTTATCATTTAGATCTGGCTATCAGGATCATAATCCATCCATATTTGAATCCATGCACCCTGTATCTAGATACAGAAATGTATGGCACAGCTATCTTACAGTCACCTCACAGGTAGGTTTCACAAACTGCTTGCTCATGATATTCTTTCACCTGCTTTTGCCCTTTAAATTGGCCCCTTGATAAGGACAGAAAATACTGTTCTCGATGGGGTAAGGTATTTTTTCTTGAATACCTGTGAAATGATCGTTGTCAAGACAGTTATCAGCTGATGGTTGATCACAAAATCACTGGTTTCCAGTTTAGTCAGACACAAATTGCCAGTCTCTTGGAATGGCTGAACAGCATTTGTTGAGGTGTAGTGCATCCAACAGCTAACACCTGTTGGTGTGTCATTTTTAAAAGTGCTGAATCGTGTGTGCTAAGTACAGGGCCAAAGTGAAGGTCAGCATCAGGACCACCTGTTGCGGATCAGCAGTGGACTTGAGATAATTACATACTCCGGATGATTAGGGGTCTTAATCATGCTTCATCATAGAACATGTGCCCGACTGGCACAGAGAAAAGGAGGAGAAGCGGGTATATAGATTCATAGGAGGTGAGGACTTCAGTTAGCTCTTGCATTGGGCTGAAACTGGTGGGCCAGGCAGAAAGCACAACAATGCATTCTACTACAATCCTTCTGTGCATCTTGTCTGGCTTGCTGAGCCAGGCATACACTCTACCAGTTAAGGTCAGTACTAAAAGAAAACTATTTTAATATAATATGCCTCTGTATGGTGTCATGCTTTGCAAAAAGTTAATAAAAAAATGACTTTTAATTGTGATGAACTTTGGTTTGACAGAATTCTACTGGAGTACATGAAGGAAAAGTGAGGCTGAAGAGGAAATACTCAGGTGGGCTCTTGAAGAAACTTTTAGGAGAACTCCATGAAGCATGTAAATATTACTCTACATTCTGTTAGTAACAATGTTAATATGGGAAGAAAACTCAATCTGACTTTCTTACTGTGCCCAGATGAAATCACAGACCGTGAAGAAATGAACGCAATGGACCAAATACTGGAGGTCAACAGGAGTGAGTAAACCATTAATCACAAAATGAAGCTGTTATCGGTCTTAACAATGTTTCTGATACTACATGATTGTTTTTCTCATCTCATTAGAGTTCCGGGCCCCTCGAGGTCTAACATTAAGAGAGGGAGATATTGCCAGCTCACATATAAGGAGCGCCATCACCTGCCCTGGCAATGCCTGTCTGTGGCCCAAAGCAATTGATGGATTTGTTTATGTTCCCTACATTGTCTCTCCGTTATATGGTAGGAATCCACACATTAAAACAGGTCTTGACATTCATGTAGAAGCTCAAATATTTCTCTTTAACTTGAGTTTTTTTTTTTTTTTTGATAGATGATATGGACAGAATCACCATAGAAACAGGGATGCAGGACATTTCCTCTTCAACATGCATTAAATTTATTCCACGCACTCATGAAGCCAACTTCCTGGATATTCAGCCCAGATATGGGTGAGTAGGCCTGTGTGGCTTTTAAAACTAGATTTGAAATGTACTGATCATGGATCTTACTTGGTGTTTTTGTATTATAACTGTGATTGTTTTTTTTCTGCACCCAGCTGCTGGTCGTTCCTGGGGCAGACTGGAGGGAGTCAGACCCTGTCCCTGCAGTCTCCTGGGTGCATGTGGTCAGGAGTGGCTGCTCATGAGTTCATGCATGCGCTTGGCTTTGTGCATGAACAGTCTCGTTCTGATCGAGACCGCTATGTTTCAATTATATGGAAGAACATTATACCAGGTAAAGTTTGAAGATACTTCCAGAGAAACTTTCTTCAATTAGTTAGTAAAACTTTATTTTTTTTCAGAAATCAGATTGAATGTTTTTTTTATCTTTGCTTTTCTGCAGACCAGATGCATAATTTCAAAAAACAGCTGACAAACAACCTCAACAGCCCGTATGACTACAGCTCTGTCATGCATTATGGAAGGTGAGCTGTGTGACAAAATAACAGTGATTTGACGTTTTGCTGGGTGTGACAGTGTAACAGAACCATACTCTGTTATACAGATATGCCTTCTCTGAAGATGGCGGACCAACAATCATTCCCAAACCAGATCCTTACATTCCCATCGGCCAGCGAGATGGACCCAGCATGCTTGATCTTCATAAAATCAACATTCTTTACAATTGTGGTGAGTGAAGCAACATCTTTGCAGACTGGCAGAAATATTTCTTACATTTGTATGGATTGATTTTTGCTTTTCTCTTCACCATAGGTGCCACAGATTAACTGGATCCTGCTGTTTTATCTGTCTCATTTTGGAAATGGCTGATCATAACCTCTGGTCTTGAGTAGATTATTTGTGCAGCTTAGCAGTTTTATTTTTTCTGCTTAATAATTTGAGAAATCACAAATCCTATTGTGTGCCTTTTGCATGGTGTTTAGTTTGGTCTGACAACTTTCTACTAATTAAAGCTACCATGAGGGTATTAAAAGGACAAGAAATAGCAGAGCAGCACTTTTGTTCACAAATTTTGTCCCTCTTTTTGCCACTTATCTCACTGCATCCAATTTCTGAAACTGTTTGTTCAATTCACCTGCTCCTTCTCTGCTTTTGCTTACTTTAAATAAAAAAAATGCAACAGCAAAAGTAACAGTCTGTTTTACATTTGTCACATCACTCTTTATTATAGTCTAAGAACTCTCTGATATCTTTTAAAGGGAAATTTACCTGGCAAGATCAATCTTTTCTGATAAGATCTGTGTGAAAATAATGATCTCTTAAACTTAATATGGACCCATGAAGAGCGTGTGAGTGTTATTTGAAACATCCATGTAAAAAAAAGGTTTTACTGTAACATTAATCCCAAAAAACTGCCAAAATTCAAACAACCACTAAAACAATACTTGCTCACACTTGTGGTCTTTAAGGTGCTTTCCTGTACCTCTGCCTCCTAGTGCTATAATTAGTTGTACATACAGTTCAGTTGCTATAACTACTACCACACTGGAAAAGACATTTCTTTATCCACAGAATGCCTTGTATCATTTCATACTGCTGTATGCAAGGAGAAAAAAAAGTAAAGCAAGTGTAAACATTAATATGATACAATCTCATACCAGGCACAAAGAGGCATAACCTCTTGACTGGTATTAATGTTTGGGACTTAATACTATCAGTTTACAAATCTTAAAAGTGGTCTAATTGGCTGATGGTGAAAGCGTCAAATGTTGAAACAGCGAGTGTATGTCTTTTCTTAGAGATAATCAATATACAATTATAGTGGTTTCAAATAATAGGAGGAATTTAGAAGATGCATTTGCTTAAAGGGATATCTGGCGTAAAATTGATTTAGGGTCAAACACACCGTAACACTGAGTTAGACACCCCCTTGAAAGATGAATATTGCCAACCACTTGCTTCTCTAGTTATACCAACTTTAGTAATGACCGCAGGATAGCAGGACACAGCGGTCTGAGAAGCCATAAACAAACCTCAACCAAAACACCACTCTATAGCCACAAATAATGCTCAGAACAGCACCTAATTTCATAAACAGTACATGTAAGGTCCCAGCCACAGTACTAGCCACCAAACATCTTTTTAACGTTGCCTAATTTCTTTAGCAAAGAGACTAAACACAACTCACCCACTCTCCTCCAGCAGCCACTTGTTTGTGGCGAGACCTCAGGCCAGTCCATTACGGACTGCTGCGGGGTGATGCAGCTCAAGGAAGAACATTTATGATAACTTCTTCATGGAAATGCAATCAGACCGAGACACTAAGGCAGAAGAACTACCGCGTCTGCAGTGCAAAATGATTAATATGGTGATTATCACTTCAAGGAAACAATAAAGAAATGATCATTAACGTTCTTCCTTGAGCTGCGTCACCCTGCTGTAGTCCGTAATGGACTAGCCTTAAGGTCTCGCTGCAAACAAACGGCTGCTGGAAGAGAATAATTTCTTTGCTAAAGAAATTAGGCAAAGTTAAAAAGATGTTTGATGGCTAATACTATGGCTGGGACCCTATATGTACTGTTGATGAAGTTAGGAGCTGTTCTGAGCATTATTTGTGGCTATAGAGTGGTGTTTTGGTTGAGGTTTGTTTATGGCTCCGTGGGCCGCTGTGTATTGCTATCGTGGGGTCGTTACTAAAGTTGGTATAACTAGAAAAGCAAGCGGCCGGCATCATTCATCTCTCGAGGGGGTGTCTAACTCAGTGTTACGGTGTGTTTGACCCTAAATCAATTTTACGCCAGATATCCCTTTAAGCAAATGCATCTTCTAAATTCCTGCTATTATTTGAAACCACTATAATTGTATATTGATTATCTCAAAGAAAAGACATACACTCGCTGTTTCAACATTTGACGCTTTCACCATCAGCCAATTAGACCACTTTTAAGATTTGTAAACTGATAGTATTAAGTCCCAAACATTAATACCATTTTACGCCAGAATATCCTTTTAAAAAAATTCCAGCCCCATGCATCAACTTCTGTTTTGACCTTTACTATTTGAAAGTGGCCTTGGTGATATAAGTGCCAAGAGTGCAGAACACAAAGGGCTTTATTTGCATTTGATATGCTTATTGTTAAATAATTTCCTCTCCACGAACGTTCTTCAATCGTGTTTCTGACTACTGCATTGATCTACATTAAATCTCAGACCCTCCCCTACCTTCAGACGCACAGCAGAATAAATTGAGCTGAAATGTGACTTTATAGAAATGTCTGCTCACTTTGCTACAGTACAGTACAGAGCCTTCAACATTACACGTGCCCCCCTGGTGCCCAGCATGCCTGAGGGGGCGGGGTATCGAACGTTCAGCGTAACCGTCGCTGCTGCAGCAGACACGGCCATATTGTTGATTGTAGCTGGGTGGTGGGCACGACACCCCTAATTATTTTTAGTCACAATAACTAACAATGAGCGATAACGACAAAGGATACGGCGAGCAGGTATGTGTGAAGCGCGTAAATTGTTGAAAATTGTGTCATATAATGGAGCTAAAGTCTGACTGACGCGTTTAATACACTGACCGACTGACTGTCCTCACGTTGTGTTAGCTAATGTTAGCTAGCTTGCTCAATTTTCCTTTCGATACCTGCAACTTGATTATCATCGACATCTCATAATCCAGTCAGCATGGCTAGTTACTTGAGTGTGCATATATAACTTTCAATCGCCCGGGGTTAGCCATATAGTTATAGCCATGGTATTCCTTTTAGTGAGTTTGTCGTTGTTAGCAACCTAACGCTGACTTTAGCTCGACATGAGTTGCTAACGTTAACCGTGCCCTGGGTATCTGTGTAAGGAGAAACTGTAAATTCAATATTGTGCTGATGCTAACCTCAGCCAATCAACCAACTATGTTTAAAAAATCTCTTGATACTCAAAGTCATTTATGGGCTATACTTTGTCAATGTGATCATGTGTAATACAGAGGTTTTATTTGTAAAGGGTTTTAAACTTTACTTAGATGCAACAGATGATCTGTAGAAACAGAAAGACTATTTTTATCGTCGATGGTAACGAGAATTTAATGCTCAGTATATTTGGAATTGTGTGAGAGTCTTTACATTCAGTATAAGCTCATTCACAGCAGTACTTATGGTTAGATCTACATTGTTGTGAATTGAGTCAGGTCATGGTGTTTACCGCCATACTGAGTACTACAATTGATGTTAAGAAACAAACACAATAGTTCCTATTTCTTTTCGTTTTACCACAAGACCGGCCTCAAGATTTCTGCTCTCTCATTTGCACAACAAGCTGAATTAAACTTTGTGTGACCCCCCCACCAGTCACCTGAACTTACATGTAAGTTAACACAATTTGCAAAATCTGGACCCTATAGCCTGGAACCAAGGCACAATATCCTGTTAGTTAACCACAGTAGAAGAAGTGTGATGAATTTGGGGTGAAAAATAGCACTGTTGGACGTAGTCTTACAGTTTGGGTATTAAAAACTAAATGCTTTACAGTAAAACTGCTTTGCTGAATTGGCCAGAACTTTGCTACTCCCAACAGTGCCTGTGTCTTCTTTTTTTGAACAATTGACAATTTACATCTTCCATATTTAACATATTTGGCTTTCTAGCCATAAATGTGCAAAAAACAGAAGTATTTACAATCAAACATGTACTATTATTAGCATGGCATAAAAACAATATAAGAAAATAAGAATACAAGTGAAAAACAATTCTATAAAATAAGGTTTGGGGATGAATTAAGAACCACTACGATACACCCCCTCCCACCCAGTCTCTCCTCTATCATATACAAATCATAAATTGACGAACCAGTGTTTTCTGAATTCAGAAAGTATCAGTGCTTGTGAGGCTAGTTAAAACAAATGTATGAGCAGCATCTTGAGGCCATTGGTCATATATTAGATATTTAGGCAAACGTAAAACTTTGACTCTTCAAAATTGGTTAGCATTGGGGTTTTATTGTGGGAAAGAATCACTAACAGTGGTCTGATACACACTTTATTGATTCATGCAGCCATGTAAAAACAAATTTAAAGGATGATGTATTGAAGAACAACAGAATTAAGTTTTTGGTAGTCATATTTTCAAACTTGTCAAATGTTTGCACCCATTGCAAATGCTTGCAACTTGTCACACTGAAAGTTGCTGATGAAATAAAGCTGTAAATTTCAAACCACTGTAAGTGAAACACTTTGGGTATTTATTGTGTGGTCTTAAACATTCCAATGCATGTCATAACTTTTGAAAATTGAAATGAAATGGAAAAAGTTGAATGAGGGTTAAGTTTTTATTGTCGTCATATATTCTTCATCCTTTTCTTTTTCATTAAGGTTAAGTTCGGACGAAGAAAATGCAGAAGAAGTCTCACATCCACTTAATTTTCAATATTATGAAGCTCTGATGTGTGAAGCTCAATTGTTTGGTGCATGCTAAAACATGAGGAGGGAAGAAGTGTGGGCTGTGTGTGAGATGGGGGAAGTAAGAAGAAGTAAGACAATTGAAGAAAGAAGAATAATGTGAAGTAATGAAGTTACTGAAATGAAGTTAAGGAAGAAAGTAATCTGGATAAGGTCACCACTCTAAGTAATTTTCTGGTCTATTTGTCATATGCGTGCATGTTTTCTTTGCTGACTACAACACACTAGATTCAATTATCACAATTTCTACACAACTGATAAGTTTTAATATGTTGACATGTACTTATAAACATACTAAATGTAATGATATTTTATCATTTAAAGCTACAAAAATAGAATTAACCTGCATTCCAAATCTACACTCCTAATTTCTATTCTTTCTCTACCTCTCACAGGGTAGTATTAATTCTTTGCTACATAAAATATTTTAGGTACATTTTTAAATTGAACCACTGGTCTGTGCTAAAAACTCTTGTCCTGGTGTGTGTGGTTCGTTCAGGAGTCTCGCTCTGCATCCAGGAGCCTCAGTCCACGGGGCTCCGGGAAGTCGGCAAGCCGCTCCCCAGCCCGCTCTCCTGCACGTTCAAAAGAAGGATCCCGTCACTCTCGCTCCAAGTCTCATTCTCGATCGAGGTCCAAATCCAGGTGAGTGAGTGATACCGTTTTAAAGCCTTTGGTGACAAAACACATCTTTAACTGTATTTTGATATTTCTTTGACCTGAAAAATGAATTCCAGTGACAGATTTTGACTGAACTGTCTCTATGGGCTCTAGATAAGGGATATTTGCATACCTATGCTTTAAAGCATCTAATCAGGATGGAGATACTTTTCAGTTATCAGCTGGAAAATGCAGAGGAAGCTGTTCCCTTTTGTTAAGTTGTAAACAAACATTACTTCATACCTACTAATATTTGCACTCTGTCCATCCTCTTGTCACAGATTTGGTTCTCCTCCTCTCATCTGTAAATTAAAATGTCTGTTTTCCTCCATTTGTTTATGCATTTAAGTTGAGTCTAAAAATATTTTTTTTCCCAGTAAAATTTTCATATCTGAAGCCCATCTTTTTGACAAATGTTTGAATGACTTAATAATTTATCAGGATAACTCCTCACAGATAACTAGATGAGTACTGTCAATGTTGTGGTGGTGGTTGTTGGTTGTAGCACATCTGCAGGAGTAGCTGTGCTTTTCCATTGTCAATGTCTTAACCTTTGCTGCATGTATTTTGCTGTAATTAAATTTTTTTTATGTAATGATTTAACTAATTTGTTTATTTATTATTTGAATTCTTCCTCTTCTTATCATTATTATTATTATTTTAGCCTTTTATTTATTTACTTTTATATTTTCTTCTATATATCAATATCATTACCATAATTATTATTAATATTTTTAGGGATGTAGGTAAGAATTATGGGGTCTGTTCTGGGAGGGGGTAGGGTTGGGGTGAAATTTGAAGTTCTATTGCTGTTATTGAAGTTGTATACTGTTTATGAAAAAATGTTAATGAGTCAATTGCAAAAAAAAAAAAATAATGTCTCAGTCTCAGCCATACTAACTTCTGTTTGATAGACAGGAACAATGTAGGCCCACTGAAAGCAAACTGACACAGTTGAAAATGTGCCCCCTACTCTGCTGGTTTGCTGCCAGGAGCATGTAGTCATACAAGCCAGGCTAACAGTGCCGCTTTTCAAATCTTTTACCGTCAAAATAGCATAATCCACCATTCTATGCTGGTATCAAAGTTAAGCAGGCTTGTGGTATGCCGTTTGGATTGAAAATACAAGTCTGGATGAGTTTAGCCAAATCAGTGTCTTGCAGTGGGTCTGTCCTTTGGGATTGCAGGAGGACCTACACACCAGTAACCTTCACTGTAGGAATGAAACTTGTCAAAGGAGGGCTGGGTCAAACCGTTCTCTTCTGATTTAGGTGTTTACATAGAGCTTTTGTCTGTTCAGGCTATTCAGGTCAGTGGTGGTCCATTTAGCGTTATTTTAGTCTTGTAGCAACTATGTGGGTTAAAATGACTCTTCACAGGTCTCATTCTCGTTATGGATCCCGCAGACGCTATAGCAGATCTCGCTCCCGCTCCAGGTCCTACCGCCGCAGATCACACAGCAGGTCCTACAGTGGAGAGCGCCGACGCAGGAGCCACAGCCGCTCGCCCATGTCCAACCGTCGCAGACACATTGGCAACCGTGTAAGTGTGGAGTGAAATGTATGCATACATAGCTATGTTTTTGGTTTTGTATGAATAATAAGTTGCATAAGATCATAGCAGGAACGTCATCTCCTTGAAATTGCAGGCTAATCCAGATCCTAACACCTGTTTGGGAGTTTTCGGCCTGAGTTTGTACACCACAGAGAGGGATCTGAGGGAAGTCTTCTCTAAATACGGGCCCCTGGCAGACGTCTCGATTGTGTACGACCAGCAGTCCAGGCGCTCTAGAGGCTTTGCTTTCGTTTACTTTGAAGGCAAAGATGATGCTAAGGAGGTACGGGGATATAAGCAGACAAAAATCCAGCTTTAAGTCTTACTTTTTGACTCTTCATGATCTTAACCAAGTAATTGTGTATTCATTCACTGTCAGGCAAAGGAAAGAGCGAATGGCATGGAGCTGGATGGCCGTAGGATCAGGGTCGACTTCTCCATCACAAAAAGACCTCACACCCCAACCCCTGGAATCTACATGGGTCGGCCCACATAGTAAGTGATCAAAATCACACTGAGAAGAATGCTTGAAACTCAAAGTGGTCATTTCCTGTTAGAGGACTTTTTTGAACTATCTTGTAAAACAGTGTAAAAGTTAATGTCTTACCAGACAAGTATCGAGGATTTTTAGTTATCTGGGTCATTGTGTTACCTAATCTACCACTTAACTGCTCTTGAGTCAGCATCAACATTATCATAAGACTGACAGCTTTATATTTATTTCCTTTGGCCTACTGCATGTTTATCTAAAGAAAACAAGTTCTGGGTAGGTAAAAGAAATCATGAAGCAGTGGGGGTAACCATTCCTCTCTCTCCACAATTTTTTGTGTTTTTTTTATCAACAGTCAGTCACTCAGCCTGTCAGTCTTTGCCCATGTGAAGTCAATCCTATACTGATGTCAAAAAGACAAATTAATAAACTGGAGGAGAGATCTTACAGCTTCTTAGTGCATTCTTGTTTAAAACTGCAAAATACTGAATCAGAAATTAAGATTTTCAAAAAGCTAGGAAATGTTTTTTTATTTTTTTTTTGTAGGCTATCTAGACATGGCTGAGCAGTCCCACTCAAACAGAATGTTAGATGCAGATTTTTAACTCTATTTTATTTGGAGTACCTTTTGCTAAAACATGAACAAAAACCTGAAGTGATAAGAAAGTAGAAATTACATTTCTAAAACATAAACTGACTTCTGTGCAGCGGTGGAGGTGGCCCCAGTGGTCCACGACGCAATTCACGTGACTATGACCGAGGATATGACCGTGGGTACGACAGAGGCGGTTATGATCGCTATGACGACAGGGACTACTACAGATCATACAGGTGGGTGTCTTGAGTGTTTTAGGTGCAGTGCTGCACACGCACGATGGCTGTCCATTTACACTATTTCCTTGGCTCATTTAGATGAGAAAATAAAAATGACAAACTACTAATGTTTTCTTGTTCCAGAAGGCGATCTCCATCACCATACTATAGAGGGGCTTACAGGTCTCGCTCCAGATCACGGTCCTACTCTCCACGTGAGTCCTACTGTAGATATTAACAGTTTTAATTCAGGAACTCAACAGGTTGCAATGTGCTGAACGGTGAATCTGTTTTGTCTTCCAGGTCGTTATTGAGAGCTCCTCCTCTGTCCATAGCTCAGACTGGAAGTGTTTCTGAATGGTATGATTGTTTGCAGAACAGATTTGTTTGTTTTTTTAATCTGAAGATGAAGATCACACCTCTCTTTGCTTGTGTATGTAAACAGTTAATGTATCTTGGGATCAGTTGTGCAGCTGTGTTTGTAAAATGACCCAAGCTGTGTCATGCTTTTAATTTTACCATATGGCTGACTTCAGCCATACACACACATTAATGTTTGATTCTTTTTTTGTATACAGATTTAGCGAAAATACATCTTGAGACTTATTAAAGGAAGATGCATTTTTTTCACTTTGGCTCATGTCTGTCCTTACAGCTTTTCAATACCTTTTACCATTTGCTGTTGTCAGACTTTTGACATACACCAAGCTGATTTGATGAGGATGATGGTAGGAGCTCACATATCAAGCCCAAAATCCAGTCAGACAAAATTGATCAAATCCACCAGTTTTGTGCAAGTAAATTATCCAGGAAAATTACCTAGAAACAGACCATTGTTTGAGCTAAATTAAGGTTTGACGTGATTTGTCTGCTTTTAAAAATCTGGAGCAGTGGTTGAAAAGATGTTGCTAAGTGGAAAGATTATGTTGGTGCTTATCTAATTCCATTAACCCAAAATATTTAGAAAGCTTCCAGACTCTGAATCTTTGCTCACATCTCAGGGTTTTTGCAGCAGCTGAAATAATTCTGAAACTAAAGGCATTTCAGCTTCATTATGAGGCTAATATTTACTGACTTGAAGCTAAAAGTATGTAAGTTAAATGCTGCTGTTTCAGTCAGGCACGAGTTAAAACCAGTCTGAGCGGACCTGTGAGGCTGACTCATGTTGGAGTGAATTCAGCTGAATGAGAAGAGTTAATTTCAATATGTTTTCTAAGCAAACTACCCCTCACTACTCTATCAGGGTACAGCAAGACCTGGGAAGGAGGGGGCAGCTGTTGCTGCAAGGGTCTTCAGTCCAACATCTACCCCTGCTGGTCACAGAGCGGACATAACTCCCCTTAGCATCCAAAACAAACAACACTTTTAGTATACTCATTAAACTCTGATTAAACCTGCGTAGTTTTGCACTCTCTGCTATTGAATGGAAATTAAAACTCAAATCCTCAAGTGAAAGGAGCTGCTCCTCTTAGAGCTAGTACCCTCAAATAATCTGCAAGGACCACATCTCTACTTCCAACAAGGACAAAATGAAGGTGAACAGTTCACGGAATTTGAATGGGATTTCACTTCAAAATATCCAAACCACTTATGAAAAAAAACCTAAGCAGCCCAAATTAGTTGTATAAATATCACACTTGTATTAAACTCTTCTATGACACAGTTTAAAAATCAGTAAATCCTAGCGTGTGTAGATTTACTGGTGGCACTAGCAGGACAAAAGGTTTCACCAAAAAAAGAGTCACTGTAAAGCGTGTGAGGATTGTTCAGATTTCTTTTATTCAGTGTTTGAATATTAACAAACATGTTGGTTTAATACAAACTAAAACAGAAAATAAAGTCCTTTGTGTCAGAGAGGGGTAATAGGATTTTGTAACCTGTTGTGGAATCCTATTTTATCCCACAGGGTATACAGCAGTACAACAAGACACTGTAAGCAGGATGTCAACGGCAATTAAATAATTAAATTTAATCCCAGTTTTTATTTTATCTGTGTTTTTGGGAATGGCCCTGTCATCTAAATCCCCTGGGCTGGGAGCACTGTAATAGAAATGTTTTATTGATGAATAAAATGAACTTTTCACCCTGAATTTCTGTTGAGAGGGAAGAGGAATTAAAATTGATGTGAGTAAATAACGTTGGAGAGTGAAAACAGTGGGAGAGAGAGAGAAACAGCAGAAATAGGGAATAACTGAAAGTGTTCAGATTTAGTTAGGCAAAGTCAAAACCACATTGGGAGCTGATTTCTTCCCTTTTTACAAGTCAAATGTTTTAATGATGTGGCTCTGTTCTCCCCTGACATCACGTTTCCTCTTCAGCTAATTTTACTCTCTGAGCTGAGATGATATTTGTTAGTTGCCCCATTTGTTAGCACACTGACCTAATTGAGCAGAGCATTTTAACAAGAAAGGATGTGAATGACCCTGAGCGCGGAGTGACATTTGGATCTGCATGCTGTGTCCACATTCATGAAAAAAAGGGGACATTTTACTGCTCCTTTTGTGTTAGTTTGATCATTTTTACACAGGTGACTAAATACACAAACATGTCAGCTGCGTTGAAATGAATAATAAGAGCAGTGGATGAGTGTGTCAATTTTTTAAAGGTGACTAAGACTTATCCAGCAGCAGTAAGGCCTGCGCACACTGTTGTTAGCATGTCATCAGGAAAGTAACTAAAGCGCTGTTTAGTAAATAGGGCACAGCTTGGACATTCCTCTGTTCACACACACACTCGTAAACAAGCAGAGGAATGGTGGTCACTCCTGCTGCTGGCACTTTCCTCACTACAGTAGGGTGGCAGTAATGTTCCAAGGCACAGGCCAGTCACATGTAGAAACACTCAAGTGCTGTAGGCTCAAGGCTCCTCCCCCTTGTAGGTACAAGACTACACGTCCATGCACGAGCACTGCAGCTGTGTGTGTGTGTGTGTGTGTGTATGTGTGTCTGCTGCCCTTCCCCTTTTTTTTCACATTTTAAGCTTTTGTGCAGAAATCCACCTTGCTTACTTAGCTTTGCTTTCCCTTCCCCGAACACACCCACGTACACACATGTAGATGTAATAAAAAAAGGGAAAAATATGCCATATCATGTGTGTACTCTGGAGTCTGAGCTCAGACTGACTGAGTGACACTGCATGGAGGGCGCTTTCCCCATGCACAAATACAAGAGAGGGCCAGGAATCCCCTTACTTCTACTTATCAGCTTCTAAAAATAAATATTTACTCAGTTTTACATTTTGCAGTGTGATCTGTTAGCACTATCCACAGGTTGAAATGCAGAGTGAAAGATGTGTCATCACCTTGAATTACATTGTGGAGTTGTTGTATTGGCTCCTGATAAGAATGAATTGCCAAGTGTAGATCTCCTAATTCCACCGCCTAAGGGCACAATAAACACAAATGAGTGTTAAGCAGTTTCACTTTCTCTTTTGTATTTCCAAAAAAACTTTATTTTATGAAGTGTTTCCCAAATATAGACAAATGTAAATAAAGTTGTTATGAATGCCATGACTTTATTCTTAATGGCTGCCTCCAAAACATGCGTCCATGGCGAGGTTTGAACTCCCAGCGTCCACCGTGGCTCCATAAATCCATATCCTCGTGTCAGTCACAAGTAAAGGACAAACTGTGGAGATCAGTCACACTGTTTGGGTCGACAACTCCAGAGACAACGACTTGATTTTCCACACAGTAGCCCCCTTTTTTTTTTTTTTTACTCAAGCCAGTCTGGAGGGACCCAAGGCACGGCCCTTATTATGATTTGATGAAATAACCCCTCTGCCTCCTCTAAGCCCATCCCTTTGCTGAATGCACCCAGTGATCATCATGCCACTTTCAGAGCCTAATGCACTTTCTACGCCGGAGAACCGGGAGTGAGCCCACATGCACCTCCAAACAGTTTTTCTTGTGATTTTAAGGGAGATTTTATTTAGAGGCGGTGCTTGTTGGCTCCAGAGGAGCGTCGTAACGACACTTTTCCCCTCAGTCCCTGTTAAAAGAGTTAGACCAGGGCCAGAGTTGGTGCTGGGGGGTCGCTTATAGCTTAGTGATTTCCTGGGGTGATTGTTGCGTTTTATTTTTTACACCCAGCACGTTTTTTCCCCCCATTTTATTTTATTTTATTTTATTATTTTTCTACTTCTTTGAATATCGCCACTTTCTCCCCCCTCAGATCTGAATCCCCTTCGAGATTTTTCCTTCCAGATCATGAACAAACTATATGTTGGGAATTTAAGTCCTGCGGTCACCGTCGAGGACTTGCAGCAGCTCTTTGGGGAGAGGAAGCTGCCAGCGGCCGAGCAGGTCCTGCTCAAATCCGGCTATGCTTTTGTGGACTGCCCCGACCAGAACTCGGCCATAAAGGCTATAGAGTGTCTTTCTGGTAAGTGTTGGATTTGATAAGTGATGCTACTGGTGACAGGGGGAAATAATTCACAGCGGGTCAAACTGCACGTTCAGGTTAAATACACAATAGCCCCGAGGTGTCCCAAATGTAAAAAATACTGAGTAGTAGCTTTGTGTGATTTTGTTTTTAATGCTTTGGACAATCTTTGCGATCATATCCGTGTGCCATCAGAGTTTAGATGAACGCTCAGTAATGCACGCTCCAAGAGAAATTGGATAAATGATCGATCACAGCATACACTCAGGGCTTTACTGCCCGTTTGCCTAAAGAAAACACGAGCCGTCCTAACGGTCTTAACGCGCACAATAACCTATATTTTGGAGATTCCGATAGTGTGGGGCGCTACTTTGCAATCACCCGCTGGAATGTATGGGATGGTCTGATGGTTGGGGTAGGCATAATTATTTTTCACTTATTTTTTATCTTGATTTTATTGAAGAAAGCAGAGCGACGCGAGCGCGGAAAACTTGTCAGATCCATGTTCCTCTGATGTCTGGCTATGTTTTTACGAGGTGTCTTGGAGGTGGGTCATGGGGGTCCGGAGGAAAGAGCTAATAAACAGGTAGCTGAGGGGGGACGAGGTGAGACGCTAATTCCGTGCTGCGCCAGGCAGGCCACTCATAATAGTAACGAAAACCCGTGTTCAAGCTTCGCCGAAGAGCGCTTCAAATTCAGCCACACCGGCTGGGGCAACACGGAGAATGAAGAAACACCTACCTAAGACAGAAAGAGTACAAGCCATTCTGCTTTCAAACCAGCTCTTCTTTGATGTTGCATTCTTTACTGAGCGCAGAAAAATACCCCTCATTGCACTGAGAGAGGGTTGTGGGAGTGGAAAGCATGGCTGCCCATTTCCCCCCATACTATATAAGCTTAACATGCTTCATTTTGGCGCCGATTCCCTCAATTGTGACCCTTAAAATGTCCCACTTGTGCTTGTTTTAATGTAAACATAGGCAGTTTGACCGTCGCCGTGCGCATAACGCACCCGCGTACAGCACTTTTTTTCAGGGGTAGCCTAGTCTGTTTGAATGGGGACGCACCTACTTGGAGAAGTGATTCAAAGTGTTGCTGTGAAGGCCTACCAGCTTGCATTGTTACTTTCATGGTACACAGCTAATGTTACACTATCAACTTTCGTCCCTACAGGTAAAGTTGAGTTACACGGAAAGGTGATAGAGGTAGACTACTCAGTCCCCAAAAAACTAAGGTAGGCCTACAACCTGACACACACACTCACTCACACGCACACACACACACACACACACACACACACACACACACACATATTGTGTCCTACGCCTATACTGTGCCCCATGGCAGACTGAGTGACCTGTAGGCTTCCGCTGTGAAATATAGCAAGCAGATTTCCCCTCTTTCTTTGCTTCTGTGTGTGGGTTTTTTTTTACGCAGGGTGGTGTTTTTTTACTCACTGGCGACGAAAATGTGATGGCATGGCGATTAAACAAAAGAAAAAAGGCGACAAAGAAACAGTTTTAGTCCGCAAAACACACGGAGGCTGCTGCCATATCGCGTGATCTGCAGTGAGGCCTATCCCACTGTGCAACATGGACACGCACACACATATATTATAATTGCATCTTAATTGAATTTCACTCAAACACTCAGTTAACTTTCACATGTGCTGTTTAACATGCCTTTGTTGGTATCTACATGGCATTTTTCTCGACATGTGGGCGATAAAGTTAGGTTTCATTATTGACTGTAACACTGCAGTACATGGTGCGTTGCATACCAATCAGCTGTGTCTCCCCTCTTCTTACTATAAGCATGTGTGTGTATGTATATGAGCAACACAGGCTCTATGTGTGTGTGCGCGAAGAAAGCCGAGTTGAAGGTTTGTATGGCCTAATCTATAGGTTAACCCTAAACTCCCCACCCACGGCACCACTGTCATTTTCTAGTGTTTCTGTACCAGCTTGTCCACCCTGTTTTAAACACAACATATCCACGAGCTTTTAATTCCATAGGAACAAAGGTTAAACAGTATTTTTCCGCCTGTGCGTAATGCGTAATACACTCCTACGTCTGTGTGAGATTAAACAGCCTATAGAGTGTCTGCACGTATAGATCCACCCTGTTTCACTACAATGCGTTTGGCTTTAGGGGAAGACTACATTGCGTGACAAAAAGGTAAATATTCATGCCCCTTGTGGAGGAGCACGTGACCTGTACTTTATGCTCCAGCATAGTCCTCCCCTTCACTGCTGCTACACTGCCCTGCTTTACTGCAGTAGCTTTTCACTGTTCTCAACTGTGGAGAAAATCATGTTTGTGAGAAATGTGAAGAGATCGGGTTTCTGTGTTATCTCCACGCTATTTCACTCGGTTTGAAGGCGCTTTTTAAGACGCAACATGGTGCTTGAGCTCTGCGCCACTCCCCACAGTTTAGTGTGCACGTAGGCCATGGCAATGTTGGACAGCCTCTTAATGGCTGCCATGATGGTCCTGCTCACTGCTCGGCTATAGGCGGAATCACAAGGAGCAAATGGCCATACATGTGCCTGCCTGCATGTGTCCAATCGGCAGTGTGAGGAGCTGTACAGACGGCTGTGCATGTCCTGAACAGGCCTTCAGAGCTAAATGTTCGCCATGTCAGCGAGGGCGGCGAGGAAATGTACAGGTGTTCATTTTAAAATGAATCCGCAGATTAACAGGGGGAAGAGAGCGGGTCCACGTGGACGTGGAAATCCGTTTTATTTGTTCACATTGTTATTCAAAGATTAGTCTATAATAATATTATACGATTCTATAATTTCCCACGAGTTTCTGTTTAACATTTACATTAATTTAAATATGGAGCTGAAAATGCCAGCTTTTGTCCTGCAGTAAATATTTGTTGTTAGAGTTAAAAAGAGGCAAATGATCAACTTTTTTAAATTCAACTGAATATTTTATTGATGTTCAAAGTTTTTAACAATTATTTTGAATTATTCCAACAAGTTCAAAATACTGGCATTTTACTTTTTAATCCTGCATTTATAGATTTATATCAAATCCAAAAAGGTGCTGTTGTGGATTTGGTTTTAAAATTCTGCATGGCTGCAATAACTGAGGAAAAGATAAACAGGCCTTTTATACAAATCAGCAATTTTTGTTGAGTCATTTGAAGCTCTTCAGGCCTGTTGGTTTTGTTTGGGGCTGTTGTAGTTTCAGCTGCAGTTTGCTGTCTGTCCTGTTTGTTGATATATTTTAGCTGTGTTTTGTTGGGCAATGTCTATATTGTGCTAACAGGTGTAGTTGGTTTAAGGATTAAATTGTGTCTTTTTTAAACCCCAGAATTATAAACTTATTTTCCAGTCACTGTGATAAAGTTTTGATAATTATATAGTTGATTTGTGTGCTCTGGGCCTTCTCAAAGCAATTTTACTGGACATGAAAATAAAAAAAGTTTCAAATTGTTTTAGTTTCAATGTTGTAATAGTTAATTAAATGTGATATTTAAATTTATTTTATGAGATTTCATATTTGTAGAATAATGTAGACCTCATTGCTTGAAGTGTTTTCAGACATAAATAAACTCCCTTCTTGATTTTGTTTGAGGGGTTGTTGTCACAGAAAATACACCACAGTTTGTTGCAGTCTTATTTACATATTCCAGGAGTAGTTTGAAGAATTTCAGGCTCACTTTGGTTCATTTAAAGTTGTGAAAAATATTGATTAAACAACTTGTTGTGTGAAGATAATCATGGTAGTAATTTGTGTCTCTTAGCATGAACTTATTCTGATTTCACTGCTGAGAGATCTGTAATTATAAATCAGTCAGCTGATATATATGTAAACATGAAAAGCACAACTTTAAATTACCTTAATTGTAATTACTAGAAGAATTTAAGCTTGTTGTGCAATCACAGTTTAAAATCATGTGCTAAATTTTTATGATGTACATAAGGATTTTGTTATTTATGTGGAATGAATTTGAATAATTATTCAATAATAATTTTGTAAATTCCATTAGATAAACATAAATTGATTTGCTGAAATAACCAAGTTTGTTTGCAGATATCTAGATGTTTTTACTTTCTTGTACATTTTAATGGCTGCCACATTTTGACAGGAGAAATCAAAACACAGCATTTCTTTTAAAAGTGTAAAGCTCTACACATGGATTAGCCCCTGCTTATGCAGCAAACAGAGTATGACTTTATGTTAATTCATATTTTCTTCTCATAAATTCTATTCAGTGTGCTTTAAACCTCGGATCATGTCAGTGACTGTGTGAACAAAGTGACTAATGTGATCCCCTACTGTGAGGAGGATCAATGAGTAGTATTGGATCTGTGAAGGGAGCATTATCGTCTCAGGGTACACACAATTTTGTGGTGTCTTCCTGAGAAACACACATGCTTGTTTACCTGTTTGTTCAGTTGTCTAGTATCAAATAAAAAAATTCTTCTCTCCTGTTTACTATCTTATCTTCACCTTCGTCTTAAAGCCGAGTAAAGATGTGCTCAAATAAACAGGTAATGAATTTCTTATTAGGTGTTAACTGTCAGTGTTTCACTCCACTAGCCTGCGTCACATAAACACATTTTAACTTTGCTGTTTAATGCTGCTTAATGAAGCTAAATTGATGTAGAAAAAAAAATGTCTGACGAAAGGATATCAACCAATACATGGGTGTAAACATCTGCATTGCACCATAGAGGTGCACGTACAGATGTGTGTGTTGTGTTGACAGCGCACACTGAATCAAAACAGCGAAACAGGATAGCCATCAGTTGATCCACTCTGAATCCATTAATACTCCCTAGTTGATCCTGGGTGAAGGAGAAGCTCTCTTAATCAGACTCTGGTTATGTCCGGAGTGATAGCGAGAGGTGCCGCTCTGCTCCCTTTCCAAATCCACATCTGCTGCGCCCTCCTCCTGACTCTCCGTGTCTCCTCTCACCTGTCTGTGAGGGGGATCACACCCAAGAATCTGGTTTGTTAAGAAAGAGAGCAGGTGTCTAAATGTCGCTCAACTAGGCTGGTTTTCTGCCCTGGGGAGCATTGTGGGAATCTTTTTTAATGCAGTTGACTTTCTGACATATGAAGGATTACAGAGAGAATCTGTATAATGTAAAACATCTTATACTGATCAGTGAAATAATGCAGAGTGAGGTTGCATTTCTACAATTTACGTTTTAATGTTTTAGTCCTTGTATTTAAATTCTAGGCTGCTCCTTAATTTGTTAAGCAACTGTTAACATTTCACAAAAACATTAGTGTCGTTTTCTCCTGAGGGGGTAACGGCCACACTCGCCCAGCAAAGCATACAGCTTTAAGGGCTGATGAGATAAGATGTGATAGCATTGTCAATTCATTGTACATCTGCCAGACCCATGGAAACACAGTTGAAGCTTCTACAGTGTCCAATAAATCTGCTTTTTTTAAACAAATGCTTGCTTGTACATCACAGCAGCATTTCTCTTCGTAAAGTAGTCATTCACATTCCTCTCCAACCTGTTGAATGACTAATAAGTTACTGCAGCATTACAAGCAGAAGTAAAGTGAGATCATGGATGACTCTCAGGAGCAGCAGGGAGGAGCTGCTGAAGGCGTGGCCCCGGATGAGGAGGATTCCTCTGACTGGGCATCCTAAGCTGTGGCTTTTCCTCTTAATTCTGAATCTCTTGAGTATAGCAGAAATCAGAGGAGTGAATATGTCAGCATGTGTTGATGGTTTCACCTGAGCGGCTGTGACAGAACTGGAGCAGCGATGGCTCATGTGTTTGGTCAGTGACAAATCTGAGGAGCACCATTCATACGCATGTTTTTGTGAACGGGAGTTTGTCTTCCTCTGTTTTTGTTTGTGACCTCACCATTACACATTTCCTCACAGTCTAGTTCTTTTTATTGAATGATGACAGTAATGGAGAGACAGCTCTTGGTAAAAGTAAAATAAACCCTCATTGATTAGAGATGAGAGACAAAAAAGCCTCTTTGGCTAAGACCGAGACACTGAGGCCATTTTTCCTCTCGGAGCATGTGTCACTGATTATGAGCTCTTATTGGCTCGTTGATGTCTGATTCAGTTATTAAAAAAAAGACAGGACATGAGTTTAATTTATAGAAAAATATGATTACCAATAAAGAATATTTCAGCTTTGACATTTAGCTTTCTTCTTGGCATGATATTATTCTCTTACACACTGTAACCAGGTGTGGGAAGCTCAGCTGTTGGTAAGAGTTGTGTATGAAATGGAAGAGATCAAAATCCCAATCCAGCACAGAATAAGCTGATATTGTCTGGAGCAGATGCTTGATGATGCTAAGCAGGATTTGATGAATTAAATGTGCATCATATGAATATTTAATGATTTATAAATCATGATTATGAGAAGCGCAGTTTGTACCCAAGTTCTTTTTTGGGGGAAGTAATTGAAGATGTAACAGCTGCTCTGCCTCTCCTTCCTTTACCATGTCCCTCTGTTGCTCAGTCTGTCTCGAATGTTGTGTGTGTGTGTGTATCTGTGTGTGTGTGAATGGTATAGTAGTGGGATGATAATATCCACAAACAGATATGTTCAAGGGCAGCACAGCAGAATTAGAAGCGCTGTGGTGAATACCGGCTGAAAGCTAGATGCCGGATGTAAAGTTTGGGGTTTCTCACCCTCCGTTGTCCAGGGATGCCCAAGGGTGTGGTCTCCATTAAAGGTTCGGTGGCTGAGTGGCACAGCAGGTGGCATTTCTCACACAGGCAGATCCGTCCTTGTTTCATATCAACACCATATAGCCTCACTGGCCAAGCTGGAACCTAAGAGCTTTGATGGGTTTTGAACAGGTGAAATGCATATGGTGAAAGCTGCAAACAGCCAACTAGAGTAAGCCAGGAGTTGTAATGCTCACATCGAGCCAATGCTTTGCAAGCGAATCAAGCCGTTGGGATCCAGGCTCATGAAAATGCTCAGTGACACCGAGTTTCAGATATAAATTTCAGATCTAAAAGATTCATCCAGAAAAAAACTCTCCTTTTCATGTCTTTAAAGTAAAATTCTGCCCCTCGTTCTCTTACCTGGCTGTACCTTTTCAAACAGGAATACTTGAAGAAAGTCTGCCCCCTTTATTCTACTCTTACTCCCCTCCCACCAAACGACTAGAAAGTGACCAAAAACTAAAAAAAAGAGACAAAACAGCAACAAGTGGACACACGAATGACTGCAAAGACATAAAGAAAACACCTTCAGACGCTGAAAATACCAAGTCACAGAGAAGACAAAGAAAATAAAAAGCAATGGCTACAAAGAGAGACAAAACAAAAACCAAGAGAGAATTTACTACTACATTTATCCAAACAGCTGAAAGTTCAAGTTGAAGAAGTACACAAAATTACAACTATGACTTAAAACAACAGTACAAAGAAAGAAAAGTCAGAGAGACGTGGAAAAAAACAACAACCCAAAAAGTTACCTTAAAGTTAGAGTTAACTTAAAAGATACACACAGTGAGATCAAAAAGAAGTAAAACCAAAGACAAAACTTCTCAAAAAGTCAAAATAAGTAAACTACCACAGAAAAAAAACAAACATTTACTTCAGCAAAAGTCAAACAGTTGAAAAGGCATAAAAAATGACCACTAAGTGACGCAAACCTAAAAGAGACAAAAAACAACTATGACCAAGAGACAAAAAATCCCAGTGAAGAGGCAGCAGAGAGACAAAGAGCTACAAAGAGACAAACTTAATTACCAATTGAAACAAAAAAGAGACAAAAAACAAAACCAAAAAAATTCAACAGAAAGTGAAATAAAGTGATGATCAGAAAAACAAGTATGAGCATTAAGAGACACAGAGGACAGCAAAAAGCCCCCAACTACGAACAGTCAAAACAACAACAACAAAGACCCCAGAGACCACAAACTGACACCAAACACCCAACATCAGAATCAACCAGGGAGCCATTTTTTAAATAATCGACTTTTGGTTATTCAGAGCTATTTAGTCCAAATACTGGCTTTACTTCACCTGCTGTGAACATAAAGGATACTTTCCCTCCAAAACCAATATTACACACACCCATGTTAAAGACACACTAACACAGTCACACAGCCACCTGCAGAGCAACATGCTGTACATGTATCTCTTGTTTAGGGAGTTATTGTGTCAAAGAAATCACAGTGTTGTCCGTTGTGTCTCAGCCAAGAACCGATTGATGAACTTGACCATAGTCAAATTTCTAAACCATCACAGACACGCCCTCACTGGTGATGTCTGTGATGAAGACAATCAGGTACTTGGTTTGAAACAGAAGGTAAAATGGTGGTAAGAATCCCTGTCATTGTGTGTACAGTGAAGTTTTGTCTACAGCGAGTAGTCTCCCGTGTAGGTGTAATAATCTCTTTTGATATCTGATTTTTAATGTCAGCTCTTTGAGGAGCAGCTCCGCAGAAAGATTCGCTCTTGTGACATTTACAGCGTCTTGATGTGGGAGCAAAACTGTCCCATTGTGCTCGTGAATGTGTGTGTCCATGTGTACTTACAGGTCGGACTGTGTTCAGATCCAACTGTTTCAGGTTAGGTTCTCCTCGTTGCTATGGGAACCGGTTTTGAGTATTTTGCTTGGTGATAGGAGGAGAAATGCTTCAAAAAATGAACCCAACGTCCTCCAGTGTGCAGAACACCACAGGAAAAAAAAATCAACACCATAAGTTGAGATTTCTGCATGTGACACTTAAGATTCCTCCTTCAAGTGATGATTATGATATCTTTTCATATCTCTGTCGGATCCTTTGATTACAGCTTAAAATTGTCATGAACTGCTGTCAGTTTGGAGACCCTGTAATTTCCACCACTTCCCAGGAAAGTGGAGACTGCCGATTGGTTATAGCTGCAAGCCCCTGTGTGCAGGCCAGCCATGTGTCTGTGGTTTACTCTATGGGTGGTGCTGATTTTATATCTCAACAAATACATCGCCCGGTAAGGTGCCTGCTTAAAAAAAATAATAATTCAGCTCAATCCTTGAAGTGTATTTTTTTCCTTACAAAAAAAGGGAGCTCTGCTGAGTGGGCTGTCCGTCCATGTCACAGACGCAGCCCTTTAGTGACCTTTCTTATTCACAAACCCACTCAGAGCCAACATTTCTATCCTTTTCCATATGTATGCAACGGAAGCGTGGAAACCCCCTCCTCTAAACCGAACAAGTCATCTACAGTAAGGCCGGCACACAGCTGAGCCTACGACACAACCTGCAGCACAGTCTGATCATTGTGTTTCCTCTGTTTCATGACGGAAGAGGAAGACATGGAGAGGACTCACAGAGTCTGAGTTACGTGAATGCGTAAGCTCCTTTCCTCTCAGTGTGGTTGTGTGTTTGTGTGTGTGTTCCTGTGTGGGCAGAAATGAGCACAGCTGATAGAGGGCAGCATTTCTTCCCCCTGTAAAGCGAGGCTCTCTCTCTGTGTATGTGTATGTGTTTGTTTGTTTGTGTGTGTGTGTGTGTGTCTCCTTCTGCAAACTGTTAGAACTCTCTTCACAATTCATTTTAATTCAAGGGCTTTTATTGGCAGGAGTACATTTAATAAAACAGTATTGCCAAAGCACAATTACGTTTACATTTGTGTATGACTTCAAAATAATTGCAAAGGAAAATTTGATTAAAAATCCCAAATCAAAGCGCAGGTTTCAAAATATTTGTTCAATGCGTAGGATTTCTGTTTGCAGATTTAAAACGGGCAAAAAATACTAAATCAAGGCTATTTCTAAGATTTAATTACTCTAATGGGTTTGTTCTCTGATTCACAGCCATGTAGGAAAATTTACTGAGAGCAATAAATTACACACAGATACTCGCTTTGATGAAAAAGATATTTTTATTTATCTTAGGAAAGTATTTTACTCTTAATTGACCCCAAAACTCTTTTTCTTAAACAACAAATATCAACTTTTTTTCAAAACAGAGGGAAAAATAGGTTTCAAATGTGACACTGGGCTGCTCTGCTCATTTTGGACTCAATTGTAGCAGACAAATAAAAAGTTAGTCATTTTTAAAGCAAGCATTGTTGTAATGTGAGGTGTCAGGTGCACTGTGGAAACTGCTGATTTGTGTTTGTTATGTTTTATGCCGCCTCATTTCAAAGTCCTGTTACACTGAATTGAAGACGGGGAAAATAAAAGTTTAATTGGCTTTCTGAATGTTGTTATAAATCATAAGAGATACCAGGGGCCGTATGTAAAAGTCTCTCAGGTCTGATCTGACCGCTGAGCTGCTTGTTTGTTTGTGTATTAAATATGAGGCTTACACGTTATTAGTGTGCGAGCTTACTCTTGGCAAGACTCAGATCAGAGTGTTCTGGTGTTGAAGTATTTATGTAGTGAATTTGCTCTTTCTTATCACCTGATTGTTTAGTTTTCTTTGGTCACCTAGGTATTCAACTAATCTTGAGTTCTTGTAGGACTGAGCCAGGCAGTGGCTTTAGTCAGGAATATGCCATAAAACCTGTTGTGTCACACATCTGTGCGTGATCTTCTTGACTACGATTGCTGAGCTCAGAGATAAGTGGAGTAATGAAGAGGGGAGCTGGGCAGGTGCTGGAGAGAAGGATGGCTCCCTTCACCTCCCTGCCAAGTGACCCAGCACATGCCAACAGCCAGCCCCACACCATGTGAGGTAAAAACAGAGCATGTATGTGAGAGCGAGAGAGCGACAATAACAGAGCAATGGACGGACATAATGAGAAAGCTTTCGCAGAGTAAAAGGGAGAACCCTATGGGAGTCCTTTTGATTTTATCGCACCAAATGCCAGGTTACAGGCAGAGCGGTGGAGGACTTTCACACAGCCGCTGCAGAGAGCTGCACACACAGGCAGCCGTGAGCAGAATGTGAAAAAACAGTTTGTAAATAGTTGTTGTCTTCCTGACCCTTGTCTAAAATTTCCCTGGAGGAGCAGAATATTTTACCGTGAAGTGTTCGACCTGTGTGTGTATCGCTTAACAGCCGGGGTTTCCCATGGGTGCAGTAGCTCCTGCGGCAGCAGTGCTTTACTCTACAAAAGGCATACTATTAAGTCCAGAGGTTTGAAGGCTGTTATGTTATGAATGTTTGCTTTTTTTATGAGCAAAACACTTTGTACAAACACAACTAAATGTACATGCAAGTTGCCAGAACACCAACACACCCGCTGATTGATTTTGGGCCCATGTTAAGCACACAGTCTCTATTATTACCATCTGTTTTTTACCGTTGCCAACACGCAGGTCACCTCTGTCTCATGCATGCAAACAACATTATGACACTGATTGATGAATTGTCCGTCCCCTGTCAGGTTAAATGAAGCACGCACTGACACACATCCAATTAAAACTGAAGTGTGTTCCTTGAGCAGAGCACGGTCTGGTCAGAAAAAAAAAGAAAAACTGCAGAAACATGGGCATCGTCAGCTCACAGGGATGGTAAATATTTGATGCAGGAGCAGCCATGCATGAGCTCTTAGTGGAGGGCTTCAGAAGTTAACGGGGTCGTTTGCATGTTGGGTGCGTGTGCTTTTTTTTCACATGGTTAAAACACTTACTCTGGATTCGTTCAGGGCGATCCCGCTGTCATTAATGGTGAATTCCACAAATGCAGCTGCAGCTTATCTCCATGCTCGAGGGAGGGTCACACACCCTCCACTGCAGCATTTGTTACTTGTCTTCCCCTCTTCTTCCTCCTCCTCCTCCTGCCATGTGCATGTTTTGTGTCAGTGTACCACGTCATGCGTACCACCTTAGATTGCGTGCATCGTCTCTCACCATCTCCTTCCAGCTCACAGAGTGTCACTGCTCCCCTGGCACAGTGAGGAGGTGCAGAGTGAACCAGGCTGTGTGTGTGTGTGAGAGCGTGAGCGGGTGTAAATAGCTGTACAACTCTACGTAATGTACAGTAAGCTGAATGTGAGCCGCCCTATCGGATAGTGTAACAGAGACAGGCAGTTTATTCTTGGTTGTGGTTAGTGTGATTCTTCAACAACAGTAATGTCTGTATGTAATTTAAATGTGTGTGTGTGTGTGTGTGTGTGTGTGTGTACAGTACCTCAGTGTTTCTGCCATTCCCTGAGCTGGAGTCAGTAGTTCATTTCAAAGATGGTTTGCTAAGATGGTTTTGTTTTAAGTGGTGTAAGGAGTGACTGCAGGCAGTCCGGTTTCCGGTCTCTTGACGTTGTGGGAGAATAAATTACAGAGATATGAAATTATTCCCTTCAAAGGCCAGTTTGATGTCAGAGAGACAGTGGTGGAGATGACACAGGAAAAATGCGACATTTGACGAAGAGTCTGTTTCAGTGAGACTTGTGTTAGCTCTTCCTTTTGTTGCATCCTTTGATGAATGAACAGCCTCCTTGGGCATCTTTGAACGACCACTGCTTCAACCCCATCACTACACATCATTAAAGCTGGCATAGTGCTGTGCTTATACTAACACACACATACACACACAGATGGGATCTGATTTGATCAAACGTCTCTGCAAATAACAGAGACACCACTAAACACAGCACAGCCCTGCTTTGTTTTCAAGCTAACCTCTATTTTGCAGACCCTCGACATACACACCACTCTAAAATTTGCTTTTTTTTACATGGAGGCCATTTTCCACATCTTGCTCTGGGAGCTCAAATGCTATCAAAGTCAGAGCTGGCCCAAGCCTCAGTGGGGCCCTAAGCCAAATTTGATTTTGGGTCCCTCTATTTCTGCCAATAATATCAATTGTTGATCATTTACACACCTTCACAAATCTCTTTGATTAACATTCCATGACATGCAAACACACCTTTATCTTGGTGTTTTTTCTCTTCTTCCTCTCTCTTCTCTCTGATCCTGAAGGATATCTCCTTTTTCGCGACATTGTTTTGACCCACAACTACCTGCACTTTGGATGCTAAGTGCACATTGCACAGCAGAAGGCACATAATGGTAGCGTAGCTTTGACATATCAGAATCATAGGCCTACATCAGCAGCAGCACTAAAATGTTTTGACTTTATTTTATTTTTTACAATAATATATATTTGATCATACAGAAAGCATCACTCATACATGAAAAAAAAAAAAAAAATATATATTTTTTAATATTGCTCTTGGGGGCCTCCTACTGGCCGCGGGGCCCTAAGCAGGCACTTAGTTCGCTTATGCCTTGGGTCGGCTCTGATCAAAGTGTCGCACTCTTCACCTCCACTGAACAGAAACTAAAAAGAAGATGAATGATAAAAATCCAGGTGGACTTCTTGCCATTTGTTTTAGTAAATATATTATTTATGATAGCTTATTAGCCATCTGAAAACTTATGGTAGCACAGACTTAGTTGCAGAAATGGATCCTCTTTCCCGTCACATGATATCTGCTCACTTTAACACTGTCAAAAGGTTATGTTTCTATTCCACAACATCCTTTCTAACAGTCTGCTTTTCCTGCTAATGCTCTCTAGGCATTTGTGTTATCAGCTAACATGTAGCCACTCCAGTGCTACGATTACATTCCCTATCACATCATAAAAGCCTTTAAAGGGTGATTTTAGCTGGGAGCCTCCTCGAACTGACCTTGGATGCTAAATGCCGTCGTTAGCTGTTATGAGTGGTCAGATATCCTGTTTCATGTCCTGCTGGATTTGTTTGTATTTTTATTGTCAGTTGCTTATCAGTAGGAAAGAGGTAAACTGATTCAGCAGATCCATTTTTTTGTTTTTGACATGCTTGGACCTTTGAAGCCTTTTTGTTTGCGTCTCCTGTTGTTGTGGCAGTCTGAAAGAATGAGCGGTCAGGTTTACAGGTCAGCCTTTGCTCCTAATGGCTCCTTTAACTTAGTCAGTGTGTTTGTTAAAGAGGGAAACCAGCCTCATCTGTTTTCTGCCAGAAACCATGAAAGCAGCCGGCCTGTAAATGCTTGCAGATTTGTTTTGGTGTTTCTGTGCGGAGGAAGGTCTTAATCCCAACTAGGACTGGAAATAGTTGTTAAATTAGTCGAGTGAACCCTTGAGAAATGAGAAAATGTTGCTTATTGTTATTAATCGTTTGATATGGAGCCTCAGGTGGCAGGGGAAGTGTGTACGCTCCTTCTGTTTGTCCTTCAGATAAATCTCCAAATAGATCTGGGTCTCTAGATTTGAGATTTCTACTGTTGCATGTTCTTTTTTTCCCCCAAACTAATTACTGTTTGTATGCCTGCTGTGTTCACATACCGTGGGATTTTGTCAGAAAATCAAACCTGGAAGACAAACAATAAACAGACATAGACAATTACGCAGGATGCAGCTTTTGCAATTTGTAGGGTTGTCCCTGTCTTGGCAGATGTTTGGGCTTTACTGCGTGCCTTATATTATATCACCTATAGAACAACAGCAAACATTTCCCTCAGGCTTTCTCTCAATCACCAATAATTCTCTCTTGGTTTCTCTGTCTCACTTTGAATGCTGCCCACACAACAGGCTTTTCCAACCGCTCCCCTCTGCTGCAGAGCACCACTTCCTAACTGGAGTTATTGACATCCACGCAGGATATTTACTCAAGTATTTATCGCTTATTGATCAGCACTGACACGCCGCGTGAGTGTCTCTGGTAATTGAATTAGGCTACATATTACAGCATACAGGCATCCTTGGAATCATTGAAATACACACTTATAGACGTGACCCAGACTGCCTTCAGCCTGTTTCTCCCTGAGCCCCCCGCCTCATTTCAGAGAGTAGGTCAGGATTTGGAGCCATTTTAGCCGCAGGATTAAAGTCTGACAAGGATAATGCCACTTTAGCCACTTGTGAATCACGTGACACAAGATGATCTGAGGTTTTAGGAGGAGCACTATGTAATTAATGTAGTGGAGGCCCCTTATCCGTAAGACTCCACCCACTGCTGGAGCCCTATAGCAGTCAGGCCTCAGTGAGGGACACCCGGACTTCTGTCCCACTTTTCTCATCCAATATGGCCCACTCTCATGCCTGGAACCACTCGCTGACACCATTTTAACAAAAACCAGTCGGAAAAGAAGATCCAGACATGCCTCCTCATACATGCACAGTCCTGTTCGCACTTTTAAGACTTATCAGATTTTACACACTTGAATTATTTTTCTTCTTTTAGCTGACCGGCATTTTAATCATCTGTCTGTTTTTGTTTAGTTGTGACTCCCTTTTCTTTGAATTTGCCTATTTAGATCATCTAAGTGCCATCAAAATTAAATACAATAAATGAAAAAATTATTGCAAATGTTGGACAATACAAAATTCTTTCTACACAGTAAAGACCGGACATTTATTAAAAATGCTGCAGCATTTGAATAAACATTTTAGAGTTGCACATCACAATCACATTTATTTTCCTGTATCTGATGAATATGTTGTTTTGTCTTATTTAAGAACTCTTTTAAATTGTTGTTAAAAACCTTGAAATATTACAAATTTAAGTTACTGGTCAAAAAACTGTGAGGTTGTGCATTTTGTGTATTTGTTGAAACAATAGGGGGGCAAAAATGCTGTTTACATTCTTGCTCAAAACCGTCAATCCAGCATCTACAAGTTATTTAGGCAACAAGCAAAGTATCACAATTTGGCAGAAAAAGAAAGAAAGATTTTTTTAATCTCTAAAATATTTCATAATTCACAAATGCTTGTGTGTTTTATAGATTAATTCATCCTGTTTTATAGAGTCATTGCTGCATACATTTGAATAAATGTTTCCTTAAATTAAAGTGGGTGAAATCCTAGATAATAAAAAAGAAGCAGATTCTGCAAAAAAGTGTCAAAATTATTACTAAAAAATCTCACAGAAAGTCAGAATGATCTTCAAAAGCTAAAATGTACTCCATAAACACAGCAAACACATAGATTTCATCAAAGTAAAACAACCTGCTGTTTCTCAGCTCTTTTATCAATCTATACTCGTAAAACTGAGCAAACACTCTGCTTTAGCTTAAGTAAACTTCATGCATGTGTCAGGACCCAGGCCCTGTTTTTCACTGTTCTGCCAGGACTCCCCAGCGACAGCAGCTGTGACTGGCAGGGCTGTGTGTTAAAATATGCCGCTTATCGACCAGCCTTATCAGTGCTTTTTTTTTTTCAGTTTCTCAGAGGATGAATCTTTACTCCCTCCTGCTAGTTTTCACTCTGTGTCAGGAACTTCCCTGCAGATGGGAGGAGGGGAGGGGAGGGGAGGGAGAAAGGAGGGGAGGTGGTGCGCTCATGTGTGCGTTAACAAGTGAAGCTGGCTCTCTCTGGAGGGAGCTGGAGGGAGCAGTGAGACGGGTAGAGAGGGGGGACGAGGAGAGGCAGACTGGAGACGAGGAATAGCAGGCGGGTGAACGGTTTGAGGGCTTGCGTAATGTTGAGTTGTGTGCGTGCTGTATTGATCCAGGTTAACCCCGCTGGGACCTGTACACCTATGGTAGGCAGGCTCAGCCTTTCCCGCTACTCTGTAATACCTTATGGCCTGCAGATTAAAGGATGAGACCTCAGGAACAAGCTGCACAAGTCAACATAAAGAGACAAAAGCAGGCATGAGGAGCAGCTAACAGACAGAGGAGGCACACTGCAGCGCCGCAGTATGAGCTGGTACCCACCTGTCAGAGGCTCTTAGCACTGAGGTGTGTGAGGGAGAGAGAGAGACACAGGAAATACATCAGTGTGTGCATGTCAAGGAGAAAAAGCACGCTAGAGAGTGGTCTATATGTTGGTGTGTGTGTGTATGTGTGTGTGTGTGTGATTGCGTGTCAGTGGTGTCCCTGTAGGCTGGCTGTGTCAGTGACAGTGCTGCTGACTGCGTGCTTTGTGACGGGGGGCTCAAAGGAGTCCTCACTCAGAGGAGGAGCAGCACATGACTCTGCATGAAGGCTTGAACTATCCCTACTGTCTCAAAAAGTGTGTTTTCTTCTTTAGTTTGTGGCTCAGTAGCAAAGGAAGTGGTTCGAGCACTAATCAATCAGCGTTTATGTCATTATTGCAGGTGATTCTTTGCTGCGGTTTTGCAAATTCAGCAGAATTTAGTTACAGCAAGATTGCACTGACTGTTTCCTGTCCATCACAATACCTGATTGAAGCCGTGTTGATTATTCTGTCTTGTTGGGAGAATGCTACTCTTGTTTTTGTGTTGCTGTAGGTTGTTCATGTTGAATATGTGCGAAGTTTGTGTTGCATAACAGAGCAAGTTGATTTTGCTCTTTGTAATAATGGTGCTTTTTGCAGCCTCACTGTTCATGGTGATGAAATTTCAGTTTGATGCTGAAAAGGCTGTTTCACATTTGCTGCTAAAGGGAAAAGTGTTTCCATTATTCATTTTAAATCATTGTGAAAGATTTTTTATTTTGCACAAGATTATAAAAAATTAAATTCTAACAGAAAGAATATTCTGTTGTCATGGATTCACAGTGTGGTGCCACTTGAATCACTTTTACCTCATTAATTGATGTTTTCGAAGGCAGAATGTGTTAAATTGAAATTACTGCTACATTGATGGTTATCAAACATGTTTTTTTTTTCCCTCAGATTACTGGGGTTGGGGTTTAGTTGTTAAATGCCAGTATTTGTTACAACAGCAGATAGCGCCACTTACCTGTAAAGCAAGTGTGCTCCTTAAGACTGAGGCCAGCTGTTACTCACAACTACAGCACCGGGAGATAAGAGGAGGAGGAGAGACTTGGTGACTGAGCAAAGTAACACAAAAAAAGTCAAGTTAGCCCAAAACTGAGAGGGAGTTATGATGCCAAAAACAGAGCAGCAGAGATGTTAAAAAATGGTCACACAGCTGAGAAATACGGTGTTAAAGAGAGTAATGCACAAAGATAATGAGCTTCAAGTGAATATGAATATGCAACTGAAAAAAACAAAAAAAACAAATGAAGGTATTTCTATTACCAGACCTGTCTAAATAGGCTGCAGATTATTTCTATTCAATCATATTGTACTCAATTTAATTGACAATTTCATTTCAAAAAAGCACTTAAAATATGATTTAATTTGAAGGTGTTTAAAAAAATAACTCACCTCATTTCATTCAATGTGTCTGTTTTATCAGTTTTGACAATTAAAGTTGTTTCATCTTTATATAAACAAGCTCTAAAATTAAGGGGTTAAACAGGGGAAGTCTTTTTTTTTATATTTGAGGCAGATTTTGCGGGGCAGGGAGTCTTTACCCTGTCTTTAATTCTTCTCATAACATCCTTTTATATCTTTTATGAATTTGAAGTATTTCTAATTTACAAAGAAGTCTGTCTTAATAAATGTTGATTCTGAAAAGTTCCTAATTCAAAGGATCCATTGGGGTTTAGAGGACATTTAGTCCTAAAAAGATGCGTCCCTCTTGTAAACAGAAATGTCTTGTTATTTCTGTGCTAATATCACACTTTCTCCTCCTCTGAGACGAACTAATCCACTTCCATTTATGGACTTCCTGCTGCAGAGCTCTGCTGTGTTTTCTTGCCTCTGTAGTCACACGTAGGCTGGGACAAGACTCACGAGACCGTGTTTGTAGATAGACCACGATTAAGTCTGTGTGTTTGAGTACCATATACTTAGTGTAAGAGGATACTATTTTTGTTTTTATTAAAGTAGAAAAGCATTATGGCACAGAGATATCAGCAGAACATTTGAAAACATTAATTTCATCGGCTTAATAAGCATGACAGGAGAAAATGTGTTTTGTGTCAGCTGGGCACCCTGTGGCGTTTTAGCACTGAGTGGAAATTAATTTGTGGTGATTACACCTGAGAGCTGAAAATCATTTCATATCTGTGACAGTATGCAAATAGCTGTGGGTCTTCCACTATCCCTCTCATGTAAAAATATAGTTTTGTATGATTGCTCTTTGTTATATAATCCACAAATCTTTGGGGGTGTTGTGAAAATGGTAACACCCTCTGCAAATGGTTGATAATGAGTGAAGGCTGAGGATCTAATTAGACATTGCAGCGCTGTAAGCCGCCTCTCACACTGCTGCTGCTGCTTCTCAAACATGAATGAGATGACTTGTTTGACTCATTCAAATCTATGGAGTCATTTGTAATTCTTTTCATGGGACACTGAATCATTCCCTGATAGGAGACATTAATCCGCCTGCGTGCCGATAGACCTCGTCTGTGAACTTTGCGCCACATGTAACAGATGAAGGGACAACAATGTGTCCTTATTTTCATCTTTCTATCAGACAGCTGTGTATTGAGGAGCAGACAAATGTCAACAGGAAGGCTGTGGCTTCCATTAGAGCCGCGCGTGTCTACCTGCATCGACAGTAGAAACTAATGCGTGAAGAGAAACAGGCAGGCAGGTGAGCCTCCTGAATTCTGATGAGTCCTCCCTGCCGAGAGCTGGGAGGGAAAACAGAAGCGGGCACCTGAGCGCTGCACGCTGAGATGAGATGGTTAGCAGCACTATGCAGCTGCAGCTTTGTTCACTCAGAAGCATCAGTGGGAGAAATATGTGGAGAGGGGGAATAAAAAGAGCAAGATACACTGTTTGATTTCTTATTGGGGATGGATTTGTGATGGATGCAAATGACCGCCTGGAGGAATGAAAGGGTTTCATGAAAATGAATGTAAAGGAGACTGTCACCACTAACAGTCATTATTACACTGGGAGTTTTAGCACTAGTATGTATACTTTAAAACTCCCAGTGTATCTCTACAAATGATCTCAGGATATTTATTTGAATAACTTTGGGGTGTTTTTAGTTATGAAACAGGTGAAAATAAATTCTAATACTTATCTGACAGTCAAAAACGAACAAGACAGAAACTTAGATGACTGATTATTTTTGATCAGTCATTTTTAATGCTGCTACCACAGCCACAGGGTCACATTTCTTTACATTTTTCGCCACAAGGATTCATAATAACTGACTAATAACAGAAGCAGGACAAAGTTTTTCATCAGGAAACTAGAGATGCACAGATCCATTTTTCCCGATCCAACCTGATACCGATACCTGGGCTGACCATATTGGCAGATATCCGATACTGATCCAATACTACTGTTGAGTGAATGAACTGTATACCTTGCCCTGTGAGTGAAGACATTAGACTTGACATTAGCCTTGTACCAAAAAAAGTAACAAATTAACAGAGATATAAATTTCATACAAATTGCACATTAGCTCACAGCAAAAAGAAGTAAGACTTCCATGTAAACATTAAGTGCAAAAGGATAGACAGACATAGAATATAGAGGGAACAGAATCGCTGTGTTGCTGTGTATGATATTAATTAAAAGAAAAGAAAATATCCGACCCAGTTAATTTGTCAATATCAGAGCTGATATTCGATCCAAATATCGGATCAGTGCATCCCTACGAGGAAACACTTACCTATGTACAGGACAGCATCTGTAAAGAGAAAAGAGGGATCAGATTATGTAAAAGGGGAAAAAAATTACAATTGGGCGTTAAGTTTGTTTTATTTGATTGATCAGATGTGTAAAATCTGAATGCTGTTATTTCTTGTGTTGGCTGAACTCCAAGAGGTAAAGTGGGTTGTCCTCTTGCTGGTTCGACCCCACAGTGCTCCAGTCTGCATGTAAAACAGAGGTGTGTCCAAAGATATACTTTAAGGTAAAAGTGAAAGAAAATAAATCAAGATGATCACGGTTTGTTTCAATACATCACAACTCGATGATTGAAGAAATGTCCAGTCTCTGGCAAGCCAAACAGCCAATCATATTTTAGGATTTTGGAGCTGCTTCAGGGGTGCCCATGCAACCCTTTGGTCACCCTTGTGGACACACTCCCGGACAAGAGACTAAATCTGAGATTGTGTGGATAGTTGTGTAAGTGTTTGAGTGTGTTTGTTAAATGTACACTATTGTAATGTCATTTTGGCATCTGGAGTGGCAGGAAGTTAAGAGTGCAGTCCATTTACCACTGACCATGAAAGACTGCCATAGTTATTTCACAGGAGATCCTTGGAAATCAATGGGATGAACTGACTTCAATTAATGTAAATGTGTCCTGGGCTTGTCTGGCCTTTGTCTACACTTGATAGTTTACATTTGAGCATCAATGGAGGGTAAAAACCTTTTATAAAAACATCTTGAACGAGGCTTTATCAGTCAGTCTATCTACTATAAACGTGTGATTTTACATACAGCTTTAGGGAGAGCTTCAGGGTTTGTTTGTCCTTCAAGCGAACAAACAGCAACATATCTTTGCGACTGAAGGACAACAACAATGCATGGACTCTTCTCTCATATAAATCCTGTTATCTCTGCTCCACAACAATGGGACGGGCCTTGGAGAAGTGCTTAGGAGCACTACACAGAAATGGCTTGAGCTCCGTCTTAATCCAGCCACAGAGAGTGTGGACACAGCGGGAGCGCCGGAGAAGTTAAAAAAGAGGAGCGGGGGAGAAATCTAACGCACAGTAGGGTCTCCAAATATTGTTGACTTGTTGCTTCCTCTGAGATTTCAGGGCATTCAGGCGCTTAAGAGCTTACGGGTCCAAGCTAGAAATTGGGTTAATTCAGATTAGACAAGTGTGTGGTTGGTGTAAAAGGACCACCAGACTATCTGCAACCCATCCAAACTGACCCATATGTATAATGTTACTGCTTTAAGTCTAGACTGGGCATGAATCAGACTGTCTATTAGATGTAGAGGGATAAGAAGAGCGCTGACGTATTTGTCAGCAGCTCACATACATGCATGCACATGTAACTGTAAATGCAGCTGATTGTCAGATGATCACATTATCCTGCACTCAGCACTGAGACAGACGACTGACTACTACACATTAAAAAAGTCGAGACATTAGTGTTGCTCAGACAGCAAATATCACTGGACTTGTAATACGATCGTGAAAGAGGTGCATAATCACACGCCTCCACTGTGATTTATGACCATTGAGGTTTTCATTTCCTATTTTATCTGCATGTTATGGCTCTGATGATGGCCGGATCATCTTTCATTTTGAAAGTCATCAATTATCTCCTGTGCAATATGAAGTCTAACTGGACTGATGTAGGCTTCCTGTGTCTGTTGTGTCTTTACGCCCTGCTTTTTGAGGGAACAAGGTCCTCTGTCAGGCCAGATAATGACAGAAAGGAGCTGCGGAGAATGAATATTCCAGCGTCTTTTTGCATTTGACTGATAAATTGATAAACCATATCCTTTAATCACGAGGAATAACTCATCTATTTAAGCACTAAGGAGCAAACGTTGCCAAATTTGTGCGAGAGAGTGGCGAGGCGGTTCATTGTCATTTGAGGAGAGTGTTGACAGCTTAATGGACACAGGAGAGAGGGAAATTGCTGGAAGTAAACCTATAAGTCAGGTGAAACAATTAGGCGTGAGTAGAGGTGAATGCTGTGTGTGTTTGGGACAGGCTCCGTGGACTGAAAGGCTGTCCAGGATGTCTTTTTATTTGCCCACATAGAGCCACCCTGCTGGGCACAGAGCAGCACAGAGCCTTGGTTGGACATCGGCACATAGCAGTGAGAGTAAACAAGGCTTTTAGCGGCTTTATTAGACAGAGTCATTCAGCAGGGAAGGAAATGTTTAATCATTCACTCCTGAGTTTGTTTTAAATGACAGAAATTGTTCTTTGGGACAAGTTTTACCCTCTTACAAGGAAAAATAAAATCAGCCTATTTGATTAGAAACTGTTCTTGTCAAAGCTGATATATTTTTAAACTCACACTTTTTAAATGAGGAAATTTTGTTCCAGGAAGTATTTCTCTTTTTTCCTGCACATGGAGGGAGCACTTCCCTCTCTGAGGTCACTCTTCGGTTAGCCACTGTGAGTTTGGTCAACACAGTGGTTAATTGTTCACCCATAAAAGGACTTTAAAACAACACAGAGCCCAAAATGACATCTTCCAATGTCTTCTCTTTCAAACCAACAATTCAACCTTAAAGCCTTTTATTTTGTCATCATGTAGGATCCAGTTCACGCGTTTTAGAGACACAATTTATAGAGTAATTTCATGTTATCCAGGCTTCAATTCTATGTCCCATGAAAAGACATCCCAACCCTGAACAGGCTCCACACATTTGCTGTGAGCACTCCTCTATCACATGATAACTTATTAAAAGCTTTTAAAACTTTAACTTAGTGTCAGGCTTCATACATGGGGGATCAGTAGTCAACAACAGAGAAAACATGATATTTCCCCAACAATCATAAAATTATAATGCAGTTAGGACTGGGCGATATGGGAAAAAGTTTATCACAATAAATTTTTTTTACATCAGCCAATAACGATATATTTCACGATATTAAAAAAATCACTTGGCAATCTTCAATGTTCCCTGTTACTCTTAAACTAAATTTACCTGACGCCATGGGCTCCTTGCTCCATAGGGGTCTGTAAACTTTTGCATCGTGTGTCCTCTACCACGTGGCACTGCTTCAGGTGGTGAAAAAGATTTGAGGTATTCCCTGACTTTGCGAGATAATGTATTCGACATAACTTACAGTGCAAAAAAAATAAATACCTCCACACCACTGACGTTTTCATGTCAGTGTTGTCGACGATGTCATCATCTGTTGAGCCTTCATCTGCATTTCTGCCTGGGGTAGCACTCTTTTTCTTTTTTTCTCACCTACAGTGCTGTCGGCTTCACTTGTTTTCATGAAGCTGCAGCCTGCTACTACGCAGTTCTTTGCTACTTGGTTATAATTCAGCGCATGATTGGTTCAGCACAAAACGGACCCAGAGAAACCTCTCTTTTCATTGGCTGTTTGTATAATCTACCAAGACATGTATGTCGTAGCAGAATGCCGACTATCAAAAAACATATTGACCAGGTTTACATCGATATTAAGGGAAATTAATTTTTGATGTGTACTGTTATTGTTTTATCACCAACCCCTAAATGCAGTCATAATTATTTTATAAAAAGATAAGTTGTTACAGCTATGTTTTTCTGTATTTGGAAAATATGAATACAAATACAGTTAAACTACACACTTTTGTTTTTATAATCTATCCTGAATTAATCACTCTGCTAGGATTAAGATAATGCTAATTTTCATGAATCTAAGTGATCTCTGTTCTGCTCAGATGTTCATCTAGGAGCTCTGCAAACTCAAAGAAGTTCATTCTGGTTGCATGTTCGTCTGTTGATATACGTGTGTGCAGAGTCAGAGCTCTCTACCTCATGCAGGTGAGTGCAGTAAATATTAGCTTTTCAAATGAACATGGCCACACTCAGATATTTCTAGGCCAAAATCAAGAGGTTTTCATTTTTTCCTCCCAGCTCTGTGTTTCAAACCAGCATCAGACAGTTTGGTTATTTTCAACAAACATGAAGTAACCATTGAGTTCAGGCTGCGTCTTCCACTGCAGCTCATTTTTGGACTCTGGGAGAGGAGAAGGAGAGGAAGGGCGCTGGGTTCACCTTGAATTCAAGAACATAGATAGTAGCTGAGGCCTGCTGCTGCTCCATGTAACATTACCAGGTTATTCCTGACTCATAAAAGCAACAAATGTGAGCTGACAACATGCACATTTTTTCCTCCAGTTTGACTCAAACACTGCAGTCAGACAACAGTACATGCTGCAGGGTGGCATGTGTCGCAGGCCTCTCCCTGTGCTGCAGACAGCAGACAGACAGAGAGCAGTGATCTTCTGGTTAGCCAGCGGCCACAGGCATGCAGAAAATGAGACCTTGAAGAACCATCGGGAGGCACTGTCACTTTTTCCGAGAGCTGTCCATTCGGGGAGCTTCCTCTGCATATTTCAGGGTGATGGACAAGCAAGTGGCCTTTGAAACATGTGAAAGAGAGAGAAACAAAAACAAGGACAAAAGCAGCCCTTCTCCAGCAGGGACATGTTGAACCTTATTGTTCAAGACATCCTCAAAATCCTAGAAATGAAATAAGTTATTATCACTATCATTTATAAATTCTACTTTAGCTTATCTCACTTGACAGCAAATCTGCTAATGTGTTTTGAAACTTCTCGACTCAGAGAGGACGGTCTCACTGTGCTGTAGCTAAGCATCATGTGCTTTAACATAACGTCAAGGTAATCGCAAACAAATTGATGAGTGAAAACAGAATAGAGAAGAGCGCCCTCAGAAATCTTGGGCTGTTTCAGCAGCAGCAGATGACACTGAATGAAAAGAGCCTTCAGTTTTTCTATCTTATGCGGCTCAGGGATGCTTTGAGGTCTGCACTTGGCCTTAGACTTTTTTTTCAGCTATTAGTTGCACCTTAGCAACATGAGCTTGTTTACTACGTTTTGGAAGGTGATGTATTTTAGTGGTGCAGACTGATTTTTATCAGTTTACTCTTGTTTTGTTACTGTTGCCAAGGGAGATCTTTCACTGACGCCTCAACCACCAACAGTGACATGACGCTTGCAGGCCACCATGTGGTGGTGCAACCAGAGAAATGTCAGCTGTAGTTTGATCAGCTGTTTGTTATTTACTTTAAGAGCTGATGTTAATACACAGATTTATCTTTCAAAATTAAATTCACATGGACTTTTCTCTTAGTCAGTTTTATGGTGATTTTGCCTATATTGTTAGTAGAACTGAAAAGAGAAAGGAAATGTGAGGTATAGAGATTAGGGGAAGACATGAACCAAGGGTTGAACCAGCAACCACTTCAAAAGGGACTGCAGCTTCTGTATGTAGAGTGAACTCAATCCTAATAGAGCCCCTTATTTTCATGTCAAAACACATCATTTTTTTGCCCTTAAATTAATGTTTATGGCATTGCAAAAAATCAGTCACTCAAAGTATTGCAGATTAATGAGGAGGAGAACAGAGGGCTTTCCCCAGCTCAGGTACAGTCTATGGTTTCTCCCAAGCGGCACATTTAAGTCCAACCCCATCCTCTAGTCCTCTTCGTCACAGACAGGAAATTACGAACAGCAGTTTTTGTACCAAGTTGTCTTCAGAGATAAAGATAAAAAAGGTAGACAGAGAAATTAATGTGGCAGTATGTGGAGAACCCTCCTGAACCTCCATCCTCCTCTCACTTTTGCTCCTTACCTGTCCCCCTCTGTTTTATGTCCTCCGCTTTAATACTTTGGTGCCGATATTTCCCTTCACGTTTGTTTTGGGGATCCGGTTGCTCAGCTGTGCGGGTCTCTCTCCATCAGTGTCTCTGCGTTGTAAATCGGCAGCTTTCGTTGCAGAACTGGACTCTCTCACGTTAATGTAGTTGTTAACAGCTTGTGGTCACCGGGCGGTCGGTGTGGCTTTGCTGTTTCGAGCTGACAAGCTCTCTGGAGGAAGAGAAGGAGAGAGAAAGAGAGTCTGTGTGGTAGCTCAGAAAAGAGAGAGAGCCAGGTTAGAGAGAGGCACACTGCTCTGGTTGTACAGCCTGGATCTTGTCTTATTGAGCCACTGTGTCATGTTTCTCTTGTTGTGTTACCATACCAACAAAATAAATAAATAAATAAATATATTAAAAATAAGAAACACTGTCATCATGATGACTTAGATTTTGATCATTTTAATGTTACAAATAAAATTCATGGAGATAATACACTTTGTGTGCTAATATGTAACATGAAATAAGCACACAGACAGAAATAGATATAATTTATTTAAGGTAATTTGTTATTGAAAAATAGATTCATGCATTTTAAAGAATAAATGAATAAAAAACTTGCTTTGTCATATTAACTTTTTGTGTGTTTGTACTCTCATCTTAAATTAAGAGAAAAGCTTTGGTTGCACTGATAGACTGGCCTAGTACAGCTTTCAGTGGAGTATTAGTTTCAGCTGAGGATTTGTATTTATATCGGCTCAGTATCGGTATCAGATAATACTTATCTGATACCGATACTGTTAGACAGGTGTTTACCACTAACAGTCTTTGATGTACATTTGTTTCATTGTATTAATTTAATAATGATGTGTAAGCACATGTTTTAGCCCTCTTGTGAATATGATTATTACCTTATCAGTGTTTGTAATTACTTATTAAACTATTTTAAATTTTTTTGGTAACACTTTATATGAACCCACCTCTGAAGCACATTCATAAAGCCTTATACGATACGATACGATACGATGCACTTCATCGTCCCCTTTGGGAAATTTGTCTTGGACTCAAAGAGCTGCACAGATAAAGCTGCCAACTGATGACACAAAGTATTCAACCTGACAAAGACACAGTCACATAACACACGCATATTGTACATAATCATATTGCACGAGAATCTCACAGAAACGGTTAAAAGAAACATACTGACGATAAATAAAATGATAATTTTGACTTTGAGGCTGTATAACAACCTTTGTGGGTGAGTATAAGCATTGATAACAACTTATGATAATGTTTATGAGGTGTTATAAGCAGTGAGTATCATGCCTTACTAAGGTATGGCTTATAAAGAATAATACATGAATGAAAAAGAAAAAAAGGACAGCTACACTAATTTTTTTTGTTGCTGTGAAGTATTTTTGTCCGACATTTTACTTACAGCCACTAAATGCTGCTTAAAGGTTCTCATAAATAATTGTTAATAACCTCATATTATATTGCTGTCACTTTAAAGTGCCAAAGATCATACTTTATCATGATATGCGTATTAATAAGACATTTCCTGAGTTGAGAATCATACTAGTTATGACTCTTGTTTCTGAATATTGTAAGGTCTCATGCTCACTGCTTACAACACTACTTAAACACTGCTATAAGATGTTCTGAATGCTTATTGTTAAGCCTTGTAGCCGCATTAATAAAGCTTTATAAATGTGCTAATGATGCAGTTTAAGAGGTGGGTTCCTTCAATTGTTGTTTTAACAAGTTATACATTTTTTTATGACAAAAACAAGTTTAGTTGAGCAGTGAAGGACTATGAAAGTCTCCCCCAGAGTTTCAAAGCTAGGCTTTAAATATTCTCTTTTTAATGAGACCGTTCAATTAGAAGTTGTTTTTGAAGTGTTGAGTCTGTGGGTATTCAAGGATAGTGAAATGAAGGTGGACAATTGAAGAGAAAAAAGGCTAAACTTTTATTTTCCACGTCAGAATCAGCGTCAGTCCAGGTTTTTCGCTGCAAAACCTCCAGAGCTCTGTCTCTGAAGTTCAGACCTGGTGATCATGATTATGTTGAAACATAGCTGAAATTAAGACCTTTTGGTCAATACATTTTGAGATTTTTATCTGAACTTTACCGTAGATGTTGTTTTGGAGTTGTCAGATTATTTCCTGGTTTTGATTTTACAGCAATTTTCATCCAAATGAGCTCATTCTCATCTTTTTATATCCCATGCAGTCTCATAGTGAGTGTAGTAAGAATAGCACTCGTAGGAGGGTGTTACTGAGAGACACTAGCTGCTGTCTAATAAACGTCTTCTCCTACACACCTACAGCTCCTTCAGCTCTAGCACTATAGCTGCTTCATCTCCTCTAATGAGCTGTGGGCGACGTGGAAAGTTGAGATGACACTGAATGTTGAATTAGAGTCAGTGCAGATCTGACTCTGCATTTTTGCCCTCCTCATTCAAACATCTCCCGTCAGCTGTTCGGGTGAAATGTCTTTGAATATATTGTATGTGTAAGTGAAGTTGGACTTTCCTGTAAACACCCTGTAAGTCTGTGTAAGTGTGCGAGTGTGAGCGTGTGGTTCAGGTCCGTTAATTCCACCCTGTCTGTGTCTCTCATCTCTGCAGGTGTCGGAAGATCCAGATCCGGAACATTCCCCCTCATCTACAGTGGGAGGTCAGTTGTTTGTCTTCGTGTGTAACTGTGTGTAACTGTGTATGTGTGTGTGTGTGAATGTGTATAAGACAGTTGAAGCACCAGGTAGCACATAAACCAGCTTCCCGACAATGACTCATCGGCTTTTATACTGTACTCCTCTGTAGACTGAAGGCTTTGTGTGCATGCATTATGTGTGTACCCGTGCTGTGTGTATCTGTGTCAGTGTTTGGATGACACTGTGTCTCTGTGTCAACATCTGTAACCTCGCTGGAGTCCGAGTTGCTTCTCTCTGTGTGAGCGTCTCTGTTGTCAAGCCTGCCAACTTTACTAATCCTCTTGGGTTTCTGCTGTATTTTTGGGACACTCCTAGAAAACGCACAGGACTTCTCAGACTACTAAGACACTAAAAATACCAGAACTAAACTTTTGAGTTCATTTTTTAAAGTCTCTTTTGTTCACCAGCCTTCCAAGCCTCAAATATAGGTGATAGTTATTACGTAACTGTCAGCTGAGTATCTATTTTCCCTTTTTTGACACCAGACAGAAGTAAAATCTTACACCAGTCCTGTCATTAATAAGTCAATTTAAAGCTACTGTGGAGAACTTTACGTTGACTTTAGAATGTGAGACCGCACACCTATAAAAAAACATTTATTGTTGCATCCCTCTGACAAGACAAATGGCCAGATATGATGTAATGAGGGTTAATTTTAAGCCCCAGTGCTGGTAATGGCTGCGCTGCCTCAAGTCACGTTGGTGGTCATGTTACTAAAGTGTCGTGTTTGCTTTTGTGGGTCACAAATAGACTTCACAGTTAATTTCAGTCCTTCTCAAAACTCAAAGCAGCTTTAAGTAAAACCAAAAAGATAATTATTATTTAAATAGGACTTCAAGTTTAACCAAATTATGTCACTAAACCAGCTAAAGTGAATTTTGTGAACTCACAAAGGTGTCATAGTCAGCAGAGAGCACAAACAATTATTTAAACCTTTCTCTTTTTAGCTTTTGGCAGAGAACTGAAGTCAGTGTCGTACATTTTTCAAGAATATAGTTAGGGTTTAAGAGAATGAATTTGTAAGTGAAAAAAGTAAAAGTTTCAAGTACATATGAAGGGGTTTTTAAGAGTCAACACATCAATAAACAGGACTGAAGTAACTTTACAAGAATAAAGTGATTTTCTACTGAGGATAATGTTAAAAGTATGAACATACTTCACATTCCTCTTCTTTGTTCCGTCGGATGGCTGCTCCTCTGACTTTCCTCTTAAAAAAACGACAAAGCCTGAAATTAGGACCTTTTCCTCACATATTTACAGCTTAATTCTTGGTCATTTGTGACTTTATTTGCATAAATTTACAACTTAAATGTCAAAACCTCCCTCTTTTTCTTCTTCTAAGAGGCCCAATACCTGGACACAGTTATAGAGATGGAGCATTAAGAGCTTCAGCCACTGACTTTAATTTTCAGAAAGACAGAAAAGTGAACATTTAAGGAAATAATCAGTGATCAGGGAAGTCTTTATTATCTCCAGAGGTTCAATCGTTGTACAGTTAGCAGCGTGACACAACTCTCACACTAACATAAAGAAGAGTTTTCAGAAGAACATATGGGGCCAAAAATGAGCATGTTTGATCACATGATTAAACCAAAGTTGAAAGACTTCTCTGATTGTCTCTGAGCTGCAAATAACTGTTGCCTTTTGCCACAAGTAAAACTGTACAATACAATATACAAAAAACTGTACAGTGCAATATTCTACCCTACAAACTGGTTTTGTACACACTTTTATACTTTGTATACTGTACTTTTTATATAGCTTTATTTCTAATATTCTGCTCTTTTTACTAACTGGTGCAATTTCTTATTTTTTCTTATTCATTCTGTTCTCCTTCCATTAATTTGTTTGTTCGAGAGCAAGTGTAATGCTGTAAGGACTGAATTATTCTGTATCCTGATTCTGATGTCTCACCCTAGTTTCCTCCGTGAGTCACAGTCGTACTTCTTATTAAGAGCATAAATGCACAAAATTTAATTGAAGAGACAAAAGGAATTATTGAATTAACTGGTGAATTATTAAATTAACTTGATGTACTTGATAATCTTCTGTTTTCATCTGGTACCATTTGAGTATTATACTTTACTGTATTTTACTTTACCCTATGTTTACACTTAATGTTATTTCAGGATGAGCTTTGTGATTGTTGTTTATCCCAGTCGTTTTAAAAGTAGCACTTGTTTTTCTGACAAATAATTCAGTTTCTCACGCTTCCTCATTTATTAGATAATTAATCTGCATAAAATTAATTGTATCTTGTTTGTTAAATAATCGAAAAATCTCTACATTACTCTAATATATTTGTGTTTCAGTGTGCATGTCTTCAGGCATACCTTTCCAGAAAGTGAAATAGTAAAGAATGAGGAAACTGGTTCATGTAATTTAGGTTGGAAACTGTGTATTGCTATGATTCTATTCATTTTTTACTTTTATTGTTATTATTATTATTAAGAAAAATAAAAAAGAATAAGAATAGGTGGTTATGCATATTACAATCTGGACAGGATGATTTATTCGTTAAAAATGTTCATTTATGCAGCTGAAAAGTTGTACATCCTTGGTCGGTAATCCTTCTATTGCAACAGATTTGATCATCCTGCCTGGAGGACAAACCAACAGTAAACTGAACACTCACCTTCATGGTCAAGTTAAAACAAGGCCTTCTTATTTTTTATAATTCTCATCAAACTGAAAATGTCCTTTGAACGAGGTGAAAGGGACTCCTGCAGAAAAAGCCCAAACATTGGGACATTTCCCTCCTTTTTCGTCTCGCTTTCTTTTCAGTCTTACATTTTACACACCTTTGGACATAAACAAGGCAAATGTCACTGATTTTAACATCATTTGTTTAACATAGTCTGCAACAATTAGGATGCACTCAAACAACCAGAAACACTTTTGAAAAAATGCAAACAGGGATTTATTGTGAGGTTCAGATGTTCTAGTTTTACCTCTATTCTCTGCTATCTTTTCACTCACTGCTGTGTCGCTTGACAATCATCAGCACACAAAGCAGTAAACCGCTGTGTGCACATATGTGTGTGTGGACATGTGTCTGTGGACATGTGTGTGTGCGTCGTTTTGCAGTCGCCTCTCTGACTCCTGCTCTCATCTCTCCCTCAGGTTTTGGACGGCCTTCTAGCTCAGCATGGTACTGTAGAGCACGTGGAACAAGGTACAGGATTTACCTCCTCTTCACTCCCTGCTCATCTCAATCTCATCTGCCTCCCATTGTTTAATGCACATGTATCTTTTTAGCAACACACACACACACACACACACACACACACACACACACACACACACACACACACACACACACACACACACACACACACACACACACACAAGGACCTCCCAGTGAGTCAAGTCGCCCTGTGTGACTTGACTTCCTCTTTGCCATCATCATCCCACACACTCATTATCTAAACATAACCCATCTCTGCATGTAAATCACTCTTTATCATCTCCTCTTTGTGTGTGTGTGTGCAGTATAAAGTGTGGCTTATGAGTTTGACCCATGGGGAGCAGCGTTTGAACTACATGCAGCCTCTATAATCAGCAGCGCTGTGCATTGCCACGTTTCCCCCCTAGTTTCAGCGTTCGGATTGAAGTGGGCAGACATGGTAGGCGTCCAGGAGTAGTGTGTCCACATGTGTGAGTGTGCTGGCCTGTGTTCCAGGGAGGAGCACACACATGCGCCTGTGTTGAGGCTTTTGTCTGATGTGTGTTTGTGTGTGTTTGCTGGGGAGACTCTGTGGAGTTATCTAAGGGGACTTTTTTTCTGGCTACACACACATGCACAATAAGAAAACCTGCACACACAAGGAGAAAGTAACACTCACGAAAAAACGCACACCATGTCCCTCTGAGTGTGTCAAATCAGCCAAGACAAACTACCACCCACTGTAGTCATGACAGGTGCTAAAAGAGAACCCAGCAGAGAAATTACTCCACTCTCAGACGCTGCCCTGCTTATTCGGCGCTGTAACAAAAAACACCACAGTATTTCCTCCTCTTCCTTTGTTCTTCTTCTCTGAAAGTTTAGAGTCTGAGCGTCCAGAGAGACACCTTACGCTTGAGTCTGTCCGTAGCTCGCTGTGGGTCATTGTACAACTTCTTGTCACTTTTCACAGCCGGCGTCCGTGCGCTCTGGTTACGGGGTGAGGTTTTTGGAGGAGCCCCATGTTCATGTGTGGCATGCTGGAGGCTGCCGGTGATGGGGCAGGGCGGGGCGGGGCAGAGCTGGCTGTGAGCACCGGGCGCTACGCCAGGCTCTGCCCATTCACCCTCTCTGAGCCAGCTGGGCACTCTCGCTGCTTTTAACCCTTAATCCAGCTGCAGGCTCAGAAATTTGAATTTTTTCCTCCACTGCCAAAGAGACTCTCAATGTCTTTTATAATTTCTGGCACTATTTAAAAAAATCTCCCAGGGAAAAAAAACTCAACACTTAAGACTGCTTTTCTTGGTTATTTATCATTCCTCTATTTCTGAGATGCCAGAAATTACATGGCATGTCAAGGATCATTTATTTGTTTGTAATTGCCATTGTGTTGTTCATGCAGTTGAAGCTGGAGTTTATTAGTACTTTTTAAAGAAATATCTAAAGCATCTGTCGTGGATGTTTGCTCATGTTGTGCAGGCTTTGGCATCAGTCCCTCCAATCAAAGAGCAGTGACTTCTTTGTTGACTCATCATTTTGACATTTAGCGGTTACACAGAGATCCATCGGTGACAAAGCAGAGATGCCGCTGTGTCCTCTGACAGAAGCCTTTGTAGAGCAGAAAGGCATTTTATCAAGAAGCCATGCTGGATTTTTTTTTTGTTTGTTTGTTTCTTTTACTATTGCTGTCACAAATTTCCCTCTTCACCTGCATCTACACTGCAAACATTACAATGCACACAACAGGAAGAAGGTCATATAGATACACATCAAAACACAGTTATGCAAAACAGATTTGAGTGCTCAGATTATGCGTGTACTAGTAATGAAACTACACCAATAAATATCACCTGATGCAAATGTTTGCACTCGTGAAATCCTGCAGATCAAACCTCTAACTGTGTTAGATTTGTGTAAGTATAGGTTGACAAATCCCCCTGAGATGCGCCTCTCTTGTAACCTCTAATCCAAGTTATCACAGATCACTTACTTTGTTCAGGCTGCCACGTCCAACTTTTTATTTATTTATTTATCTTTTATGTAAGTGGTCAGCAGGTGTTCAACAGCTCCTGTCTGTATAGGCAGTAGAGGGGTCTGCAGGGAAGATGGCACAGAGATAGCTTTAACAGATTCGTTCAGACAAGTGGCTCTCCGGGTCACCACGGGAACATGGATGCAACAGAGACCTGTTATGTGAATGTGTGTATGTGGCCCCAGCTATTGTTTATTTGATCTCATCTTTTGTGCTTTTCTCTCTCTGTCTTGTTGCACAGTGAACACTGATACAGAAACAGCGGTGGTGAATGTTACATACTCGAACAAGGAGGAAACGAAAGTGTAAGCACCTTGAAATGTACCAAATGTACCTGTGTCCTGCTTGCATTAAAGTCCCACTCCAATTGTTTTGTTTTACTACTTAAAGTGTGTTCTCAGTGGTCTTTAAACTGTGATTATAAAGTTATTAGCCAAAATCACACTACCTGTGTCATTTTCAAGTGCTTTTCTTCTGCAGAGCTCCAGTAGCTCATTAGCAATTCACCTCTGAGTTGTGGGCGGAGACAGCGCTGCTCTGCACACTCCTCTTCATGCTAGCTTGTAGCCTTACATTGCCGGTGTAGTAGAAGTGGCAGGTAACACAGGAGATATTCAGCTCTCAGACACTAATGTCTTTGGGGACATGATGAAAGTTAATATCATAATTAGCTTTCTTACAAGTATAGCAATCCGCTAACACACACGCTTGTTCCACAATCTTCCTCTGAACTACTTGGGGTCTGGCCTGCATTGTGGGGCTCCAGGGGCGATGCTTGAATTTGCTACGTAGGAAATCTCACTGTGTCTGAACCTGCCGTTTTGGTCTGCCAGAGATTCACAGCGATTTGAATGCAGAAATACTCCGCACTTCTTTTTCTCATGATATGTTCTGTAACATCAAAAAAAAATGCTATACAAACATGTAGACAAGAAAATCATGATTTTTATCGGAGTGGGTCTTTAATGCACTACAAAACTAGCAACTTAGGTGAAGTACCTGTTTGTAAATTTTGTGTTTATTTGTTAGATTAGAAAGTGCACTCACAAGGGTCAGAGCAGGGCCGGATCATGGTCAAAACCAGAACACCCGGCTGAAACCTAAGACATGCATATTGTGTCTTGGATTACACAAAGTGATGCCCAAGCTAGTTCCAGGTAGGATGAGGGTGTGAAAAAACAAACAAACAAACAAAAAAACAACTGTCAACAGATTTAGTTAAAAGATGTCACAGATTTTATTAGGATAATTCAGGTATTAATACAAAGTACTGGAACTGCCCTTGAAACATTCAATTAGACTAGCCAGAGCTGGAGAGTAAAACTATGAGTCTTTAACTATTTTATTGGTTTGAAAAGAAAAGACTTCTTCCTAGTTCACTTCATGTTAAGTCTCAGTAAAGTATTAGTAGTAGTATACTGTACTAAAGTTTTCATGTGTACAGCTGTTTCATTGTCTATAATCTTATTGTCCTCCTCCTCAGAGCCATTGAGAAATTAACGGGACACCAGTGCGACGACTACTCCTTTAAGGTGTCTTATATTGTGGATATGGATGCTGCTCCACCAGACCAGGGTCCTCGCACACGGCGGGGGGGTCGGTCGTCCCGGGACCAATGCTCCTCTCAGCCTGGGCCCTCTGGAGAGTATTATCCTTCTCGCGGCAAACAAAACGACTTCCCCACACGCATAGTCGTGCCTTCTCAGTTTGTGGGCGCCATCATCGGCAAGGACGGTCAAACCATCAAGAATGTCACTAAACAGACTCAGTCCAAGTAAGCTGCGGTGATGTGAAGAAGACTTAGGATAAGATGTCGTCTGTTTTCTGCTTCTTTTGTGTCTGTGATGCTTTTAGGCAACTCTTACAACTAAACCTTTTAAACTAAATATCTGATACTGTGGTGCATAGTCTGACTGTTTCTCTGTCAGATTTGGAAATGACTTGCAGGAGTTAACTGGGCCTAAAGACGGCATGTTTGCTGCAGACTCATTTCTGATGCATTGCATCTTTTTTTGTGTTCTCTCTGTCTGTAAGGGGCAATATGACAACCTTCATTTTAAATTCACAACAAAGTTGGATCTTTCCTTTTTTCCCCCTCCTGTCTCTGTCCTCAGTGTTGTGTAAACCTCGGCCGGTCTGTCTGTCTCTCTTTCCCTCAGGGTGGACGTTCATCGGAAGGAAAACGCAAGTGCATCGGAAAAGCCCATCACCATCCACTCGACCCCCGAGGGCTGCTCCGCCGCCTGTCGCATGATCCTGGAGATCATGCACAAGGAGGCGAACGAGACCAAGACGTGAGTTCACATTTCCACATACACACAGACATTTACATGAACGCACTTGGATGAGCATCCTGTCCCACAGAGAGATTAGCCATAATGTCTGCAGAGCTGTAATCTTATCCTTTAACCTGCCTGCACACCTTTTAATCTCACTGTGTATTCTTTGGCGTGGACCACTAACACAGTAAACGCAGCGCTCACAACGCACTCACGTAGGCCAACATGTGATCGCAGCTTAGCATTTAAGAAACGAGGCCAAGGCGTCTAATTGGACTTGACAGTTTTAACGAGACACTACACCTTTAAAACTCTTTGAGCTTCTGCTAAATCTTATCACCTGCACCCATCCTTAACACATGATACCAGAGTTTGTCTGTATTTTGGAAGGGCTGCATGTCTCAAAGTCATCCGTGATCTTATGAGCACACAGAGAGTTGTGCTATATCCTCTTATGCTGATTTCAAGAGCTTGTTTAAAGATAATTTCAGCCAGTGTGAATGCTGACAAAACTCTGATTTATTGGCTATATTAACAGGTTCACCTCTTGCCATAAAAATATGTTGTTAAGCTTCTTGTCAAGCTCAAAAATGAAGTATTTTTTGTTTAATACGTGTTAAAAATCTGTTAATTTTGAGTCTGAAATTAAATGTATGACAGAGTGTGAGGGCCACATTAAGAAAAAAAAAATTAAGACTTTGAGATTAAAGTCACAACTTATGAGAATAAAGTCATTACTACCGAGAATGAAGTCAAAATAAAGTAATAACTTATGAGGATAAAGTCAGAATAAAGCCCTTATATTTTATCCTGATGTTTAAGTTGACAGTAGTTGAAATGAGAGCTATGGAGCATTTCGTGAAAATGTACTTTAATATAGGTCTCTCAAACCGAGAGACTTAATCTTTTTGCACATCAGCACCACATTATCATAAGTAGCCTATCGTAATGATTTTATTACGACTTTATTCTCGTAAGAAATTCTTTTAGTAAGACTTTATTCTCGTTAGTAATGACTTTATTCTCGTAAGTTAATGACTCAAAGTCCTATTATTTTTCTTCTTAATGTGGCCCTAATACTCCGTCGTATAAATCCCCCTAGTTTCAATAAATTAGCTAAGCTACGCTAAAAAACTGCAGAATGTGGTTCGATATCAACTGTACTAACAAGACCGCATTACAGATCTTCTCATCAAACCTACTGTGAGAAAATTAATACCAATTTTTTCATTAAAGGTTACAAATAAAGTCAGATATGTGTAATTTAAATGCTTTAAAATACAGAATAGCAAATACATGCTCAAACCAGATCCAAATCAACTGATGTAACTTCAGTTTCTTGTCGTCCAGCTTCTGGTGGGTTTAATGTAATTGCTGTAATTCTTCTCGGTGAAAAGGATCTGCCATAACAGTGATATGCTGTTTCAATAAATCAGTCGACACCTCTGATCCACCTTAATCTGTTAATTCCTCCCTCAAACGTTACAATAACCTCTGAACTTCTGCTAAGTGTTGACTAAATAACACCACCCCTCCTTGTATGAGTGCCACACCTGCAGAAACCGACCTGTTACCTCAACCTCCAAACACCCTGTCATTACCAACACCCAGTGTAACCCCAACCAGCTCTTTACCTTTTAACCCCACAACAACAACACTGTCATCTCTGCCCTACGCTCACCACAGACTGATTTCACCTTACATTTACTATCAAGTCCTATACATGCATGACTCGCCCTACACACACACACGCACACACACACACACGCGAAACCTTACAAAGACTGTGACCCAGCCTAAAAGAAAAAACACCCAACTCAACCACAACACCAATTCACACTTAAACCACATGAACGTCAGCAGAAACATAGATTGAAGATAAATGATGCTCCACCCGTTCACCCAACTTATCTGTAAAACGTACACTTTGGGTTAAAGCAGCTTCAGTTCACAGATGTGTGTTTTGCTGGAATTTCCTTGTAGTTTCCTGAAAAGAGAAAGTGAAACTTAGTGACTCTCTTGAAGGTGAAATATTCACAAAGCTGTGAGACTGTGCTCTGATGTGTAGAGGTTGATTGTTCTGGTTTAGAATCAGTTCATGATTTTGAGAAAATTGACTCGATTTATCCCAGTTATATATTCATTTTTTGTCGTGATTTTTGTAAAATTACTTGATAGGATTTGAAACTTAAATGCGTGTTTGCTTTGAAGAGATTTTTGTGTGGTTGTCCTCTTCATGATGTCAGATTTTTAGCCGAGCGATTTCATGGAAAATTTAATCTCTTCAAAGTACTCCGGACTCTCTCTGCAATTCAACCAACTTATACAGCTTAAGCAATCTGTTTACTTTAGACAATCTTTGAATCAACAAACCACAATAGTAAGAGGAAAAACACCAGCTCTTAGCTTTGACATTTAAGATATTTGGCTTTAAGGTAAATATGACGTAACGTTGGATTTGAGGCCAAACTCTTGTTTGTTTTGCACACAAGTCTTTTATTTGAGTTAGCATTACTATTCTTTAGCATTAAAATAAATGCAACCTGCAGAAACACATTTTACTCTTTCATTTCCAGATGAGCTGTGTGGGCTAATAGTAAGAGGTTTAGCTCCTTTAGCAGTTCCTTCAAATTAATCAGAAGTCAATCAATTCAAGACTTGCCAAATTTAATATAATTACACTAAAATTATAAAGCTCCTCTCTGAAAAGTTAAGCAGGAATAATTGAAAGAATCTGGGTGTTAATGAGCTTTTATATTGTAATGAGTGGAGCGGATGAGCATTGAGCATTAAAAGAAATGCTGAAAAAATGATTGGTTAAGTGTTTTGACTTATTTAGAAGATTGTAGGTTTTTATCACCCTCAGATGGTGTCATCCTTCCTGGTTTTGTCCTGTGAGTGAAAGCATGTCGGAGCGGATGGAGTTGTACTTATTGCAGCAGCGTGTTTATTGTAAACAGACGCAAACCACGAGTTCTTGCAGAGAGTAACAACAGCGTCATGCTGTGACCGTACAAAAACTCAGCTGGAAAGTGTCTTTAAACTGATATTTTTGGGGTTTTTTTTTCTGCTGCACAAATTTGCAAAACCAAAAACGGGACCTTGGAGAACAGATTTAAAATCAAAGCTTCATGTCTTAACATCGGGCCTCGTGCTGACTGCAGCACTTCTCGCGCGCTCGCTCGGCAGCTTTTCACATTCCTGCTCATAACATTCCTCACACCGTCAGCATCAGTGACACTATCGTCTACTATCTCACCGAACCTGTGTGTTTCTGTGTGTGTGTGTGTGTAGGATGGAAGACGTCCCCCTGAAAATCCTCGCCCACAACAGCCTGGTGGGCCGGCTGATTGGAAAGGATGGCCGCAACCTGAAGAAGATCGAGGAGGAGACAGGGACCAAGATTACTATCTCCTCGTACGTTGCCTCCTTAACTGCTTTGTCACACACACCCACCCACAGACTCACACGTGGCCAGCAGCTACACTACTCGCTGTGCTATAACCTCGGGTAACACAAACTCGATTGAGAACTTGTGTGATTGTGTCACAGCAGCAATTACACTCTGAAGGACATTTTTTATCCAAATTTAAACCAGCGCACAAATAACAGGCGGTGATTTCAACCCCTGGGTGCCACACCTCTTTCTCATTAGCCTCCCAGCGTGTGGTTTCACTTAACCGAGTTGTAAGAGAGCAAATGTGAAGAGTCGATTACAGCTCCTTCACTCCAGAACATGATATTAGAGAGGTGGCAGTTACACCCATTTAACGGAGCGTGCTCGCCAACCTTCGTTCATTTGGGTTAATGAATTGCTCTGTCTGCGTGAGCTCTGAAGACGATGTAATGAGCCCTGAGATAGAGACAGGAAAAGGAGGAGGGAGACGACAACAGGAGGAGAGGGTCCTATTTTTGAAGAGTCCAATCAATATTTATGGTCATGTGGAATCCTTTCAGAGTCTTCTTCACGGATGGATTATGGTGCTTCACAGGCTCAAAGTTGCTATATGGAATAAAACACTCACTCTGTTCATGTAATAACAAAGGGAGTTGTTAAAAAAGATTCACTGTGACTTTTGTGTCAGCTCACCTACATGAAAAGATACTCGTCAAAGATTTTGACACTGATCTAAGCTGATTTTCACAGCTGCAAAATCAATGCTTTGTGAAAACCTAAGAACTACTTTAATGGCAGTTTTTCTGTCAAACTTTTTTTGACCTTACTGAGATTAACTGTGGTTTAATTTCCAAAGATTGAGTCGTGATATGGCCGCTGCACAGAGTTATGATATCGCGCTAAATATCTAGCTGCTATCTTTTGACACTAATGTGTTTTTACAGCAGCTGCTCCCGTAATAAGCGAGGATGGATGAATCAGTTTCATCTGTGGACACGTAGAAATGATGACGAAACTCACGTCTTGACCTTGTGAGATACAAACAGAATACAACACGGATTTTTACTTTATGAGTTTTCTCATCATGACATGTACTCAACAGAAAGAGAAGAATGCGTCTCTACTTTTGGATGAGCGAGAATTTTCAAAATGACAAGAGTTCAAAGGATATTGGTTTTCCCAGGCAGGAGGGGGATAATGCCATATTTATTTCCTGACAGAACTAATACATTTATTTATTTCTGATTAATAAATGGTTTTCATGTCAGTGTCAAGGTTATTATATACTACTGTGTTGAGTTTTTATGGATGTTTCAACCTAATTCGATAGAGGATTTTACTTGGGTTGGACACTTGCCTGCTCAAGCTGCTCTACCAAGGAGCATTTTTCAGTCTCTTCCTCTTTAAAACGTGTAAGAAACACTTTTGTGTTGCATTATGGGAAACATTTCCAGATGCAAACAAGTGAAATCAGAGCCATACTGTATGACCCTCCTCCGCTCAGTTTTGGCATTTCTATTTTAAATCTCTGTTTGTTTTACTCTAACTTTATGGAAATGTGGGACTTAATTGCTAGTTAGCTAAATGCGAAATGTAACGCCATTTTTTGATGATGCAGCCTTCACTGATACCCATCACAAAGACAGGAAATGCAACTCAGAGCGACTCAAGCATGTACGCTAAGAAAGTGAAATGAGTGTGCAGGTGTTGGATATGTAAATTCTTACATATCGTGTGTGTGTGCGTGTGTGTGTGTGTGTGTGTTTGTGCGTGTCATCCTTCCTGTAGGTTACATGGCCTAACCATATACAACCTTGAGAGGACCATCACCATCAGGGGCAGCTTGGAGGCATGTTGTAAAGCTGAGAGGGAGATCATGAAGAAGCTGAGGGAAGCCTACGAGAACGACTGTGCTGCTATAAACGTAAGTGGAGCTCAGGGGTTACTATCTGCAGTGTCTATGCATGTGTGTGTGTGTGTATGTGTGTGTGTGGTTATGATCTCAGGTTGACTCACGCAGGCTGACAGGTGAACATCGGAGAGGAGTGTTGATGTAGAGCAGGATAGCGTTGCCTCCTCATTCAGCGCTTGTTACCAGCAGCATTAATAATAGTGTCTGCTTGGTAAATGGATAACAGTGAAGAAGTGTGAGTGTGTGTGTGTGTGTGTGTGTGTGTGTGTGTCTGACTCACACCTTTTTCCCCACTGTGTGTGTCTGTGTAACACACTGCGTTTCCCAGCATCCATCTGATATCTGTAGGCTCCTCTCTCACCCGGCTCCCCTTTCGCGAGGAGCTGCCCTGATGACATCACCAGTGCTGCAGCCTGAGAGGTCAGCCTCAGAGGAAGAGAGCTAGTGATGAAATCACATGCTGCACACACCCCCCTTGTGTGTTGCAGTAATATGAAGATGGATGCAGATTAAGTGACTGTATTGGCTGATGGTGATGTAACATGCAGAGAGGATCACAGTCCTGGTGGATGCCTTTCCCTGGCTACTTTTACACGAGCTGCCAGGTTTCTCACTCATTGTGATCGTACAAATATTGGCTGGGAAATAATCATCAGGAAGCATCACGCAGCATGCGGTTAAATTGTACCGGCTGGTGTGAGCAGATCTGGCACCTGTCGGGCTGAGCGTTGGCTCTACAGTAAGCGGTGAGGGCCATCTAGCGTGACACTGTGGAAATTACACAAAGCTTTCTGAGCAAGGAGGAAGTGGAAAGAGACCGCGTGTGACTCCTCGGCCATGAAGCCAGATCAGCTGATTTGTCAGTGTCTGTCTACCATGCTGTTGCAAATTAAACCCTTTAAAGACGTCAGTTTTCCTTAAGCAAAGACATCCTGTCCTGTCCTCAAAGCTGTGGCAGATTGCTGGTATTTTTAAGTTGTTGTCATAGAGTTTGCAGTTTTTTTTATCTGAAGAATAAGAAGGAATTTAGTCCTCACAAGATGGCCTTTAGATTTATCTGAAGAGAAAAAAAGAAATCTGAAGTTACATGATTGAAAGGAAAAGTTTCACTGTTTCGCAGAGTGATTGTGAGTGAAAGAGCAGCCAGTGATTATCTTTAGCATAAATTATATGTGGATTATTACTTCAATTGATTAAATCATTCGTAATATCGTTTTAGAATCACTCCTAAAGTATTTTAAGAGCATGGGTTCAGATTTTAAACAACTTCAGAAACTCAAACACAAACATGTTTTATTTAAATTGAATAGAAACAGAAGAAATGCTAACAGATTTGGGAGGCCAAAGACCTTTTCGTTGTATTATTGCCTAATATTTTTTTTATTTTTTCATCATAACTGTTGCTGACTGCTTACAAACTATAGAGCAAAGCTGAATTTCTCATCTTTGAGGTGAAAAAATACAAAAACATGATTTACTTTCATTTCTGCGACTCCATCGAAAGTTAGGTGTCAAACTTTCCCTCTATTTCAAACAAATTATGTGAGTTTGAATGATTTTGATTAAAACAGGACTGGGGAACTGTTTTTGACACAGAAAAACTCATTTGCCTTTGCTTTTGTTATCTTTTCTATGTCTAGTCAGAACTAAAGCCATTTTAGTTGAAACCCTAATTGCAGCTGCAGCCACACATTGTTGTCATGCAGTATTTTAAAAGGCGACTGTGAACTATCTTGAACAACCCAGATAGAGCTGCAGGAGGATGCTCGAGAGATGGAGGTGCAGGGCAGCTGTGGCAAAGGCAGAGACGAAAAATCCCACAGACCATCAAACTGGGAGGATACATTTTTAAAGTGATAGAGAAATGTGATATCGCTACAGCTGGAATTGCCTGCTTGAACCAGCACACATGCATTGTCAGGATTGAAAAGGAGCTAAAAATGTTAAAGTTAAAATGAAGAGCCATCTCAAAAACTAACTTACTGCTTCTTGTCACACAGCAACAGGCCAACCTGATCCCGGGCCTGAACCTGAATGCTTTGGGTATCTTCTCCTCGGGTCTGCCGGTATTGCCCCCTACTGCTGGACCACGTGGTGCAGTACCCCATATGGCACCAGCAGGGTACAACCCATTCTTAGTGAGTACACACCTTCTGCTGCTCTACCTCTGCTGGTCTCAGCGACACACGGCTCCTGCAGGGATCAGCTTTGACTTGATAAAGCAATTTGTTTTCTACACTCCGTAAACCAAGCTCCCCCTGAAGTGCTTTCAGAAAAAACAATCGTGTGTTGACTCAGGTCTTCCTGTGCGATGCTGCACACACTTTGAAACGGGCAGAATTCCCCTGTCTTCACCAGAGATGAGTCAGTTTGTCAGTAAAACACAGTCTCCACTCATTGCCAGAGCCAAAGTAGTGTGAGACAGCGTGTGAGAATGTCTTTGCGTGCTTCTTAGGAAACAAAGTTAGTGTATGATTCACCCAGAGTTTATGCCCCAGAATTCCCCTCAATAAGAGCCGGGATTGTGTACATGCCTGTGTATATGAATGAGCATGGTTTTGTGCCGTCTGATTGGTCTGCTTCACTTTCAGAGTCACTCTTCACATCTCAGCGGCCTGTATGGGGTTCCTCCAGCAAGTGCCATCGCCCACCAGCACTCAGTACGTTCCCGCTACAGTCAGTGTTGCCATGGTGATCAGAGAATAAGCCACTAATTTGCCTTGTTATTTCCTAATGCCTAATAATTATTGCCATAGTTTTTGGCTTTTAAAGCATGCAAAGACTTGCCAAGCTGCTTGTGCCTCTCTGAGCAAGTGACTTTTGGTATATGCAGGCATAGACGTAACAGTGCATAGACGCAAATAAAAAAAGATTTAGAGGGATTCATAAATAACAAAACCATGACTACTTCTCTGTCTGTGTCGAATGGTGACCCCAGCATTCCTGCATACCATCACCCAGTCACCAGAGGACCACAAATATTTCTGGAAGGGGACTTTTCAGACCAGAGTTGCCCTGTGGCTCGTAAAAATTCTCTGCATAAGCTTCAACTACACGTGTGTTATCATGCTAAGAAAAACAAAACCACGGGGCGACCATTGACCTTAAGAGGAAAGACGCCAGCTCAGGCCCAGCCTAAGTGAGATGTTTACCTAAAAGCAAAACCCTAGAAGAGGGCTCAATTTAGCTTCCCTTGCAAGTAGTGTCATCATTTTCAGCTGCTTCTCAAGAATCTGTCGAGTCAAATCAGGATTTTTTTGACTATTTTAATCTGCTTTGACTGTTTTTTAGGTTTTATTTCAGTCAGTGTCAGCAGTAGAGTTCAGAAAAAGTGTGGTGAAAAGTTTTTTTTCTGTGTTTTTTTCAACAGCAGGCTCAAGAACAGGAGGTTGTCTACCTCTTTATTCCAACTCAGGCTGTAGGGGCCCTGATCGGCAAGAAGGGCCAGCACATCAAACAACTCGCCCACTTTGCTGGAGCCTCGATCAAGGTGGGTTTTTAAATGTCAACACAGAGCCGACTTCAATTAGTCCAAAGAAAGAAGCGGTCAAAGCGTGTCTCATCACTGTGTAGGCTTCACAAACATGTCTTTGAGCTTCACGCCGACTGTTGAGGTGAAGTAATCAAGTTTGCAGTCCATTCTTGCTGAGTCAGCAGCCTTGCATGGACCACAGCTGAGGATGTTGGTTACTCACGGTCAAAAACAAATAACAAAAAGTGGGATGACTAGTGAGGGGGGAATTTTAGAAAGCCCCCTCAAGCCCCGTCTGCAGAGATGAGACAGCTGGTCAATAAATTCTGATAACATCATGTAACGTCGTTCTTTTAATTGAAGGAATATGCAGCGCTCTTGGATGATCCTTCCTGGATGCATCAGTTGGACCCAATGCAGCTTTAAAGTCACGTTTTCCTCGTACTTGTCTACATAACCTGCTTATCTGTGTGTCAGATTGCCCCAGCTGAGAGCCCAGATGTAACTGAGAGGATGGTTATTATTACTGGAACCCCGGAAGCTCAGTTTAAGGTAAAAACGCCAGATATCTGTGCTCAATAAGGAATCATGTAAGATCAAAATTATGAGCAACATTTTGATAATAAGAGTCTTTGTTAATTTATCTAATGTAGTATGATTACTTGTGTCCTGTGTCATAGTAAACTGCAGCGGATCACTGTGTTCCCCCATTTTCCCCAGTCTCTCCTTGCCTCATTCCCTCCTCTGTATTCCAGGCCCAGGGTCGGATATTTGGGAAGCTGAAAGAGGAGAACTTCTTTTCAGGGAAGGAGGAGGTCAAACTGGAGACGCACATCAAGGTCCCCTCATGCACAGCTGGCAGGGTCATCGGAAAAGGTGGCAAAACGGTGAGTTGTTGTTAGAACTGAACTGAGGCTCTTAAAAGAATAGTTCCATTTCTTTATTCACTCTTCCAGTGGATTTGTGTTTTTTCCTGTAAGTGAAGTTGGAGATCAACTTTAAAGCAGGAGTCTTTTTGTTTTTAGGTAAATGAGCTACAGAACCTGACGAGCGCTGAGGTAATCGTACCGCGGGACCAAACTCCAGACGAGAACGACGAGGTCTTTGTGAAAATCAGTGGGCATTTCTTTGCCAGTCAGGTAAGCAAAAGTAACCAAGTTGCTTGTATATTTATTCCAACAACATGCGCTGAAGAATAAAAAGTTGGGAGTGTTTTTCTTAAAGGACCAGAAAATTATTATTTAGCTGTCACAGTCCGGAGTTAAACAAAAAGGAAAGGACCCAAAATGCAGAACAAAAACAAAGGGATTTATTTTAAAAGAACGAAATAAAAAAGCAACAAATAGAGAGAAAAATCCAAAAGTCAAAATCCACAAAAATCACTGGTGGCAAAATCACATGGGGCAACTGGGGACACGAGTATACACACACAGACATCAACATACATACAATGAACCAACAAGGACAGAGGGGAGGACAGGGACTATACATACAGGGAAACGAGCAACAGGTGAGGCAAACGAGACACAGGTGAAACTCGTGTGATTAACGAGGGAGGGAAAACTAGGGAAGTAAAACCAAACTAGAAACACAAAAAATCAACTACTACAAAATAAAACAGGAAACACTTAAAACTGATCTAAAGAATAAAACACAGAGACCATGAGGGAAACAGGGTCAAACACAAACTGAAAACTCACAAGACTGGACTTCAGGAACAATAGGGAACAGAAACACTAAGGAAAAACACAAAGAGGAAAAAAAACTAAATTAACAGACCATATCATGACAGTAGCTCCTTAAGTCCAAGGTGACAATTTTTAATCTTGTGCACACAAACATGTTCGTGATAGCAGAGGCCAATTGCTTTTTACACTGTGTGAATTGTTCATTCTGTATTGTCTGTGGCCCAATGTGTGAAATTTAGCGTCTTTAAGAAAAACAGATTTGGTAAAATGAAATATAACACTTTTAAGTATGTTTAAATTTGTGTACAGTAACCTGAATTTAAAAGTTTGGTTGACTCAGAAAGAGTGGGCTATTTTATATCTACGTTAGGGGTAGATCCCCCTCCTCATGTACTTTTATGTTTCTACTCTTGCACAGAACAAAGTAACTGAACATACATGTTTTTGTAAAATGCACTGGCTGGAAGATGAAGAAGAGCGGTTGTTGTGCAAAGAATTTAACAATTAGAAAATGTTTTTGATGGTAAAAATGAGACAAATGGTGGATCATACTTGTATGACAAAGGATCCTCTTGTCTTTGGCGGCCACCATTGCCTCTGGTAGACAGGGGTGAGCGGGGAGTGTTTCAATCTTAAAATCTAGTTTTTTTGCTGTAAAATATCGCTAAATGTCATTATATGTGCACGCTCAGAGAATCACACTGGTACTGGTATTTTGTGTGCAACATAAGCGCCCCCTGTTGGGCAGTGATGAGGGGTGTGCTCTGTCTTTTGTTAATTTAAAAAGCGCCGCTAAAATACATCTGATAAAGTGATTTTTTCTTTATGAAATGCTGTTCATTTATATGATATGTTTATATGTTTACATTGATTTGCCCACAGCTAGCTTTCTAGGTCGTGGCTACTTCACTTTTGTAATGTAGTAGTGCTGACCCACATTTAGCTTTTCTATTTTATCATTTTCTTTGCTCATTACTATAACAAAAAATGCTGTGTATGCTGTTTTTATCGTGATAAATGGGGTGTTGGAGCCAAAACTCGATGTTTATGCCTAGTTCATCACATGTGCCAGATAAGAGCTTGTACGGCTGCTGTCCTAACAATTTTTGCTTACATGGTTGAAGTCCTACATTTTATTGCACACACTAATCATACTGTATGTTTTTAATGGTAATAGCATTTTATTCTCAGTACTCTAATTTCTGTTTTTATTTATGGAAGCATAACCAGGGACAGGGGTTGCTAATTAGCTATATGCTATATGAGGCAATTTATCATCCATTTGTTCCTGTGAAATAAATGAATACACAAATATGTGTGCATAGAAAATAGTATAATTTTTAGGTTATTGAATCATGGGACAGCATTGGCTTTGTGCACCAGTACAAATAAAGAATTCTGCCCTCTGTCTATCTCATTCCCCTGAACCAAATTAATCAATCAGGTTGAGTACCTCAGATTTTAATGGTAACATTATTTTCATATGGACACACTGAGATGTTTTAATTATCACCTGGTCTCACGTGTGCTGTCCCTCCATCAGACTGCACAGAGGAAGATCCGGGAGATCATTCAGCAGGTTAAGCTGCAGGAACAGAAGCACCAGCAGGCCGCCGCCGTGTCACCACACCACTCCAAGTGAGCAGCAGGGTGGCTTCAGCGGGCACCAGCCAATGAATGTAGCCCTCCCAAACGGACAGAGACCTACCCTGACAAAAGGCAAGGGCCAAGGGGGACATGCAGGGCAGACCAGCAGCACTGGGATCAAACCAAAGAACTCGGGGGGGAAACAAGTGAGAGCCAAAGGCTGAGGGCATTGTGTGCACTGCCAGCCCTGTGAGAGCAGATGGAGTGGGAGAAACCGTACTGATAGTATATAAGAAAAAGACCAAAAAAAGAGAAAAGATCTAAGAGGAAGGTGGAAAATGGCAGAGAATTGGGGAACTGTTGTCTTCACAGTCCCAAAGGTAAACAGAAAGAAGTTTGTTGCCCTGCATAACGTTATCTCTTTAGTTGGACTAACATAGGCCTAACAAATGGATAAAGCAACCGCATTAGCGCGAGCATATACAAGGATTTGTGATTGACATTTTGGGTTAGAATGTGAGCGAGTGACAATGGACACCTTCTCTCACAGAGTGAGATACTAAGATTGCAAGATTTAATAGCATTAGCAGTATTAATACAGAGTAGAGAGAGTATATTGATACACACTGAGAGTATGCACTGTTATTTTTCTATCAAAATGACAGTCCCACTTGGTGTAGTTCTACGTATTTTGCTTGTTCCAGAGATTGATCGGGCTGTGGCTGTAGCAGCCACAGAGAAGTGGTTTCCTTTTGTTTTTTCACATTATAGGCCACTCAAATCTAAAAAAAAGAAAACCCTATAATAAGTAAATATGGTGAATGAGTCTTTGTAACAAGCCTGTGTGTGTGCCAACGCAAAAGATAACGTCCCTTTGAAACATCTCTCACCATTCATACCTGACGCTACACTTGTTTTATTTTTCCTTTTCTTTCTTTTCTGCTTCACTTTCTCATCACTCTCTCTCATCTCTCGCTTCATGTTTGTTTGATAGGATGAAAACTTTTGTCGTCGAGTCTCACCTTTTTTTTTCCTGTAGCCTTTTTGACATTTAACTGATTGCCACTTTTGCTCAGCAGAGGTTAAACGCAACAGAGGGATTGGTTTTTATCAGAAATCTGGTATCACTGTCCCATTCTGTAAAGAAAAATACGATATCTACATTCATATTTGTCCTGGTTTTATTGAAAAACAGATGTCTGTACAGGCATCAGAGCAAAAATTGACGTCTTAAAAAAAGAAGATAGGTGCACCTTTGCTTGTTAGCCAATTGTTTTGAATGTGCACCGCCTCACGCTCTGCCTTATGAGGACGTCACAAGGGCCAATCAGGGTGTGAGACATGGGCCTAGACAAGGGGACACAGGGGTGGGGGTGGGGCAGGTTGGGAGGGTGCAGACTTGTGGTGTGTGGAGTGGCAGTGAGGAAGCATTTTAGGGGTTTAGAGGAGGGTGGGGTTTCACGAGGAGGCACTGTATGACCTGTGGTGCACACACAACCGCAAACGTAACCGCAGCAGCGTTTGGCTTTAACCCTCGGTGTCAGGGAGCTTTCTAAAATGGCATGACAGCTGTGAATGTACGATATGCAGCCTTTTCAGAAAAACGTCACCCCTGCAGTGTCCAGTGAGGCCGGGCCAGAGGCACAGACACACAGATTGTCATTCTCACTCTCGCTCCTTTTCCCCTTTTTTTTCGGTGCTTTATTTTTATTTCGATTCTTATTTTTGAGAGCTGGCCGACCGCTGTGTGAGCACACTGGACACGCAGGTCCTGGTGTCCCCTCTGTACTTGACTTTGGGGACCTTGGAAGCTTGTTGCCTTATTTTGTCACCTGTCAGAAAAAAATCACTCATCCATCAGCTTCATCTTCCAGACGCAAGGTTATTGCCAATACGCACAGCTCCCTCCGTGTGTGTGTGTGTATGTGTGTGTATGTGTGTGTGCGTGGCATGTGTGTGTGTACATATATATAAAAAGAGAGAGTAATATTTATGAATCTATTTTTTTCCTATTTTGTGATGAGAGCTATTGATAAGAAACAAAAAGAAAACAAAGTCCTTTTCTTTTTTTCCTCAGTGGGACACTGCCATATTATTTTGAAGGGAAGTGTTTATTTTCTTGAAAACTAGACTATGAATAATAATAATAATATAAAGAAAAACCTGAAAAAATAGGAGAACAGTAAAGTGAACCAACGCGTTAACTTTGGTCAGATGTGAACAGTGCGCATGTCAGTATTGTGATCTACCTCAGGCTTCAGGGTACCTCAGTCCAATCTTTCATTTCCCCTTTTTTCCACATTTTGTATGCCTTGTTAACTGATCATTTTGAGCGTTTTTAATTTTCTTTTTTAATGAAAATAAAAAGAACAAGATCTAAAGTAAGCTCTAAACTCTTCAGGTCCAGCCAACTAGTGAATCTTTATAAAACCATAGTGAACTCTGGTGGATTGTCTCTGCCTGGATGCCATACAACCTCTTACAAAAAAGACGTCACAAAGTTTCAAAGTTGATTTTTATCGCTAGGAAGGAATGAAGAGCGGGATCTAAGGGGTACATACCTGCCCGATGTGGTTCTGAATGTGGATGTTGTGTACTGATTTCACCATCAAAGAAAGAAAAAAGAAGACAGAAAACTAACCAACTGTACCTCCTGTTTTTCCCAAACTGTACCTCCAGGTTTTTTTTAAAAACTTTCAAAAGAAAATGAAGTTTATTCACTTGTGAAAAACAAGAATTTTGTAACAACCCAACCCGATCTTTACCAGCTCTGTTTGTTAATACTCTGGGGTTGATTTGAAGAAAAAAACATAAGCTGCAAAAATACACTAACAGGACTCTTGAACATGGTGTAAACCCTCGTCTTCTGTGTAAAATGTAGAACAACTCTAGTCTAGTGGTTAAGATGTCACTGTGTACAACAAGATAACTGTATAACTGTAAACATGTACAATAGAGTCACACATGAAATGCATCAAATTTCTGTCTCTCTATAACACTTACCAGTCTGCACCTACGTTTGTGAGAGATGGTGGGAGGAGTTTGGAGCATCACAGCTTCCCTCAAAAACAACCTCTGAACGGTTTTCTCATCAATTGACCGACTTTCTTTCTCTTGTTTTGTTTTGTTGTGCTGTAAATTTCAGAATTACCTCTCAGAATTCAAGGCTGAATTTTAGTTACTAAAACCAATGTAGGGCAAGAAGAATTAAATAAATGAACAATAATTTAGTGAAAGTTAGTGTTCTTCTTTGGACTTCTTTTTCCTGTCAAGAGCTGACTGACTTTTTTCAGGGCAGACTTTTGTCATCAGTTGAGGTGAATCACTTTTCGTCCCAGCGAACACAAAATAGCAGTAAGAAGAAAACAAAAAGGTCTATCAAACTCACACAATGCCTGAGGCTGCTTCAGCAAGCCTCCACATAGCCGGTACAGTACCTCAAACTGATGACGACAGCTTGCCAGACCTGATTCAAATACCCTGACCTTAAGTACACGAATGCAGTACGGTGCTTCTATGCAGTGGCGGAGCCAGGAGGGGGGCACCCTGAGGACACCCCTGTTGAAATCAACTGTCGGGGTTGCGTTTGAACAGGTTGTTCATCGCTTCTTTGCCTTGTAATGTGGAGAAAAGTCTTTTTGGGACTTTAAATGTTGACTTGAGACAAAAATCTTATTTATGGATTTAAATATTTGGACTCAGCCGAGTCAGCGCTCAAAATTTAAAAAGTTACATCCATGAATTTGACTCTTTTTAAAATCCTCTTTTATATTTGAAGTTGACCTAAATGTGATTGGTGGAGATAAACCTCCTGGGCTCAGTTTAGGCCCTCAACGATGACCATGCTACAAAAGTCAGGACCCCAGTTCGGCCACGCCAGACAAATGGATGTCTCCGCCACTGCTGCTACAGGATCTTAAAGGTTCCTTTGACAGTCTGAGTCAGTGTCTTAGGAAAAAAAAGGCTTTTGACGTAGCACTGGAGTTTGTAGAGTGTCACTCGTGGTCTCTTTGACTGTCAGGAGTAGCTTTTTTAAAGCAGTTTTCAATCTAATGCTCTTTCCTTGTGTCACAGAGGAGTCTGCGGACCTCTCTCTTGTGTTCTGGCTCCTTCAGTGGTAGGTTCAGTTTCACTGTGGTGTCGACAGCAGAGCGATGGCCAATCACTATCTGAGGTTGTTAGGATGACAGTTTTCTTTTTTATTTTTAATTTCCAAGGATTGGTTGTTTTTTAGATTTTGTGGGGTGTTGCTAGACATTAATATTCAGCTCCAGATTAAAAACCACGATTACACACATCACTGCGGGTGTACTGTGTTGTTAGTCATATCACATGGTGGTTGGATAGCTTAGGCTTTTTTTTTCCTGTTTTGTTTTCTGTTGATCTGGCTTTCTCGTCATTTACACTGATTTAATAATGTAGTCTGGGGCAGTAGCTGGGATTCTTTTGCTTTAATATTCATTCCTGTTAGATCACTATCAATGATACTAGCTGTTAATTGTGTTTGAATATCCTATCATGGATTTTAAGTTAATTTAGGAATCAGAAAGGCAAGAGGGACGGTCTCTGACATACAAAGAAGAGTCGACGGAGGATTTAGGTTTGATTTAATGAAAAAAGCTGACAAAATGTGTTCTGCCTTTAGGACTGAACAGAAAAGTGGGCATTCAACAACCATCCAAATATCACAGCTCAACTGGGGAAGGATTTAGTCATGATGTCTGCAGAACTACAGCAGTTTTTTTGTCCTGTCTTGTTTTTAAATGGGAAAAACACAAAGCATTGCATGAGACTGACTGTTGTAGGCGATCCAGCGTGTACTACACTTCATATAATAGCACTAGACTTTCAGTGGTGGTTTGGATCCAACTCTTGACTGATTTTCACTGTTTGGGAAATTCTTTTTTGTTTCCTCGGACAGTCACTACCCTCAAGTCCTACATTTCCCAAGGGCCCCTAAAGGTCCCAAACACCTCAAGGTTATCAGTGACTGTGTGCTGGACAGACATATGATCCATTTTTATTGCATCTAGTGGATCCATGCCTTTCTGGATACAGCCATGCTGTTGTTTTAAGTTGTGAGTGAACTGTATTGCTGAGCAACCTGGATCTGAGCAATAAAGAACATTTGAGAAACACATTTAATGTTGTTTTATTGTTTCAAAGGGTTTTTTTTCCCACTTCAGACAGAAAAACAGTCACTTGTGATCTGACATAATACAGATGTACAAGTAAAGTACAAACAACACACTCATAAAACTCCACAAAGAGAGCTGATGCAACAAATCTTAACCCACATGACTGGTTTAAAAATAAAACTTTGCACAATGAGGACATTAATGGACCTGTACAGAACAAAAGACATGTGGACAATAAAAAAGGCAGCGAAGACAGAGTCCACACAGCAACACTGAGGCTTCACACTGCCTGAAATAACTCCACATTCACTTTTTAGACAAGAATCCAGATGATTGAAAAGGATGACACAGCGAAACAGAGCTTTAAATCCGGCCACATACAGAGAGTATGATTGAACTGTTAGCTCATTACACATCCTGAATGTTACACTCTGCTCTCTGAAATACATCATTTATGAAAAAACTCCATCAAATATGAAAAATAGTACAAAAATGTTTCAAACACCCACAGAATTTCTGCTTCATTAACAAAATGCAAAGTTGAGCAAGAAAATACAACTTTTAGTCGTACACTTTTATATATGCTGCAATCACTGCCAGTGCTTCTGTTGCAAATACTTTCCATCAACAGTCCAGTTACTATGGATGGTTTACTTCCATTGGCTTGTCCACAAGTCCAGATTGGAGGTAGAGGTTTGAAACAGTCAGCCACCGTGCAACAGGCACTTCAACTTACAGCCGAATATAAGAAGAGTGCAGGTTTCCTTTAAAATCCCTCCCTCTGTTCATTTGATCGTTGTACATTCAAACATTTATAGTTTATCTACACACACAGTGTGAGGATTGTACCCACAACATGTCTGCTGCATAAACACCATTTGGTAAAACAAAATACTTCTCATGTAATCTTTCTGCAATCCATAAAAGTTCTCCAGATAAATAAACTTTCACTCATGTGAGTGCGAAAGTTGTCCTCTAACATCTCCACTTTAAATACATTCAGTGCGCCTAGGAGTAAAATAGCCTAAACTGATTTCCAGAACAAATCACTTGACCTTCTTATCTTCAACAAGCCCGTTCTTTGTCTGTACGTCGAGTTTGAGTCGCTTCTGACTGAAATGTCGGATGAGAGCGCCAGGAAGCAGAGCCATGCAGGCGATGGCCAGCAGCTGCAGCAGACGCTCCCAGGAGAACAAGTCATCCAGAGAAGACACCTCTGACAGCATGACGCCTGTCTGCACACAGATAAAGTTGTACGGCAGCAGGCCTACCAAAGCACAGAGGGAAAATAAAAGTTATTAAGCTTTATTTACACAACAAAGAAAAATGTTCTTTTTTTTTTTCCAAACTAATGCATGCCTGCTTCTCTGTGATTTGTGACAAATAGCCAAAATATGACAAACAGTTTTTCCATTATTTATCTGGAAAACCCAAGAATGGAAAATATTTGATTTTGTTCGGATTCACAGTGTCAGCACAGGTTGTGGAGAGTGTGTCATTTATCATTTTCTGACAGCTCTGACAAGCAGTCAATCAGGAGAAGCGCATGTTTGCTTACCAATGAAGACTGAGCAGAAGAAGAAGGTGATGGGGATGTTGACGATCGGGGCAGACATGTTCAGGAACCAGTTCGGAGACATGGGAAAGAATCTCAGGAAGAGCAGAAAGAAGAACAAACAGTCCCTGTTGTCCTCAACCTGAGAGATAAAGAAGAGATGTTTGAAAAATATATTCCAGCCTATGAGGGGACAACTGATCCTTTTTGTTTTTTCCTCTCTCAGGTTTGACATTTTTGTTACTGTAATGGGAAAAAGAAAATAACAGTCACCATAGCAACATGCCTTTTTGACTTTCAGAGTCATTATTTGAGATCTATTTTGGTGAAGAACAATGTCAGACTAAACAGCAACCACCAGAGCTATAACACAGAGCTCAGCACACCAGAATCCCACTTAGAACATGAACCAGGTTTAATGCACAACTACTATACTGTGTGTGCTACACAAGACACACAGGTCTTACCATATCTCATTTTGATAAACATGAATATAATTAAATTTTTATCTTACTAAAGGCAGGTTTAACATTTTTTTAAGTATACATGTGTATTTCTCTGGCAGGACAGCTTCCAGAAGTATTCTTTGTTTAACTGTGAATGCAAACAATGAGTTTAAGTTTGTGCATGTGCTTTTCTTAACCTTAATCACGTGTAAGGGTGTCCTGATATGGTATTGATATTGGTCCGATATTAGGCCTGGACGATATAGAAAAAAAGCATATCGATAAAAAATAAATCATATTGATCGATATCGATAATTATCGATATAATTATTATAATTATTTAACATATATTTTAATTGCAGCCCTTGATGTTTTATGCTATTGCTTAATGACCTACTTTTAATAAAGAACACAGAAGCACTGAATTCAAATTCAAACCTTTATTCAACCACCTTTTTTATTTTACCACAACTGAAAGTTTTTTAAAAAAGAACAAAAAAAAAAAAAAGAAATCAACTTAAGGGGCCTGAGTGACGTCAGTAAATACTGACAAACATATAGACTAAAGTGACCAGAAAATCTGATAAATAAATATTTAAATAGTCTTTTGATGAAAATAAACAAAACAAACAAATATATGAATGAACAGAATAGCTTTAGGTGGGAATAACATACTACCAGTTTTAACTGTGTGAGAAACTGCCCACAGCCTGGTGTCTGAACATTGAAACATTTCTCCCGGGGTCGGGAGATTTATTTATTTTTAATCATCATGTGATTGACTTGATACGCAAACTGAGCACGAGAAGCAGGACTTATCCACGCCGGTGTTATGTCGTAGAATGCACCCCTGCCGAATGCACCCCCTGCTAGTAGCCATGATCCAAATACTCGCGTCTTTGTAAAATATGAGCTCATTTTCTTCCACTTTAAGAAGCTAATGAGTGGACGGGATGCATTCTTCTCACCTTTTCAACCCCTGACCCATTTTCATGCCTGAAGCGCTGTGTTTGAGAAATACTTGCGGCCGGGCACTTCATATCGCGGGTCGAGAGTGGCTAGAAGCTGGTCGAAGCCAGGCTTTTCAACGGTAGTTATTGGCAGTATGTCCCTCGCTATGCAGCATGTTACTGCATGGGTGATGTCCTTATGCCGCTTGGACGCTTTGTCGTATTTTGGCAAGAAACGAAGTCCAGTTTGGTCTGCTTCACTTGCTTTGTGCTGGTGCTGGCAGCGGTTCCAGAGGATTCCTCCTCCGACGACGTGGAGCCGGGGCGCGGCCGACACAGCTCGTACTCCTGCGGGTGCGACCGGTTTAGATGGTAAAACAAGTTGGTTGTGTTACCAGACTTGGTTTTTACTAATTCTCTGCAAATTTTGCAAACGACCGCTGTTCGCTTTTTGTCATACTTCTAAAAACCAAAACATTGCCATGCTGGTGCACTACTGACAATGTCCTCCGCCTCTCCTTGCTGTATCATTTTTTCTAATACACGTGCTGTCTGTTGTGGTTTGATAGGGGCTGGGCTTGGTGCCGTAGCGTACCAGGGTCTGCGTTTGTGATTGGTTGGGAGGAAGTAATGACTGTAGTAAAAGCTACATGATAGGCTATGATGAAAAAGAAAGGGAAACTGTGTTTTTCTATCGAACTTTTTATCGACCCGTTTTTTTTCTATCGCAGCACACGTCTATCGATCGATATATATTGTTATCGAATTATCGTCCAGCACTATCCGATATCAGCAAAAAACAAATATTGGATTATATCAACCTGCATCTAAAATCTCCAAAATCAGTTCACTGATACAAGCAGTCCATTTCAGACTCCACTCCAGCACCTCTATCTAGTAACATCCAGATCCAGCAAGCTGAGCCCACAAAATCAGAACAACAGTGTGTACTAAGGTACTATGAAAGTAGCAAGGAGTAGGAGTGATGTGGTAGTATTTTTGGTTTAAGTCCGAAAAAGACGTTGCAGCTGAGTGAAGAACTTGTCATGCAAAATTTTGTGCCAATATTGGATCAATATCAGTATTGTATCGGTAGTCAAAAGTTGTATAGGGACACCCCTAATCACATGTGAACAGAAGCAAGTATAAAACTGGATAAAATCACTTTGTTTGGGGCTTTTTAAGGGCCTAGTGGTCTAGTGCGTCACTTGCAGAGGCTAATGTCCCCGTTACAGGGGTCGCTGGCTGATTTCACTCCCTGGCACAACCATTGACTGTATAAAGAATGGACAGAGTCTGCCTCCTTGCTGGGTGAAGCCACTCCGAGAACAGCACCCTCTGTTGATGGGCTGCAGTATAGGTCACAAATCCCGCCTCCGCCAGCAAAGCTTATGGGGCTGTGGACCAACTTTAGAAATTTATTACACAGAACATCATTTTTTCTCCCCCCTGCTTGTGATGTTGACATGTAGTTACAGTAAGACTGGTTTGTGCTCAAGTCCTCTTTTTTCTGTGAGGCTCCGTTTTTAAAAGCTATTAGGGGGTTCATGTTTGCTATGATTGACACCTGATACAGCCAATGGGCGTTCAGGGATTGCGTAGCTCTCCCGGGGATACGCTGTTCGAGCCAAGCGTCATCACAGCGACTCTCTGCGGCGCGCATCGCTACTGCACAGCGCTGGTTTCAGGATATGAAGAAAAATCCCGGAAATATCGAGAGCTTTTTGGCTTCAAATCCGTATACAGGCGGCAGGCGGAAGTTGTCCATAGTATATACAGTCTATGGCCACAACCCTTTGCTGCATGTCTTCCTCCTCTTTTTTCTCTCCATGTGTACCATCCTATCTCATACCGGAAAAATCCCCCGAAATGTAACTTTAAGAAGAAAAAAAACTGTTTTCACTCTCAAAGTGAAAACACTTAAAAAGGTCTACACAAATACTCACTGTTTGCTTTAGAAATCTTTCAGTTTGTTTGTGTGTGTCTGATTTCATGAGACCAGTTAGCTGGTAAAAAGAGTCTGCCTGACTTCATCAATATTTCTCTTGGTCCTTGGTAGTTTACTGATGCTCACAGATGTGTCTTTCATTTCCTCTTTCACTTTAACCTGAACCCTATTTGCACATCACAGATATCATGTGTAAGAAAATCAAGAGCCTCTTGGTCTATTTATAGAAGATGCACTGTCAGCAGTGTGTAGATCCTTCTTCTCTCTGGAGGAACTTCACACCCTAAGAAATGATTCATCTTTCAGCTTTAAACTTGTATAGTGTTAATTTCCACAGTTGTTGTCTTGTGGTAGTGAAAAAAACTTACCTTTGTTTGCAGCATGGACACTTTGTCAGGGAAGAGGTTACTGATGTACTGTTTTCCAAAAGCCTGCGACAGGAGGTAGCACATGGTGGAGCCCACAGTGGTGAGCACACAGGCAAGCAGCAGACCTTGGTATGGTCCAAATATAGCTCCTGCTAGAATATTCTGCACACAACACACAAATCAGAGAAGGCTGAGTTTAGCAGACATCATTACTATGATAAGCTCTGACATGCGGCTCTACTGTATCTCCTCCTGTGATCTGGCAGTGGTTTTAAGTGTAGGACACTTGGTGTCAGTCACTATAACCACATATGTAGTGTGTGGTTGAGACGCGTTCTTTGAGCTACACTGTCAGCTGTAAAGATAGGGCTACTGTGAGCAGGAAAGACAAGCTTTCACCAGACTCCAGAGGCAAGTCTGACATTCCTTTGTTGTTTGAGCTTGCTACATATTTTTATCCTCTGCATTTTGTCTTTAAAGAGGAGACTCAACAGGATCAAGTGCCTGGACTTCTATCTTAAAATACATCTTGGCTGTGTGCCTTCATTCTCTAAACCTTCTACCCATGACAGCTTTCTTTTGCAAACTTTTGAGATCTATTTTATCTCAAAGCCTATTCCAAATTAAGGATGAAAACTGCTCTAGTTAATTTTTGAAAGATGTCGAGCTTTCTTTCTCACTATACCAGGAATGAGGATCCAGGAATGGCAAAGGACTGCTTGTACAGATATGCACTGGAGAAGAGCAGCAGGACATATCCAGTGTGCTCCGTCTTGTAAAACTGCAGGAGCTCGGCCAGTTCCCTCAGCTCCTCCAGGTCTGATGGGAACTTCAACCTGCAAGAATATCAAAGACAGACACACATAGTTAGTCATGAACACGAGAGGTTTACAGATAACTGAATGAGCCTGTGTAATGTCTGCTAATGAATGAAAGCCCTTTAACCTTTGAAATGATGACCTAAAACATGATGATGGGGACAAATAACCACACCACAATACACATGGTGTGATGCAGTTTACAGTATGCACGGGACCAACTTTGATATTGTCATTCAGATAAAAGTATGACACAATAAATAGATTTTTTTTCCAGTCTGATTCTCCACAACACCACCTGATGAACCCTTGCTGTGACCCTAATAATGACTTTAACCCTGCACCTTTAGGAGCACGGTGTATTCAGTGGCAATTCTCACCTAAAATAGTGGTATTGTGAGTATTTTTAACATTGGTTAAATCCTTTGTTTTCTCCAAGGACTCTAGCAAATAGCTTAAATAATGAACATCTCTTTTTTTAGTACTGTAAGCTGTGTAACCATAGACTGTATATACTCTATTTGTTCCAGTGTTTGGCTCCATTACATTCTGATAAGCATTTAATATGATAACTTTCAGACACCTATTTGATGATTCAAGTTGAAAAAATTAGATTAGGACTAAGTTACACCAGTAAAAAGAAATCAAAAGGTTAAAAACGGTTGATGTTTTCTCAGATTTCCTGATTTGTAGCTGAAAAAAAGTGGATTTATCTTTGAAAACTTTTGTTTGCAACGATTTCACGTTTAGTTTAGAAGGTTATTCTTTAGTACTTTCTCAGTGGCCAATTCACAGGTTTATATTTATTGCTCTGAACTGTTACCCAGTTAGTATAATTTCTTTTTCACCTCAGAAAACTGTAGTAATTCTCCTTATCTGAGAGCTCAGTACAGGACACTGATAATAACCTCCCCTACAGACAGTAACGTTACAGCAGCACACCGATTAAACACCGGTCAACATTTTGATTGTGAATTATTAATGTGAAAAATCCAAACGACAGAGTTTATTGGATTTTTCTTTATTGGATTAAAGGACCATCATCATTACCTGCGGGGCTCTTGGGAGCTGTCAGCGGGCTGCTCACTCTCCTCTGTCTCCACATGTTGTCCCTCAGCAGCGGCAGGAGGAGGAGGAGGACGGTGTCGTGGTCCCGCAGGAAGATACAAGGACAGAGAGTACAGGTACAAGCTTGCTGCGACCACAACAGTGATAAATCCGATAAGTGAGCGCATATTCCTCACTTAGTCCGCCGGCTCAGGGCTTCGTGTTGTCAGGAAGAGAAACAATGGCCAACCGCTGCATTCCTCTCTTCTTCTTCTCTGTGCCTCAGTGATGCTCTACTGCCTCACTGAGGAGAGGAGGGGTATTGCTGCAGTCCATGCTCATTTGGTTTCACTGTCACACACCGACTGGAGCGACATTTAAATCTGATTTTTCACATCCTCTTCTTCTTCCTTTTTTTGTGACGACGGACTAAAACTGCAGCAACTCCAGCAATATGCAGATGACATATTCCTGTCAATGTTTGGTGTTGGGGGATTTATATTTGCCATGCTTCTAATGAGTAGTTCACATACCAGGGGTCAGGGGTGTCAAACTCAACCACAGCAAGGGCCATAATCTGGATTTAGGTCTAACGTGAGGGCGAAGGAGGGTCAAAATTTCACCAAAACTGTCAACCTCCTTTTCAAAAATATGTAACAAAAAAGCAAATATTATAAATAATTTGGAAATTCAAAAAAGATAACACGATAAGTTTAATGTAGATATTTTAAGATTTTTCAATCAAGAAAACCTTGTCTTAAAATACAGTTTTCTTGATTGATAACTTCCTTAATAGATTTTTCTTTTATTTAATGAAAATTGTCATGAAAATTTGCTTGCTGCATTTGCAGACCTTCTTTTCACAATACTGCGGAAGAGTATTGCATTCACTTTGGAGTAAAAAAACTTTTTTTTTGACAATTATCATAAAATTCTGAAAAAATGTTATAGATTAAAAAACAACGTTTTATTCTGAAATTAGGTTATAATTTCATTAATTCAGAATAATAGGGCAGAAATGGTTGTATCAAAACCTATGAAAAAGTTGTCACATTTGTCTTACTTCTATACATTACCATCATCTAATGCTTTATTTTGCCTTATAAAAGCGACTACTATTTTTATGAATATCATGATTATTTTTCCTACAATAATAATAATAATAATAATAATAATAATAATAATAATAATAATAATAACATACCTAAAAAAGGAAAAAATAAAAAAAGATGAAATAAACAAATTGAGATTCCATTCCGGCTCCGGACCATAGGGTGGCGTTATCTCACCAAGTGTTGACTCTAAACTGCCAGCGGTAAAGAAAACATAAACCAAAGAAAACCGTGCAGTAAATGAGTGCATAATCTTCCATGACTGAAGATACAAAGTTCAGTCTGCAGCTGTGAACACCAAAAACAAGTGCGAAAGCTTGCAGGATTCGTCGAAAGTCTCGATGGCTCAATATTCTCTTGTTTCCGGCTCCGTGGGCTTGATTACTCTGAAGAATCCGCCTGTGAATGCACTTGGGTGAGTTAAAAAGAGAGACACTGTACAAACACTGTACAGCTGTTGCATGACAAGAAGGTCCCATTATTATTACAGTTATTTACATTTTTCTGTCTTGCATGAAGACAGTATGCTTCAATCTCAAATAAAAGAAATGTTTTGTGACTTCTTTCATCTAAACTGTTAGTTTGACTGACTCAGTGGTTCACAGGTCACTGTCAGGTCAGTTAACATTTAACTATATCATGATTTTAATGCTGATAAGGGTCTGTCTCCACGGAAACCAAAGTCTTGATAAGTACACTATACTTTGACCAACACCTTATACGGGCAGATGTGTCCTTGCTTTAGGACAAGTACTTATGTGACCTGACTTGCGTCCTTATTCAGTTATGCATAGATCCTCATATGCAATCCAGCAATACTTTGTATTTCTTACAATTGACAATTGAAGTTTAATGCATTTCAGTTTAGAGAGTAAGAAATAGGCACTTTCTTGACCCGTAGTCAAGTAAAGTTACAGCTTACACAGAAATAAGAAAAAAAGGGAGGAAATGTGATTGTTTTGATACACTGACAGAGCCCGCCATGCTGTAAAATATGAGGGTTTTGAAACTTGAAGTACATTTTCTTATTATAGCTCATTTTCAGTGCTGCAGAAGTTTGTGTTTAAAAGCAACAATGAGGATTAGAGAGTAACCACAGGGTAATAATTAATCTTGATCACACCATATCCCAGGAGTTACCAAGAAAATATACCATAAAACAATTCAGGGTAAGCTTACATAATAAATGATTTTGTTTGTGAGGGCTGGTGTTGCAGAAAGGTCTGCACTTAAACTTAAATGAAAAATGAGGAATGAATAACAAGGATAGATTTCCACTTAAATTGTTTATCCAGTGTAATTTTTTTCACAGTGCTGTGGTGAGGCATGGCATCGTGGACTCGGTGGAGAAAGCGCTAAGTGACCCAAAGGTGAAGTCTGTGGTCATATGTGGCCAGAATGGGATGTTCTGTGGGGGTGAGGATTTTTGTGTTTATCTTTTTTATTCTCTGTTCTGCAGGCACCTCAGATCTGTCATTGTTAAGCTTTCATCAGTGTGCCACTGTGCCCTTGTGAAAAATAACCTTTTAAGAGCAAAATGGCAGCATTTGGACCAGCATTAAACACTGTTTCCCTGCTGTTTCTCTGTAAGGCTTTTTTGTCACTTCTTTATGTCCCTCAGCTCCTCAACAAGAGAGTTTGGCAGTGGATTCAGAAATGAAATTACTGTGTGAAGTAGGAAAAGACATTAATGCTATGCCAGGTTTAAAAGAGAGATCACTGGATTAAACTTCAGTATGTGTATGAAATCGGTCAACATACTTTGGAGTATCCTTCCCCTCAATGTGTAGTTTTCTGTTTTTAATATTTGAAACTCATAGCAACATCATCAGATGGATTTTTATTACAGGGGCGGACATCAAGGAGTTTGGGACAGACATGAAAGGGCCTCCTCTGATACCAATGTTCCACAGCCTTGAGGCAGCTAACAAGCCGGTGGTGGCCGCCATTGAGGGAGGTGCTTTTGGCGGAGGCCTGGAGTTGGCGCTTGGCTGTCATTATCGAATTGCACATTCAAAAGTTAGTTCATACTTCAGATTTCTGTCTGTCTGCCAAAAAGAAGTAGTGTATGAGTGTCAGACTCTCAGTTTTAAATTCTAAAAAGGGAAAGAAGAATATATTTATATTTTAATTAACAAATGAAGACTCATGCAGTGTGACTTTATTTTTGTTCTGCCAAGCCATCGTTAATGACATGCATTCGACTCAGTTCAGCCCCTTTTGTTCTTGTGACTTTGTGTCCTTACAGGCTAAAGTGGGGCTGCCAGAGGTGACTCTTGGTCTGCTGCCAGCTGCAGCAGGAAGTCAACGTCTGCCAAGGCTCATTGGTGTCCCAGCTGCCTTAAACCTCATCACCACAGGTCACAAAAACACCCCAACTTTGCATGGTTACCGCAGAAACAAAACACTTTGAAGTACCAAAACCAGATACAGAGAGCCATCCTCATACTGTATCACAAAATATACTGACCTTTGTTTTCCACCAGGGCTCTGTGCTTTTTACTGCCTTTTGTAAGCTCTAGACTGTTGCTTTAAATAACTCAACATGTAGATGTCTTTGCATATCATAGGAATAAAAATCAATTTTGTAGACTGCCGTTGCAGACATGTATCTTGTCAAAAATCATGATGAACCTTTGCCACCCTGAGGTGTACTAAATAGTGGCCAAAATAATAATAATTGCCAAAAGAATGTATATCATGTAGGTGAAAATTGCAGGAAAATGCGTATTTTTGTGATTTAAAGAGCTCTAGTGACTTCCATGTTGGGTGGGGGTGGTTAACTTCATGAGCTGCCAAACAATATTTAGCTAGGCACCTGGAAAGGTTATCATACAAAAATATTGCGGTGCTATTGATTATTAAACCCTAACTGCTGCTGCTGCTGTATAGAGATTTGTAGTGAGTACTGATGACCAGCAGGGGTCACTGTGTGCTTAGTTTAATCATACTGCCAGAACAGGCCTGTTTTTATTCTCAGTTTATTGGAACATTTCTGGTCTAGGAAAACTTTAATACTTGATCTTTTTCTCTCACTCATAGTTTGATTGCTTTATTTAATATGATTAGGTAGTTCTGTTTTATATGTCTATAAAAGAAGATCATTTGGACAGCCGGTCATCCCTCACCTGACAATTTAAAATGTCACTCTTCATCCAAATACAGCTCTGATGCCTTGTATATCTCTCTTTATTTCAGGTCGTCATATTACTGCTGCAGAAGCACTGCAGCTTGGATTAGTGGATCAGGTTGCTGATCACAACACTGTGGACACAGCTGTGAAGTTTGCCCAGAGTGTTGTAGGTGAGACCAAAACTGCTAACACAAGGTACCCACTGGTGTAAAATACCACTCACACTTCACTGGCTTGAATTAACACCATGAAAGAAAGAGAGGTCCTCCCAGAGCAGTTATTCTAGACAAGTCGGACTTGAAAAAACGCAGACATGTAGGTTGTGGAAGTCAAAGGAAGCAGAAAACACGGCAGGCAGATCCTCCTGCACAGAAGCCATGAATGTTTCATGGCTTCTGTCAGATGTGCTCTGATGTCTTCACTGCGATCGCTGTATTATTCAAGAGGGCGAAAAGGGACAAACTTTCCTAGAATATTAATCTTGCACTCTTGCCCATCGTTTGGCCGGATGAGGATTTCCCCTTGCACGTGAATCCGGCTCATTTAGTCACTGAATGGAGAGTCAAAGTGTGCCATGTCCCTGCAGAAGGCCAATTTCTCAGTCAGTGTGAAGAATAACCCATTCACATTCCGCTGTCTGTCGGGCTGAAATGACACTTTTCTGACATGCTTGGATTTTTCCAGCCGTCAAAAAATGAAAGTATGTCAGAGAAAAAGACTTGATCTTATGCAGGTGGCATTTTCTTCTGTCTAAAACACCTCAGAGCAGCTTATTTATGTATGTTGTATATCAATTTTAGTGAAATTTGTCGACACTCAGAAGAGGCCACTCTTTCCCTCTTGTGGAGAAATTCAGTTTTCATGCCAGAAACCAGCAGATGATTAACCTAGCTTGGCTTGATGCAGCATAAAGACAGAATACAGTAGAAAATGGCTTGACGGGCTCTTTCACAACTCTTCGACCAATAAGTCTCCATACAAAAGGTCTTTTTATTCCTAGAAAAGAAACAGAAAAATGAATTTGGGTTTGCTGGGATTTTATGTGCTTGACTTCTCTAAGGCACACGGACCTCAGTTAGCCTTTTCTCTATGCCATGATTAGCTGCCCTCTGACTTTAGTTTCTATTTTAACATATACAGGTGTAACCCGACAATGAGAATACTGTAGAAAAGTTCAATATCTCTTTGTACAGTTCACTTCATTCAACCCTAATCATGGGAAGGACTTGACAGAAAATGAGGGTCAGCCACAGAAAAGGCAGGCAGTTCACAGAGTGCTGTATCAAACCATAACATGGCATCAAGCATAAGTTAACAAGAAGTGTGGCGGAGAAAGATGCAAGAAAGAGGGACTGCTGCAGCCTTGAGAGGATTGTCAAGAACATTTGCTTCAAGCACTTGAGAGAGCTTCACGAGGAGTGGACTTAAGCTGGTGTTAGTGCATCAGGAACCAGCACACACTGAGATGTTCAGAGAGAGACTACAACTGTGTGTTTGCCAATGTCAAGGCACACCTGAACCAGAGATGCCAAAGAAGTCTTATACCTGGGCCAGGAAGAAAAACACTAGACTGTGGCTCAGTGATCCAAAGTCTTCTTTACAAATGAAAGTGAGTTTAAGATTTCATTTAGAAGTCAAGGTCCAGAGCCTCCTGGAGTTTGGCACAAAAGTGAAGAGGCACAAAACAGAGGGATTTTTGAAGCTTTGTATGAAATTTCCACACTCAGTGAGGATTTTTGGTGCCATGCTGTCCGCTGGTGTCAGCCCATCGTGTTTTATCACAACCTACGTTAACCAGGAGATTTTAGAGCCCCTCATGCTCCCAACTGCTGCCAACCTTTAAGGAGATGCCAATTTTCTTTGACAGCAGGACTTAGCACTTATCTGCAGTGCCAAAACTACTACCAAATGGTTTGCCGACCATTATATTGCTGAGCTTGATTGCCCAGCCAACTGGCCTCATCTGAACCCCATCGAGAAAAGGGATTGTCAACATGAAGAGGAGAAACACCAGAAACAGAAATACAGACCAGCTGGAGGCCACTATCTTAGCAACCTGAGCTTCAAAAGCAACTAAGCCATGCTACAGGCTTATCACCCCATGAATGTGCTAACTCATTCAAGGAGCCCCAGTGTCTATTTTATTGAGCTGGATCCCCATTAGCTACTACAGAAGCAGCGACTCCTCCTCCTGGGGTCCATTCATGCAAACATAAAATTACAATTCACACAGATTACAGTATTAAGAGTCAAAGGCAAGATTTGAGTAATACGTGAGTAATACAAACATGAGTAATACTGATAACACACAAAAATCAAAGTCAGGACCACAATGAATATTTGACTTTAGATGATAAGAATATAGAGTAGAGCTGAAAGTTGGACTTTTTGGTATGAATTATGAATTTAAATTCACTTTCTCACCAAATTCAAAATGTTTGAGCCTCACCTGTAGATATGAGCTAAGTGTCAAACTCCTTTTCTTACTTCTTCTACAAAAATTTAACAACCAGATTTATAGGGAGTACCTGAGGGGGAGGTTCTATTTATTTAGCCTTTTTAAGCACAGTGCTGTTGGTATGATAATCTTTGATGTCAGTGCGTGAAATGAACATGACAAGTCATATGCCTCAAGGTTATTTTTTCTGCAAATATACCTGACAGAGCCAGCCTGTCTCTACTACATTAAAGGGATATTCCGGCGTAAAATTAAGATTGGGTCAAACACACCACAGCACCAAGTTAAACACCCCGTCGAGAGATGAATGTTCCCCGACTGCTTGCTTCTCTAGTTATACCAACTTTAGTAACGACCGCAGGATAGCAATACACAGCGGTCTCAGGAGCCACACGCTCAACCAAAATGCCACTCTATAGCCACAAATAATGCTCAGAACAGCACCTAACTTCATCAACAGTACATATAGGGTGCCAGCTATAGTACTAGCCATCAAACATATTTTTAGCTTTGTCTAATTTCTTTAGCAAAGAGACTAAACACAACTCACCTACTCTCTTCCAGCAGCCACTTGTTTGTACAGAGACCTCGGGCGAGTCCAAACTGACTGCCACGGGGTGACGCAGCTCAAGGAAGAACATCTATGATCATCTCTTCACAGAAATGCAATTAGACCGAGACGCTAAGGCAGAAGAACTACCACGTCTGCAGTGCAAAATGATTAATATGATGATTATTACTTCAAGGAAATGATAAAGTAATGATCAATTTAATTTTACGCCGGAATATCCCTTTAAGGTAGATACTGTAAGAAACCTTCCTAGTTTGCACCCGGTATTGTGCCCAAGGTAAGAAATCAGGTTTAATCTGAACATAATGTCAACAGTCAGTTTCCAGGGCTGCATGTAGAGCTCAGTTTTACTATCAAAAGATGAGTGCTGTCTTTGGCTTTTTACAAATGCTTTTTTTTTCCACACGTCTCTGCCAAGATGACTTTGAGTGGGTGAGAAAGTGAGTGTTGTTCGTAAAGCTGAGTCTTACAGTGAGTCAGACAGAGAAGCCGACAGCACACAAGATGGGAGATTGGAGGAGATAGGAGTGAAATCTGTGGAGGTTTTGTCAAGTACTCGAGTCTCAAGCTGATTAGCAGGGGATGAGGAACATGCATCTAAATTTACAAACCTAGTGAGAATGTTTGCCACGCTGAGCTGCGAGGCTGGCTAGTCAATTCTTCTGACCTGTCTAAAAATGCAAAGCTATAAAATACTGCAAGAACTTCCAGCTCATGAAATGGTATGTATTCTTGCTGCACATGTGAGCTCATGCAATAACACAGCCCCGCACATACAGTACATGGATTGAAGCCTCTGCTGGTGACGAGATTAACTTTTTTACCCCAGTAGTTGCAACATCTGCCCGCTACATCTGTCAGAGGACAACCAGGCTTTCCACTCGCTGCACAACAAATCCATCGACACAGCTCAACCATTTACAGATTAACTGCTGCAATAATGCTCGGCTAAAGTACATTGAAATCACATTGCAGCGCCACACGGCGCCTCATTAACATTTGAGGGAGGACGGAGAGTACATTTAAGTGACCTGAAATGAACCTCACCATTTAGTCTTCATCTGTGGTGTGCATTGACACCACCTTGATTAATGGTATTTGACAGAGCTGTTGGTTAATGGACTCCATGAAGATCACAGATCAAATGTGGCTGCTGTCCCTTTAAGCTTTGCCATGCTGACCCAGTTTCTGGCCCAAACCCATGGCTGAGTGTAATTCAGTGGAGCTGTGAAGGATTCAGACTACTCTTTCATGTAATCATGTCAGATGAGACAGGAATGGGAATTAAGATGCTTTCAGTGGTGCTGCTAACAAGGTTTTAGCAAAGTGGCCGGCTTCTTCACCCCACTGTTTCCGGGATTAGGGTGAAGAACACTGTCAAGTTTTAAGTCCAGTAATAAATCTTGTCTCAAAGTTTCAACTGAAAAAAACTCCTCTGCTATTGTAGCGTCGCTCAGAGGCCTTGGAGTCATAAAAATTCATTTCCATTTGCTCCCAGAGTTGGAAATGCACCAACTATTCTTCCCCAGACCAAATTGTTGCTTTTTTTCTGCTTCAGATCAGTGTTATTCAAGGTGAACTGTAACTGTAGTGCGCTGGCAGAGTCACTCCAATTATCTTGGAAATGGTCTGTCAAATCACTCTGCTCTTAAAATCCACTGATCGAGTGGCCAATTATACACAGACTGAGTGCTGGCTGACAAATTGGAGAAAGTGGAAAAAGGGTGCACTAACGGCATCTAAGAGACACTTTTTAGTTTAGAAAATAACATTATGCAGGCCTGAATGTACAGAAATGTCACTCCAGAGTCAGTGTTTAATTTTCCTTTACCTTTAAACTTGCAGCAAAAGCCAAAGAGATTAATTTGAAACCTTTATTCTCCTAATAACATATTCTATGTTTTCCTGCCAGGTAAGTCTCTGGATTCTCGACGAATAAGCAATTTCCAGTGTCCTCCTGTGCCGAATGTGGATGTTCTGTTTGAAGAAGTGATGCAGAAAATACGGCAGACTTCACGTGGAGCCATAGCACCCATTGCATGTGTACAGGCGGTGCGGGCAGCCGCCACCCTGCCGTATAAAGATGGTTTGCAGAAAGAGAAAGAGCTCATGGCCACCCTTTTCACCTCTGGCCAGGCCCGCTCCCTGCAGTACTGCTTCTTTGCTCAGAGGGTTGTGAGCAGGTGGAGCATGCCCAACGGAGCCAGCTGGGACACAAGCAAAGGCAGGCCTATACATAAAGCAGCTGTCATTGGTAAGAGCTCTGATGCTTTCATTTATATTTGTCTTTCAATAATAGAAGATGCATTGGCTCACTCAGGCTACCCATGTGTCATCGACAAACAAACATGGCCTGTGGAAACGAGGCCTTCATTTATGGTTTAGCTGAGCGTAAATGCATGAACTTGCTCTCTCCTGCAGGGAGGGCTGGATTAATGACAGTTTGGATATGTGAAGCTCAGCAGCCTGCCCATTAAAATTGCAAGCTTTGGAAAACTTTCTGCTGCCAGGCTAAAACTATGTAGAGTCTAGCATTGTGTGCAAAAAAAAGGGGTTTTTCTATGATTTATTTTAATGTACTGTAAGTTTCTTTGGACAGTATTTGTGTGATTGTGGATTCTGAGCGGATTTTTTCTGTATCTAAGGTCTTGGGACTATGGGAAGAGGCATAGCAGTGGCCCTGGCTCAAACGGGGTTTTCAGTGGTCGCTGTGGAGACCCAGGAGAAACAGTTCATGGATGCAAAGAAGGCAGTGGCTGGCATGTTGGAGCGAGGGGCAAAGAGAAGCGGCAAGGTCGCTGCACATGATAAAATCATATACAGCCAGAACCTCCAGGCCATCGCAGATGTTGACCTGGTCATTGAGGCTGTGTTCGAGGACATGGCTCTGAAGAAGAGAGTCTTCCGGCAGCTGTCAGATGTTTGTAAACCGGGTACTTTCCTGTGCACCAACACCTCCACCCTTGATATCGACCAGATGGCCGCAGAAACCCGGCAACCTGAACTGGTGGTGGGGATGCACTTCTTTGCTCCAGCTCATGTCATGAAGCTCCTGGAGGTGGTCTACGGGCCACGCTCCTCTCCTGAAGCTGTTGCTGTTGCTATGCAACTTGGGAAGAAAATGGGCAAAGTCAGTGTAGCTGTTGGCAACTGCAGGGGGTTCGTGGGGAACCGCATGCTCAAACCGTACCGTGACCAAGCGTACTTCCTGTTGGAGGAGGGAGCTACACCTGAGTTGATAGATCAAGCACTGGAGGAGTTTGGTTTCGCGATGGGTGCATTCAAAGTGTATGACCTCTCTGGGCTTGATGTGGGCTGGAAAGTCAGGAAGGAAGAGGGGTTGGTGTTGCCTGGAGGGGGTTCAGGGAAATCAGCCAGAATAAGACAAGGCGTCAGGTACAGTCCTCTCGGAGACCTCATGTGTGAGGAGGGCAGGTTTGGCCAGAAGACAGGCCGGGGGTGGTACCAGTACGACAAACCTGGCAGTCGGGATGCAAAGCCTGACCCATGGGTGCACCGATTCCTGGAGGATTACAGAGCCCGCCACGGTTTGGTGGCACGCCGCATTTCCAACCAGGAGGTACTGGAGCGCTGCCTCTATGCCATGATCAACGAGGGCTTCCGCATCCTGGAGGACGGGATAGCCGCAGGACCTGAAGACATCGATATCATCTATGTGTTTGGTTATGGTTGGCCCCGACACCGCGGAGGGCCCATGTTCTACGCCAACATGGTGGGGCTGCCGATAGTCCTTGAGAGGCTGGAGCACTTCGCTCAGGCTAACCCTGATGTGCCCACCCTGCAGCCTTGCAACCTGCTGAGGAAACTTGTGGCCAGTGGCAGCCCACCCATCAGCAAGTGGAGAGAAGCCATGAAGAATGTCCACAGCCAGCTTTAAACGTTTACACCCACAGTCAGCTTAAAACTAACGCCTCTCAGCTTTAATCTCTGTGCTCCTGATGATCTTTCACTCTGATAAACACTACATGGACTGCTCTTAATTTGCACTTTTGAAACAATAGCATTTTGATTTCTTTTTCTCTAATATAAGCTGATTACAGATGATACTTCAGGAGTTTATTGTGCTTTTCATGATTACCAATCAAGCCATCTCTGGCTGTGAGCCTACACTGAGTTTCCAGAGTATTATTATGTATGAAATACAATGTCATTTACAGCACCAAAATAAAACCTGCAATTAAATCTAACAACTGCAGTGCTAAGAGAAAATTTGTTGACTCTGTATCAGAGATGTTGATTAAACTTGTGATTTACTGAATGTATAAATGTGTTTAATATGTAGTATAACACAAGTATGAAAATAAAAAACTACTCTAGGAGGTGAAATGAAACTCTTTTGTGCCTTTATGTTGACAAAAGTGAACTTGGTATGTACTTGCATTGCAAAAAGTTATTGTTTTTAATGTTTGTACTGCAGAGTTTGTTGTAAAATTGCTTTAAATCACACATTTATCATGTAAGTCCTCAATAAAGACATTTACAATCAGTCATGCATTATTCTGTTGCCATTAATTCTCAGTAAAGACCAATACCTGCAGTTTTAACTTTATTGTAAGGCTTGCCTCTCTGACCTGTAGTATACTCTTGTGTCCGCATGTGGCATTTGATTTTAATTGTTACATCAAGCGGAAATTGTTCTGTAGAGAAAAATGCTTCCTTTGTGTGCGCACGTGCCTGTCTGTACGCGTGCGTGTGCATTTTGCTGACCCAGCTGAAGTGATGACAGGGGGAGATCCGAGAGAGACACGCAGCACCACATTGCTTTTATATAAATCAATGGTTCACTCCCCGTGAAACTCGACACCCATTGGTGAGCAGATGTTAGGTACGCCCCCTAGCGATTGAAAGCGTGAGATTGAACAGCTGGATTATACAGTATGACGCTCCATTTTGTCATGTACTATTTTTAACCCTTGGATTATTTATTTTTTCAAGAGAGGTTCAATAAATTTACCAAAAATAAATCCACAGTTTGAAATATTATTGGTGAAATGTGAAATGGTCACATATCTGGAACTATTTAGAACATTTTGCTAATTTCAGAACATTTTTGGTCGATTTAAAAAGATTTTTTAAAAATCAATCTAATCCCTGCAGTCCCAGGGTTTGAACAGGCGTCGATAAAGGCATGATTGTGTACTTGAAGTGCGCAGAACAGCTGGCTTTGTGTGTGGAGTGGACTCCTCCCGTTGTGTGATGAAGTTCAGATGCGCGCCGTTGTTCCGTACGCGCGTCACCAGCGCACAGAGGAGCTTCCCGACGCGAGGGGAGGATGGAGAGCTGTGTGGATCACGACCATGGGAGGCTGTGAATCTCACTTTAGCCCTCGCTAATTGACGTGCTTCTACTTTTACGGGATATGTTTCTATCTTTTGTATGAGCAGTAACCCTGCTGCTCTGGATTCAGAGATCCAGCACCGCCTTTCGCGTGTTTCTCACAGCTGAAAAGCTTCCTGGGCTTCGTGGACTGTGAAACGTCGGCTCGGTTCATCGCGGTTATGTTTTAGTATACTCGGACAAAGCTGTGTGGGGGTATTTTTTTCTATCCAGGAAATGTTGGCATGGCCACCTCGAGAGTACAGAAGTGTCCGAAGAGTGAGAAGTTGGACGAGGCGCAGGCTTTGGCCAAGAGCTGCGCGGGGAGACCAGACTTCCTGCCTTGTGATGGACTCTCCATCTGCGCGACGCACAGCCACGGGAAGTGCTTCAAGCTGCACTGGTGCTGCCACTTGGGCTGGTGTCACTGTAAGTTTGTTTTACGTGGTTTAGAACCCTTTAGATGGTCCGGAATGTATCTAAAACCCACTATGATTCCCTAATAATCTGATAGTTTGGTCTGTTATGTGATTTCAGATACCAGTTCTGAGTCTGTTCGTCGACTAAAATGGAGAAATCCAACAGACATTTACTGAGTGTTTATAAAATCCTCCTAAAGACGACATATTTTGAGATGTTGTGGTCAGACTGACACTCACAGGAAACATTTACAGCCATATTGGTGCTGTTTCAGGTCTGGGGAAACTTCCAAACAGATTTTAGCCTCGTTTGTATTCATGGCGATAATTTTGAGGTCAAACTCAGAGACTCATCCTCGATCAGAGTCAAACCTTCAAACAGACGCCCTGAATGAATAGTTAATGCAGGCGAGTCTAAACAATGGAGGCTGCAAAATTCACACGCAGGGTTGGATGATTCAGGGCCATGGTGTCACTGTTGCTGTTCATCTGAGCAACACAAACTGACAGTAAACAGAAACAGTGAGGCCCATTAACATTTAGACCCACAACTAATCCCCTGTACAGTCCCCCTACACCTTTATGCATGAATGTGTAGCTGTCTAACCTAAAAATGTGTGTATTTGAAAGTGCAGATTTTTGGAGTTTAGCACAACCTAGAACAGCTAGAATAATTTAAACCAAGTAAATATGTGGATGGTTGCGCATGCAAGTCTGAAATGCTGTCCTTGTAAATATAAGTCCATACTGTTGTAAGATGATGTTAACTTAAAGAATAGAAAAAACTCCAAAGCCAAAGAGGGTCACAAATGTGATTAATCCACCACCAACTGTGCTTTACTTCACAGTTTTGAGGGGGTGTTTAAAGGCCGGAAGACGTCACACACACTTGGGTCATCACTTTCATTTCTGCTTTTACACAGTCTGGTGAAATAATGATTTTCTCATAGTCAACAAATTCCATTAAAAGACCAAATCCGGTGAGACATTTTATCTGTGTCATGGGCTTTTGAGTCACAGTTATAAGATAATGACAAACATGAGTCCTGTAATAGTCCCTGAAACTGTTGTTTATTCATGCTTGACCAGTGTTTGTTGAAAATCAGGTGTAATAGGACTTTACTGACCCCCTTTTCACAGTCAAACTTCATATTTTGGATCTAATTATAAAAGTCCACTCCTGCAGTGAGGGATGACCATTGAGCTGAAGGTTACAGATAGTGCAGGGATAAGGGAAAGTATACCAGGAGATGAACTATCCCAGTATTGATCTTGATGGGATCTGGTGACATTCAGTAAATCTGTAGAAAATTGTTAGTTCTGCATTTTAAAGAAGGACATCTGGTCATAAAATCATGTTGTTTTTAAACTAAGTAAAAACAGTATGACCTTAACAAAGCCAGCATCATCCTTGCAGACTGTTAAATTGGCTCTATTGACCGTGAAGCTTTTCCACTCAATCACAAATAATTCTCTCCTCGTCACTGGTGTGCACCTCAGACATTTCCTCCTCCGTTTGAAACTCTCTGAAACTGACACCTGGACACCACCCAGCACTGAATAACAATAGCTGCGCCTGAACCTGACAGGATGTCCGGCACTTTGTGCTGCCCTAACTTATCCTGGAAATCCTCTGCTCAGTGTAAAACACCATCAACCACCTCCGCTGCAACATTAACTCTCTGCTTATAGTGTGCAACTGGAGAAGTCACATTGTAATCTTTGCCGTGTAATCACTGGATTTAGATTCCTGCTGCGGTCCACAGTGAGCCAAGTGATTTGAAATATCTGATGTGGCAGAAAAGCCATGAATTCTTTCCAGTGTTTATGATGAGCAACATGCTGGATTTATGTCTCTGAGAAAAGCCTGCTCAGTCTTAGATCAGTTTTTTACTCTGAAATATTCACCAATCTACCCAAAAAGTGCTGCAAAATAGACTCAGAACTCATGCCTCCCCTTTGTTTGACACAGACTTGTTGTGGTAGAGAGGAAAAACCTTCATAATGAGGTTTCTCACCTTCACATCTCCTTCCATCATAACTCACAGTTTCCCCTCACAGGACAGCCGTGCACCACAAGAATAAACCCACTTAGACTGCTGAATCAGGCTGAACCTGGGCACCCAGCGAGGAAAGTATTACAGGGTGCGTCTGCATGCACTCCCTGCCTGCTCTACTCAGCTCACACCCTTCTTTCCAGCAATAACACGAGAATGCTGGGTACAAAAATGTTGTTACACCCCCTTATCTCTTTTCATTTTTGAACATGCCTTCAACTGTCGCCTGGAGTTTAGACTTGTTCTGAAGCTGATAATTGTGCATTTACCACAGGGAGCCCCGCTAGACTGCCTGTTTTAATTACATCTTTAATAGGTTTCCAGGCACACAAATACAAAAGGTTAATGTGTAGTAAGAGCAGGCTCAGCACTTAAATTTCCCAAACACAAGTTATTTCCATTATCTTTCCTGTGGAGCAGTATTGAAGGAATACCCTTGACTTCCTTCCTTGCTGCTCCTGCTTCCTGAGGACCTTTCCAAACCAAACATCTTCAGGTTTTCTTCCTTGGCTGAAGAAACTCCTGTTGTTTCTTTAAAGGCCTCCCATGAGGATGTAGTTCTGTTGAAGCGTTGGGATGATAAAGTGGTGGAAACTGGAATTGTACGTAGGTGGATGCAGTGTTCCCAGCTGGTGACAACATCAGTCCAAGCCTCTCATTAGAGGTAATTAGCTGTATTTAGTGTCACCGCCAATATGTCATGTCTGATGAGAGCTTTTGCTTGCAGCAACACTAGAACCACCTGGTTGGACGATTTTCCTCCCTTCTTATGCTCTTCGTACTGATTACAATTACCAGGCCGCACAGTGAATCACTCATTTACAAAGTCTAACGCAGTCTAATTAGCCTGGAACAGACTTGTACTCACTTCTTATACTTCTTTTGTTAAAAAGGAAAGCAGGGTCTCTTTGTCAGATTTCATCTCATCCCCCACGCCACACAGCTGTAGCGTGCGACTATCTCTTAAGGGAAATATGAAGCCTTATTGGATGAAGCTCCACACCACCATGATTGATATGGGGCCCAGCTCAAAACTGACAGCAGTGCTGAATCATGAAAAGTTTCACCTTTTATTAAAAGATCAATACTTTTGTCAGCAGTGGCCTGTGGGAATGTTTTTTGATTGATCCTTTGTGTTTGGGGGCCACAGAGCTTCAATCACTTTAACTGCAGGACTCTCAGTGATGGAAAAGTGCAGCACCGAACCAAAGTCTAACAAATATTTACTATATTTTAAAGAATTGAAGTTCTTCTGATAGCTTTGCAGTTTGAATGTGATTTATAGAGCAAAAGAGTCTTTACTAACTTCAGATAGGAGACTTTGAAAACCTGATTTCAGCCTCTGTTTAGCTATTGTGTCTTTAAGGCTCCCCTCAACACTCCAGAGGATTCCTTCACTGTTGCCACTGTTGTTGCCATGCTACAAAGTTAAGCTTCTGTATTTAAAATCCATGTTTTGTATCCAAAATCTGACCCATTAAGTTTGGGAAGGGACTAAATACATCCCCAACAACATTAAACAGAGCAACATGTTTCTTCTTCTTTTTAATTGTGATCTTTCAAGGATGTTATAATTTGAGCAAATCTTAGCGTGGCTGTTACGTAATTCTCATGTGACTTTTTGAACATGCCATTCACAGCTTTCCTACCTTATCCTCCTGAGATTAAGTATTAACATCCAACATTTTAACCTAATATGTTTGTAAATGTAGAAAAATCATAACACCAGCTCTCTGAAGTCTGTCCAACCTCATTCTCTGCGACTGTTTCTACCCCCTAAGTGCACCTCAGCAGGAGACACTATCAGGGAATAAACAGAGAAAATTATGTATTACAAGAGTGTGACTTAGTAAAAAAAGAAGAAAATCTGGCTGCTGCAGCCTCATGTTTGCTTAACCTAAATACAGAACCCATTTGCATGAAAGAGGGTAAAGCATCCAGATAAAACTGGTGAAGTGGTTCTTGTTGTATATTTGTTGTTTTCTTCATTTTGCTACACTTCTGCTTTTTCTCTACACTGACAGGTTAGAGCCTGATTTATACTTGAATCCAAGCAGAATATTTGCTGTAACTTATATACAGTATGTAACCCACAGTGTAGTGACTATGCTGAATTTTAGTCACTGTCTGGGTGCGGGAGTGAGGTGTTTTTGACGCGCTTCCAGTACAATCCATTGTCCAGTCCAATGTTGTTGTTGTGTTATATTTTTGCCATTTATTGATTAAATGAAAAACAAACAAAAAAAGACATATATGTACGATATATACGACAATGGTGATGTACGTGATGAGGGTGAGAATTGTGTCGGAGATTGGCGGTAAAAACTGTGTCCCTTTTGTAGCATTTACCCGCCCATTCACCTGAAGTGCCTCTTGTGGTGATTGTGCGAGTAACAAAACAAAATCTCAAAAATAATACAGATAAAATGGCTCATACACACAGCACGTGGAGCATTTGTGCCATACAGTCCGCAACATGTACATTGGTTTTCAAGGCTTCTTGTTGAATTTCACACAAATGTGCAGTTTCACTTTCGCTGGAGAAAAATAAACATGAAATAATTGCAGATTGAGTTACAATCAGTTTGAGCTTCAAATGGAAGTCAACAGGCCATAGTAGCAACTTACTGGCCCACATTACCTGGGTCCTCTGCGGTAAGGGTTCAGATGAAATGCAGTATTGTGAATCAGGCTGAAGAGGTTTTACTGCTGGAGTAATGCTTTTAAGACAGCTCTCAGCCTCATCTTTGCCAATGATCTCTCCAAACATGGGGCTGAATACAAATGCTCCTCCTCGCATAGTTTGGTGGACAACATCTGGCCATGCTGCTACTGCATGAAGAAATGTGAACAAGGCCTTTTCCTGAGTGGAAGACCTCAAAACAATCAGTCCTGACACAGTATTACATTTTCTCCCTGTGGTGACAGACTTAACAGTGGATTTAAAACTGGCTGCAGGTCAAAAACAGCCTTTCCCTCTGGAGCCGCTCAACAGGAAACAGGAAGGGAGTTTCACATGGTGTCAGGACAGGCTGTCTCCGGCGCTGAAACCTGAAACTTATGTTGTCCCCTTGTCCCACCACCCCTTTGTTGGCCGGATTTGAGCACAAAGAACAGCGGGTGCCTGCGCGGGCTGAATCCAATACTACAGCTGCTGTGATAAATGAGAATAATCTGCTGAAGTAATTGTTTTTCTTGACAGAGTTTGACTCAAAATGCTGCCTTGAACTGGTGAGCAGCATTAAAAGCAGATCCACTCAGTCTGCGCATAAAGACTGCTGGCTTTGGCTCTAACATAAAAAAATCAAGCTGAGGGGGCTGTTAATGACTCAGTCTCTGCTGAGGCTTTGATATAAGCCGATATTAAAATGACACAATCTGTGAGAGACACTCGTGCTCATTCATCTACATGTGGAGTTTGTCTGCAATAAACCTCAGCCTCTTTAGTGTTTCCCTTTGAGCTGCAGTCTGCAGAGTGACAGAAGAGCTGGAGTCTGAAGAAGTGATGTTCAATCTGTGCGAGAGAGAGTGAGAGACTGAAGGGCTGCATTATTCAGAGAGACTATCTCCTGTGCTAAAGGAGAGTGTGCAGCCATCAACCAGCCACAGGCCCACTGATAGAGAGAGAGAGAGAGAGAGACAGGTGTGAGTGGAGTGGTTGGAGCTCCTCATACCTTCTCTGTTAAACGTCCTGCTCTTGTGACTTCTCCAAGAAGAGCTGTCTGTTCTCCTCTGTCCAATTAACCTTTTGAACTTCTGATTTCCTCTATAAATACATTTCTTCAGCATCCTCTGGTGATTATTTGACAGACTTAATCTCTTGGTCTAACGCTGTACTGAAGCTAATTAATTTCGACAATGATTACAATAATTAATCCCGAATTTTAATGTCTTATTTTGTAATGATGTTGTTATATACGGCTGTATCTGGACCCATAATTTTTTGTATTTAGACTGAAAAAAATCCAAAAGGAGGACGAGTCACCACCGTGGCGTTTAAACTGAAGCTATCCTGAATCCACACTACAATTTTTTTCTAATGAGGAGCTTTTCCTTCCTCTTTTGATGTACCCAGCAGCCTCATTTACATCCCTTTAGTTCTCCATCCTCCAGAACGCCCGTCATCAGCTTCCAATGATCTTTTCTGTGGTGTTTAATTGTAACTTGATGAAAGCTTTACCAGTTAAGGAGGAAAGAAGTCAGGAGTCATTCCCCTCCGTTCTCACAGTGCAACATGCCCTGTAGCTGCGTATCATCCTGGTCCATTGAGGCTGCTGTCAGTGGAAACTTTGAGCCTGTATTTTCTCTGCAGTTCATTTTTTCTCGCTGTAGTTGTAGGTGTAAAGTGGTGGGTCTGCAGAGAAGCTCCTATTTTTGATTCTGAAGCACTGACTCAAATCTGTTACGTCTCCTGCTCCTGCTTCTTTTCTGCTGTCAATCTTCATTAAAGCGGGACTGGGGAGGTCTCGTGACATCGTGTTGTCTCAGTTTGGCCGGCTTTCTTTTGGGAGAAAAAAAATACAGGAAACATGAGAATGTCAGATACAACGCCAGAAGCTGTTTTGTGCTATTTCTGGTTAGATTTGCTCTTTAACCTCGGCTAATAAAAGAAAAGTTTTGAAGGCTTTTCATTTTGTACTCAAAAATCTAACAAACAGCAGTTTTTACAGTTTTTTTTCTCCATTTATTGCTGAGCTGTGTTTTAATTAATCAAGATTTGTTCCAAACACATGAATATTTATACGTTTTAGTGTTTATCTACAGTAAATTTGCACATTTCCACAAATAATATTTCATTTTATAGCTATTGAACTACATATTTTGTGTCCCTTTTTTTAAAATAATGTACATCTTTATTATAAAATGATGATAAATTACATAAAGTCCCAGTGATTAACACTTACATTATGTCTCATGTTATGTTGGTCTTTTGATAGCATTTAGTTGCAGCCTCATCCTTTTAAGAGATTACTTATATCCTAACCCTACACTAAAAAGTTAGGGCTTGGAAATTCTTCTCAGTATTGATGTTTATTTCATTTCTTTGGGAGGATTTCTGGTCCTTCTCAGTATGGAAATATAAAAACATGAACACACAGGAGAGTCAGAGGGTGCATAGGCAGCTTAACAATTGACATTGTCATGCAAGGGCTCAGTGCAGGGAGGCAGCAGCATACAGCTGAATATCAATAAAGCAGCAAAGACAGTGTTCACAGGCTGTCAGCTAGTGTTTGTATTTCTCTTAGAGAACAGTCTAAACAGTAAAGGGACACAAGAATCTCAACTCTATATCAGCTCATCTGTAAAGCATTGTTTGGGTTTTCGTCTTGATCATTGAGTTTACTTATGTTGAAGTTTGTTGCCTAGGTTGTAATTCTGCAGCCAACATTTTCTGTGAAGTTTCAAATTGAAGCTTTTTTGTAGACAAGCTGATTTCTATAAGCGTGTCTTCTTATGGCCTGTCAACAATGCTGACAGGATGCCAATACACTGTGAAATATCTTGCATTTAGGGCTGCACGATTTTGGCCAAAAATATTTTTTTGGGGTGAAAACTGATTTCGATTTTTTATTCAGTGACAACTTCAAACTTAACTTTAATAAGTTTTTCAATCATCTCTCAAAACAAAACCACTGAAAACGATGTAGTGCATATGCCAAGCCAGTAAGTGGTGCTAACGCTGCTGAGGAAATGCACAAAATATAGAAGAAAAGTACATAGCATGCGTATAAAGGTTGTTTTGGCTGGACACGCACAGCCGCCATAAAAGACTCATGCTGTGTGTCACATAATCATTTTGGGAGATGCAAATAGGAAGGGTTGATACCGCCTTCATACAGACTTTGCAGCAGGAAGTGGTTTGCTCTTCGTCCGAAACAGTGAAGTTGTACCAATTCCACACGACTGACTTGCTCTTGCCCCTTTTAGCCATGAAATTATCGCCTTCTTTTGCAAACGCCATGTTTGTTTACCATCTTTTATCTTTTTTCTTTTATCGCTGTCTTTTATCTCTCATCTCTTATCTCTTTTACCTCTATCTTACCTTGGCTTTACTGTCTTTTTAGCTTTTGTTAAACTTGTACTCTTTTCTTAATTGACCTTTTAGGCCTTTTATTGTTTTATCTCTCGCTCATTTCTGTTGCTCTATTTTATCATTACTTTTATTATCAGGATTACCTGTTACTATTTTATTATCATTGTTGATATTGCCTTTTATATTTACTATCTTCTTTCCGCTTTCGCCCCCCCTTTTAATTGCATTTTCCTTTTTTCTTAACTATTTTATGTTTTAATTTTGGTCCTCATGGTCTCATTATATGTTGCATGGTTCTTGTATTGTCTGGGTTCCTTATGACATGAAAATGGCCTTCAATTCCTGTTTTAACTGAGCTTTTTAGTTTTTATTTGTCTTTTTCCACGTGCTCTATGACTACATGTCACAGCACTTTGTAAACATCTGTTTTTTAAAAGTGCTATACAAATAAAGTTATTATTATTATTATTATTATTATTAGTAGTAGTAGTAGTAGTAGTAGTAGTAATAGTAGTAGTAGTAGTAGTATTAGTATTATTATTGTTTACACTGGTGTGTGTGGGAACTGGGGAGCCAATGGTGGCCTGGAGGCACAAGACATAATAGAAATGAAAATTGATTTGACAAATAAGATTTTTTTTAACATCATATAATCCAATTATGATTTAAATTCGATTAATCCTGCAGCCCTACTTGCATTATTAACATCCATAAGCTAGCAAATTTCCTACTGTTGATACATTCACCAAAATACAAATAAAAAAAATACGAAGACTCCACCTCATCTATTTTGAAAACAGCCATACTTACAGTTTTCATTACCTGTTCATGTCTTTTGGGATCACTTCTGTGTGATTCTTCCTATTTTTTTCACTGAACTGTGAGACTGCAAGATCAGGTGTATTTAAGATGTTGTGGTGAGATTATTCTCACACAAAACATGCTCTCCTCAGAGAACCTTCTGCAGACTGTAAATCCAGTCTCAGCTCGGGCTCAGGGTGTGAGTCTGTTCAGGACTACCAGTGTTGGTGAAGTGTTAGCTCCGTATGTCACTCTGTTTTGTTGTCTGCATATGCATCTGCCTGTCCCTCAGTATTGCTCTTGGTATTTCAAACCCCAGATGGATGCATGCAATTAGATGTAATATGCTACAAACGAAATGTCAACACACTGCCTGCTTCAGCTTTAGCTCTCATTTGTTGCTGCTATCTTGTCTGCCTGAATGAGCCCGTCTCAGTGTGAACATGGACCATTAAACTCTTCTCATTAAAGTAAGGATGGCTTCTATTTCTCCTATTTGTCTGTAGCCACTTCAGCTCATGTGTTAGAAAGCACAAGGATGTACAGCCTCAGCCGCTGTGGCTTTTCACAGCGTTATATGAGTGCATGATGCAGGCTTTGTGTCCTGTGATAAAGAGGTAGTGGTTTGAATACACGTGCACAGAAAAGGAAATACAACAGAGCTGCTCAGCTGATTTAGAAAAACTCAAATCACTAAATATCCTTTGTGCGGTGCAGAAATGTCTCATCAGCATCACAAGCTCTCCTTGCCCATTCAGCAGTAAAAACAAAGCCTCTCTGAGGTAGTTTGATGTTGTCAATGCAACCTGGGGAAGGATTTTTGATTGAATGGCTCCCCCAGCCAGTGAAACAAAAGACAAGGACACAGAGTGAAGGGAAGTGATGCGTAGGCCTGTCATCTTCTGTAGCTTCTCTCTCTCCAGGGAGCCAGTTAAACACACAGCCGAGCAACACTATTCAGGCAGCACGGCTCAGAGTTGGAGGCAGTGGGCTGCAAACAATGAGTAACATTTGGGTGCAGTCATTTTGCACAATCACAACCAGTACATGAAATGCCAAAATGGGAGGCATAACTTACTCTGGAGGTGGAGAATATTTGTGTATGATTGAGGCCACTTATCAGAAAATGGACGGCCTTTATCTCAGAGAGGATTTATGTGGTATTATACAGTTTATTACAGTAATGCTCAAGTAATGCAATGTGTTGCAGTTTTAAATCAGCATCACATCATAATCCCAGAGCTGTAAATGTTGTTTTATGGCCGTCATCCTGCTTCTTTTTCATCACTTTTGAATTAAGTCTTGCATCAGTTTCTTCTTCGCTCTGCATGGCCTGAAATACAAACTGTGTTACACTCTGGCTGCAGCTCAGCCTGAAATGGTGGAAGGGCAGGTATTTTTGCCTTTGGCAGCACAAATGCTTTGTAGTGTGAAAATTGCAGCAGCCTCCAACACAGGAGAGATGATAGGTTATCACAGACACACTTCTCTCGCTCGCTCCAATTCACGCTCACCAGCATTTTCACGAATCGGTGGTAGAAACCACTGAGAAACACTAATAATATCACCACTCTACAACTGTGCTGGCTGCAATAACTCATGATCATCCGAGAGGGACCATTTGTTTTCTGAACAAACTGTTCACATTTAACTGATTCAGGTTTGCGCTCTCCTCAAAGTCACTTCAACTTCATGAGGTTTGTTCTTATTTGGATATGTAAGGACTGCAAGCTGTGAAGAGTACTTCCTTGAGTTAGTTTATCTTTAATGATTTATGATTATCAAAGGACTTGTGCATGCTGCTTTTTAGATTCTGGTCAAATTTTGAGTCTGAATTTACAGTTTTTTGTTATTTTTTCTGGCTGCTTAGTCTCTGGAAACAAGCATTGAGAGCAACACTGACATATCACCCTTTTAGCTGACATGTTGAGCATTTCTGAAAATAGTCACATGTGAAAATATCAAGCTGATACACAGCCACAATTTGTACTTTTTTGATGGAGCATGTGTCTGCCAAACAGGTGCATATGAAGTCCAATGTAGTTTCATTTTGCTCAGTAACACCTCCAGAAATATCTGTATTCTTGGCTGCTGAACCCATCAATTAATCAATCTTTAATTAATCAATACAAGGTGCTTAAAAAGCTAGTCTAGACCAGACCCTTTTTTATAAAGACTCAATGTAAAGATGGGATCAGACTGAGCTCTGTCCTGTTAGATCAGACCAACTCCCATCCACCTTCAGCCACATGAGTGAAACTCTTTACAGCATTTAGAGAGTTAGACTGGAGAGGAAGAACTTACTTTAACAGGCAGAAACCTTGAACAGGACCAGATTGATGTTGGACAGTCATCTGCTGAGACTGAGCTGGGTTTAGAGAGGACAGAGAGAGAGATGGAGAAAGAGAGAGATGGACAGAGGAGAGATTGATGCTCATTGTTGGAGCAGCTGGAAAGCAGACAGGTCAAACCTCAGCAGCGATCGAGAGGCACGGGTGTCATGATGGAGGTCAGGGACCCCCAGTAAAGACTGCGTATCAGTGACTGTAATGGCACATGATGTTGTTTACAGTTAATAACACAGTAGGAACGAGGTTGGAGAAGGAGGGAAGGGTGCTCCATGTGTCAGCCCCCCCAGCAGTTTAAATCAGCTCTCATTCGTCAGCTGGTTTTCAGATTTATCAGTCTGTGCCTTGAGTTCATCTCTAAAGTCTAATTTCTGTATTTCTTTCTCTTCTTTTTTCATTTTAGGCAAGTATGTGTACCAGCCCATGACCAATGTGTGCCAGCTGCCCAGCACAACCGTGCCGTCTGTCGACACAGAGTACAGCAACACCATGGACCTGTCTGTATCTCTGGCTGAGCGCTTCCTGAAGCTCGCTCCCTGTTTCCAGTCACCCCCTCACCTGGAGTCGCCCAAGTACTGCGTCATCGCTGACCTGTTTGTAGACGACTACATTGTCAAGCGTATCAACGGGAAGATGTGTTACGTGCAGCGCCCCCCGCCTCCTTTACCGGAACCCCCTCATGCTCCAACCCCTCCCCCACCTGCTCCCCCAACACCGCAGAGGCCCCAGAACCCCACTCCTCAGCCTCGACAACCAGTGAAGCCGGCACCACCAACCCAGCACACAGCTGCGCCCGCACAGCCGGTCCAGCAGACGTACAGTGAACACAAACACCCGTCTCCTGTGGATAAAATCAAAGGCCCCAAAATGGACCACTGCTCCTCTCCGTCCAGCTCAGAGGACTCAGGCATAAATGCGCTGGGTCTGCATTATCTGGAATCCTGTGAGGAGGAGAGCGAGGAGGAGGAGGACGAGGAGCTGAGCACGGATGGGAACTCCAGCCCCGGGAGCCTCTGGGACCAGGATGATTGCTCTCTGCTGTCCCCCTCGAAGTCTATGATAGAGATCATCGAAAAGATCGAAACAACTGTGTAACTTACATCAACACGGATATTGCTGTGAAGGACCTCGATCTAACAGAGCAGCATGATTTAACTGAGAACACATCCTGCAGGTGGCTGAGGACTGTCCGTCTGCATTCCCACACAGCCTCTCCTCTGTCCAGCAACCCTGCATGGAGTGAGTTTCTCAAACTTTTCAGAGGTGAAGGAGGAAGCACAGGAATAAAAAGCACATGCACAGTGGACCAAAAAGAGCTCTTGTACATGGTAATTACACGGTGACAAATCTGAAATACAAAAGGAAATATTATAGAAACACTTACATCAGAGGAAAGTGAGAAAAAGTGACTTTTTCTGAGACTTTTTTCAAGCATACATTACTGGAGCTAAATTATGTATAAACAAAGAGAGGTATAAGTGGGTTTGGTGATGATAATAAGCAGTTTGGGGTTTCCTGGTGTTCTCCAGTCATCAGTCTGGTGTTCAGACTCTATTTTAATTCGACATTTAAGTGGCAGATAGAGCTTGCCATTTCTAGCTCTCTGGCCAGTGGCTCCACCCACACCTATTAGTAATTCTGACACTTCAGCATAATAAGTACAAGGCCAGCTACCTCTCATGGGCCTAAAGCACATCAGCCCTTTTACCCGTGAATTACTCAGCTCTGAGCAGCAGCAGGGACACAGCTGCTTTTATCACGTTATTATTATAATAAAAGATTCCAGGCCCTCAGTTAGTCTGCACTTTACTGACACTAACACACACACTAGGTATAGGTAGGTCAGTGTTTGACAATCAAGGATTACACAAAAGCACATTCCCACACTGTACCTGCCAGTGAGCACCACGGATGCTTTTATACAGCTTCTTAAACCATTTGTCAGACTTTGAAACACTGTTCTGACCAACTTTTGTGGTCACGCTGTACTGAAGTGCAGCGCTGCTCGAGGATAAATGAGGCATTAAGCGAAAACAGGATTTGATTTGAGCTGTAATGTCAGGACTTGAAGAGCATGGACCAGTCTTCAGCAGAGCTCTAACGACAAAAGTAGGAGTTAGTTTAGTGATGGGAAGAACACTGAGTCTTAAGAATCCATTCATTAAAATGATTCGTTCAAAAGGTTCATTCACCAAATCAGTCAGTGCTTCGGAGCCCTGTCGTGCCAGGTGCAGTACACGAGTGAGTGACACAGCGGCGCTGATCGGGAGTTCGTTCATTGTACAAACCCCTCCCCCGCTGCTGAAGTCATAGCGTTGTTCACTGGGTGACACATGTTGTTCATTCGCCAAGTCGTGAAGGAAGAATCACTCCCCTGCCCTGAAAAACTCACCTCTCTGTGTGCCGCCGACGTTCACATTGCGACGTGAGTGAAACAACACAGCAGCAAGCAGCACGCCCACTGTGGAGTGGTTAAAGAGAAATAAACATTGCAGCTGTAGTGCGGATTCTGATACTTTTAAAGATATCAAATCGTGTATTGCTTTAAATCGGCTGAAATTAAATCCTTCTTGCAGGAAAGTTTATAGACATGTATTAATGTAAAGGCACTATAACGCACTGTTTTATCTTAGCCTATGTTCATCCTCACAGTGAACAAACCGGTGCTCGGCAGTTTGTGAACGATGCTATGCCCCTCCCTCCTCTGCCTGCCTCAGTTGGTCGGAAGTCGTTCGTTTCGTTCACAGTTTGACCGACACATGCGGTTCATTCGCTGTGAGCAAATCACAAGACTTCGCCCGCCCTCTTGCTCGCTGGCTGGCTGTGTGTCATTCACAAGTGAGTCAGAGGCAGCAGTTCCACTCCCGACCGGCACGCCAATTTGCGGCTGAGCTCAAATGACCTGAGAAAGGAACAAATCAGGTCTTGAAGTGATTCAGTTCACATTGTTGTTAACTCAGCAGTTCTGGTCTTTTGAACGAATCGTTCAAGAACGACACTAAGTTACATTGTCATGGCAAAACTTTGTAGGACACTTAGTGAAGGAGGGATCTTCGTAACATATAGATATGAACTTGATAATGAAACTGCATTCTTACGTCCTTCTCCAGGCTTGAGGGTGAGATGTCCTGTGTTTCCAGGTGACAGGGGAGTCTGGGAAAAGGTGTGCAGGCTAGGATAGATTAGTATGTCACAGTTATTTTGTGCTATGGGGCGTAAAAGTGTCACTTAATGCACCTTTTAAAGGAGATTGCAGTATGGAATAGGATGCTGAGTAGGTGTTGTGATGTTGTGATGGACATGATATTAGAAGAAATGCACCTCATAATCCGATACGTGAGACAGCCCCTTATTAGTCAGGTAGTAAAGTGAAGATGGGCTCGGTATTTTATTTTGTATCTTTAAATGTTTGGAGCTGTTATTTCCTGAGCTGTTATCTGCAAAAATCACCATAATATTCAGAATTATTGCTGCAAAGCTGCACAAGATGTAAAAATATTTAAAAAAAGAATAATTATGCATGACTGCATACATTTGCAGAAGTCCCTTATGTCCAAGACTAATCTGATAAATTTAGCTGTTCAAAGAGCGGACAAATTGTTCATCTGTTCATCAAATGAAATGATTTTCATTCAGGGACAGCCTCAACATTACACCCACACACAGTCCCTCCTAATGCAGTTTAAAAATGTCTTCTGTTCTCATTATTGTTATATTATTTTCATATGAATAAATCTCAATGAAACATTACTTCTTCTGTGTCTTTTGAAATGTGTGGGCATTTACTGTCGACAGAGGTAACGCCGGAGCTTTCTTCTGAAAAGCACTCAAACTTCTACTACCTGACACACAGATGACTAATGCTCTCCAGAGATTGGGCGGCATGGCAAAGTAGAGTGAGAGATAAGCTAAAATTGAGTCATTACTTTTCACTGTGCTTGTTTGCTTCCTCTGAAATGTCTTGAGAATTGTTCTTTGTTGTTTCTCACATTCCCTCTTTTGTAACCTTTTCTTTCCTGTGACGCAGCAGCAGTGGAAAATCACACAGAGGCAAGAGAAAAATCAAACCAAAGCAAGTGCAGAAGTTAAAACTCAAGACCTCTGACCTTTTGCCATAATTGTAATCTTGCATTTAAAGAAAAAACAACACAGGTTAGAGACCTCGCTCTTCTTTTTTTTTTCCAGATTTTGTGTTGCATCTGCGTTAATGAGAGATTTGCAAGTGTCTCACCTTGACTCCCAGCCCAGATTGATTTCCCCTGTTTCTCTTGCAGAGTGTCTATTGATTATTCGTACTCCTCTAGCGCACAAAGAAAAACCGAGGCCACGATGAAATGCTAATCAGTTGATATAAACGTACATTCATTGTTCTGCTCGGTCATGAAGAGGAGGAGTGTGCAGCTGACTGCTGCTGCTGGAGAGCCTGCATGACAAAGCAAGAGTGGGAGACAAGAGAAAGAGTAAAGTGGAGAAGACAAGAGAAGAGAATAAAAGGCGGAGAGAAAAAAGTGGGAGTGCATGGAGGGAGTGAAGCGTGAGCAGAGCAGAGCAGAGGAAGTGCAATTAAAAGGATGATGATGCAAGCACATGCAAAGTCTTTGGAGGGACTGTATGTGTGTGTGTGCAGTCCAACATTTTGAAATAATTTCAGATTTTTTTCAAGGGCTTCAGACAGATCTCATGAAGAGATAGATTTGCTGTAACTGTTAATCCCTTGCAGCAAAGTCATTCAACTGGCAAGCACCTTGAGCAGTCCACAGCTCCCACTCATACACACACACACATATGTGCACTCACACTCAGTGGATGATACACACCAAATCAAAAAACGCCCTTGTACAAGGACTGCTTCACAAGTTCAGCTGGAACAGCACGAGTCACAGGAGCTGTAGGGAGATGTTGTCGGTCGTCCTTTTTTCCCTTTAGATGTGAGCACAAACACATTACCTTCCTGAGGAGGTCTCCTTTTAATTTCAGACAATTGCCTCCTCTCTCCAGGGGCCACTTATTAGAAGAACAAAACTCAAATATTCAGAGGAGATTTTAAGTGGCAAAATGAAAACACGGCGTGCCAGCACTGCCTCACCTGAGTTAGAGAAGCGTAAGTAATCAAGTAAACAGATTTTCTCATTTCGTCTGCTCATTAAATTGGCCTAAATGTAATGCAGGGAGATGCAGACAATTTAATACTCACAGAAAGGCGTATCATAAAAACTAACCCCTAATGTTTGTGCATAAGAGTCTGCAGGATGAGGGTGAGTGTCTCTCCGTACTCAAACTGTAAGAGCTAAACTTGTGTTAGTAAAGACCACAAGGTTTTGTCCAATTATTCAAACCAGCTAGTGATTGGGGCTACACCTGAAACCATGAAGTTACTCACCACTGCCTACCTGGTTTAATGGCCCATTTAATGAGTCCAAAAACTTTTAGACTTAACTTGCTGTCCCACCGAACACCTTTAATGAGCTCATTGTTGCTGCACTAAAACAAGTAGCTCAACACCAGGATTGTTATCCAATTTTGTCTCAAGTTTCTGCAAAAGAATAACATCCTGAATGTATTTTCACATAATAGTTAAATACACAAATAAACAACACAGTATTTTCAACAACATATTGAGACCTTGATTTGACTTTGTTATTTTGAATCTTGAAAGCAGGCAAGTACGTCCTGTCTCTCAGGAGGAGAACAACAGGAACATCTACTCTTGGGAAATCCTGTACTCTTTATGAAGCTGTATATATGCCTCTAAACATGAACCTTTTCTGTCGACTTCCTTCTTCTATCTGCCTCTGCTTACTGTACGCCAATGCATGATAGCGTTTATTGTTTGGTTAGTGTCCAAGGTTAAAAATAAGGCCAACACAGAAGTGCAAAACACTACAGATTCTATAGCGTCCATTTGAGGCCGGCTGCAAAAGCCAAGGCATTTATATGAAAATGCTCAACTCTGCAGGAGAAATAAACTAAAAACGATTTACTGTCTGGTTAAAAATAAGCTTTGGTGTAGCTTATTTATACACAATCAGCTTAGATGGTGTTTGCTGAAGTTCTTCATCAATTTTTGCCTATATCTAGGTCAATGAAAAGTTCGATTGAGTCAACATTTCAAACTGTTAGGCTGCAAAATGACCACCAGGTCTACTGTCACAATGTACCCTGGGATACAATGAGTCTGCTAGAGGGTAAAGTGATTCTTTCCAATAGTATGGACAGTTCTATAAAATGGAGTAGTCCCTCTCCAGAGAAGTATGTAGTATGTAGTGAGCAGTGGGTGATATCTTATTTAGATTTTCTTTACAAACTACGTCTTCTTTTGTCTATCTGAGGTGTTTACAACAAGTATTTAACAGTTTCTGAGCGTCAGTGTGAGCAAAAGAATGTCACAAACACAATCAAACAGTGACTGATTATGGATTTCTACCCTTAAAAAAATAGTAAAAATAAAAAAGTGCTTGAAAAAAAGCAGAAACTTCCAAGTACAAAACAGATTTTTAATAGTGGTAGGAATATGACTCATACATATCAAAACTAGCACACTAATATTAAGAATATTTTTATTACTTTGTTATTATGAGACTGGTGTGATGAGGAAAAGGTCCTCAAAGTTTCTGAAGGGAACTTTTAACCAGATTTTAAAATGTATCTTGCTTCTCCTGATATGTCTGTGTCACCTACAACAGCAAATGAGCCCATCAGAGGAGAAATAAGATATTTTTAAATAGTGTAACTCCTCCTATCAAGATTCATTGGTCGGGTCTGCCCACTGACGAAATGATTTACGGCACACAGGTCGGAGGTTACAGTAGTTAGAGAGGGACACCAGAGGAGCAGTGAGGGCAAAAAAGAGGATAGACATTGGTTAATTCTTCTGCGAGGTGGAGAGAGTTGCTGGGCTTGAAGGGATTCAAGTCAGATCCTGAATTTGCTGAATTCCCCCTACACAGGTAGCTTAAGCTGCACTTTTTTACACCGCTGGCTTATTGATATGAATATATAACCAAGGAAAGCTAACATCTTAAGCTCAATATATTAATCTGCAGCTGAGTTATCTAATCTGTTTGTTGTAGGTTTACTGTAATGAATGGGACGCAACTTTGGGCTAAAAATACAAGTCACAATAATACAACATTAGTTAGTTTCACAGGTGGCATATTATATTTCATGGAAATGCAAATATATACATTATCTCATCGCTACGCATCCTGCAGATAGCCAAAAAACAAACAAAAATAAATTTAATGTACCAGTAAGTCCCCTCGTTTCATTTGCCTCCAAAACAACTACATGCCAGCCCAAAGACCTTGTAAGTGTCTTCACAACAGTATTCGCAAGAGCTCATGGGAAATGCAGTCATCATCCCGGCAAAACATCACCACTTTTGTCCAAAGTGGCCTCCAAAAGCAACGGAGAATGAAAACTCCATTCAGCTGCTTTAGTAATAAATAATAATGTAGGAATATGCAAACCAACAACATATTCATGTAACTCATGTTAAACGTCACCTAAGTCTGAATTTTTGTTATAACCACACCCATAAAAAACACGGTGCATGGTGCATTCATGGTCTGAATGAGGAGCAGTAAAATTAAAAACCTTACATCGAATACATAGAAAATATGATTTGGTTGAAATCAAACACTTTGAAGCCATTTAAACAGAGCTTTAAAGGAGGAAATGGGAGGAAAGGGTTAATGTAGTTTATAATTCGACATCATAAAAGTCTGTATCAGCTTCCAACAGGGGACCAGCAGGATATTACAGGCAAACAGCTTCCTTATATAGCCACTCCCTAATCTGAGACATCCAGAGCCAAACTTCACAGCAGCACTCTATTTCAAAAGGGCCATTGATAAGTCCAATTTACAGCTTAATGTCCTGGTGATTGGGCTGATGCAGCGTCAGGCAGGTAACAGGGGAACCCACCATCAGACTGCTGATAAACAATCAGACACATGGCATTGCCTTGGCAGAGCTCGATGGGTGATAGGTTTCTGATAAGCTCTATAAACGCCAGAGTGTCACCTGGAGTGCAGCCCTGCTCTCCCTGCCTGTAAAATATTCATTACTTTTTTCCGTCACTGTCTGCCCTCATCTTAGAAATGAATTTAGAGCACTTTTTCCTCTTAGACACAGAGTGAGACTCTCCCCCTGCAAACTCCAGACAACAGCTTGGAGCTTTAGTTCGGGTAGACAAGGCTGAGTTTGAAAGTATTCCCCTTTGTTGCTCAAAGCTGCTTGATGATTCATCCTTTCACTACTTAAGCGAAAAGCCTCTGAGTGCTTTTTTTGGGGATGGCAAAACGACTCACATGGTACCTTAATGTGATTAGTTGGCTTTGTTGCCGTGGATTAGTCTGCATTAGATGATGATTCAGTGGTTGGGGGAAACACAGGATGGATGATCACATTTGCACATGAAATTTGCAACACCCGCAAGTTTAAAGCGGGGGACTATGGATTTTACCACCCATCTTTAACAATAATCCTGAATTTAATTGATTCAGATTTGCTCAGTATTTCCCCACTCTTGTTTTCTTGTTACTCTGCAGTTTCCTGGCTGTCGATAGTGTCCATTAGCGGGCAAAGTTTGTGGTTTCGTGCACAGACAGAAAGTCTGTATCCATCTTAATCACATCAAAGAGTCAGAGGATGTTGGGGATGCCTCTGCTCTCTTTCAACTTTGAAGCAAGGAAAGTCAATATGGCTGCCTTCTCTGGTGTCAGCTTTCTAACTTGATAAATCTTCTCTCACTTAACTTTCCTTCTTTTCTGTGCTCTTGATCATATGAAGCATGAAACAGGGAAATTAACCACTGTTGGTGTAGTGGGCAGATGTTATTCTCAGGGGTTTGTAGCAAAACAAGATTAATGTGCACGCTTGTTTTGATTCTCTCTTTTCTAAATCTCCTATTGAAGCTGTACATAAGAGTAAGTGATTTATTCTGAAAAGAGCGCGTCAAACGTATTTTGACATCAAAGAGCCATGGTCCTGGACTGGCACTTTAGATAAGGCTCTTTTTATTCAAATATCACTCAGATATCCAACAGGATGAAAAAAGTAATTTCTCAGTGGACATGGCGCTTCTGCGGCAAGGCTGTGTCTACAACTCAAAGGTCAGAAAAGCTAAAACCTCTCAAAAAAATTCCTCATAACACAGGTGGCCTGAGTTTCCACTGAGGGTTTATAGTGATTTGAACTCTTCTGGCACACGTACGGCAGCTTTATATCAAGTCAATTGGAGGTCCCAGTCCCCCAGCATGCACAGAAACTCTACATTCATGATAGAGAAAGAGACACACTGAAAATGTAATAAAGTCAGCATTCTGTGTGTCTGCAGCAGTAAGGCTGATTAGTATCACAGTCTACATTCCCATGATTGATGTCGCTTTAGTCCTCTTCTACAATGCTGTGGACAGATGTGACTCTCATCTGTGAGAGTATTTCATAAGGCTGCCACTCAAAAATGGTATTGTCCTTCTCTGTTTAATATTTTCTAAAGGGTTGCCCAAAATAGAGGGAGAGAACTAGGCCAGCACTGGACCCAGATTGCTCCTAGCAGATATGACAGAATAAAATATGGGACGTAAGCTTTCTAAATCTAAACGCCTGCTGCTTTGAGCATCAAAAGCATTGGTCTCAGGGGAATTATTGCATTATGAGATCTTAGCCATAATGGCACCCCCAAGACCAGCTTCCTCTGGTCCATTAATGTATGTGGAGATCTGTGTCCTCTAGAGTCATCCAATAAAAATCAATACTAGATCTTCTAAGTCGAAACAAGCTCTGATTCAAAGTTTTAGAAAATATCAGTATATATAACAACCAACCCACACAAAATAAGTGTTTCATACTGAGATGATTGGCACCATTGGTACTCTTGAATCTTGATACTATGAAGCTGCTCGAGTTGTTTTTTTCTCAGCTGAAGTCAAAGCTAACCTCTGTATTCACCATTTTATTTATACAGGGATGAGCATGGCCTATGTGTTGCTAAGGAAGCAATTTTGTTAAAAAAAATAATAATGGTGTTTTGAGAGGCAGTGAGTCACTTTAATGGCTAAAATTGGTGAAGGAGATACACATCAAACATGTTTTTGAATGTAGCTAAAACCAACAAACAGCTTAGTTATGAAGACTGGAAAAAGGGGATAAGGCTAGCTACATACTGTATATAATAATAAAAATAACAATGCATTAGATTTTATGTAGCGCTTGTTATCAGAGACCCCAAAGCTCTTTACATCGGATACATCATTCATTCACTCACACAGTCACACCTTGGTGGTGGTAAACTATTTAAGTACTCACAGCTGACCTGACCTGACGGAAACATGGCTGCCAGTTTGCGCCTATGGCCTCTCCGACCACCACCACACAACACTCACAATCATACACCAGTGGAGGACACACACTGGGAGCAAGGTGGGTTGAGTGTCTTGCCCAAAGACACAACGAACAGACTAGAGGTAGTGGATATTGAACCGCCAACCTTCCAGTTTTTGGACGACCGCTCTACTCATTGGTTATCTTGTAAACAAATCTTCCTGTCTCACACATCAAGGGATCTATTTTCGTGTTTCGCCAGAGACGTGGCACAGGCGCGGCGTAAGTCAGGTCCGCTGCGCCAACAAGGCGTTCCCAAGCACGATTTGGTATTTTGGTGAGCGGCGCAGCCCGGCGTAAGTATCCCCCCCTTCCTAACTCGGCTCCTCCCAGTGGCATAAGTCGTAGCACGGGAGGAGAGAGGGCGTGGAGTGGATTTAACACAGCCGAGACCTGTATTGACCAATAACATCAGCTCCTCTCCTCGCCTTTAAATCCGCCACCGGCAAGGCTTATTACTATTTCCGTGAAGTAGTCAAAGAGATCAAGAGATGTTAAAACATATGTATACCAGGCGGTAAGCATGTTTAATTTTGATGTAAAAATTAATTTAAATTGATGGGATTTATGGTCAGCCTCATGTAGACACTTGAGAAACTTCTCTACTGAGCTTCATTTTTCTAACCAAGACACGACACATTCAAGGTGTTCTAACCAATGTACTATTCTTGTGCTTCTTTGTGGTATTTGCTCCAGATAACCTCTAAATTGCATCAGTGAGAGTGTACAGTGTAGGTCTACTAAAGGTTTCTCACACTCAGTCTCAATTCATGCTCCTAGAAACACAACATGAAAAAAGTACAGTGTATAATATGTCCTCAGCTCAAAACACAAAAAAACAGTCCAAAAACACTGGCTGCAGTAAGACATGATGCTAACATTGAACAAAAGGCAATCAAAATCCCTCAACAGGACAAAAAAACAGGTGAACAGCAATCAAAATCCCTAAACAGAAGGACATGCAAGACAAAAACCAGGTGTACAACACCAACGACCCGGCAGCAGGAAATAAGACACACTAATTTGTGTCTGAAAAGAGGCCTGGCAGCCAAAGAGGAGGAAGAGGAGCGTCAAACAGACATGTCTGATTAAGCACTGAGTAAATGGACCTGCTGGCTGAAGCAGATGAGGACCGGCAGATGGTTTCCACACTGAGGGGCTGTATATGCTGTGGCACACTATGCCACTCTATACGGCCCCTCAAAAAAACCTCCTAAACTAGCATTGCAGCGTGGACCCCTGCTCTGGCCCCATTCTCATCGCCTCGGCTAACACCATTAGCATGTAAATGACAGCTGAGCCTCTTGGCTGCCCTGTGGGTGCTGATAGGCCGCAGCAGACCTCCAGTTTCCCGGTGCATTAATATCATTTTCTTCATTGTTATGGGATTATGTGGGGGTTGGAAGCTGGATGTATGGGGGTCAGGCTTGCTTGATTCCCGGTATGAATATTAAAGATTGTTGCATCTGAGACATTCACACCACTTCAAAAGGCTAAAGAGGAGGCAGCTGAAGAGGAGGAGGCTGAAGAGAAGGAGGCTGAAGAGGAGGCAGCTGAAGTGGAGGAGGCTGAAGAGGAGGCAGAAATAAATTAAATAATTATTTTTATTATGTGTGGTGGTATACAAACAAAGATTGATCGATTTACACTCCATAGACTGATATGAAGAATGACAGCATTCCCATTTCTACACTATGAATCACTGCTCAGACTGCCATGTCTAAAATTGCGGCTATTGTTTTTCACATCTCTTGAATTTTATAATGTTGTGTAGATGTATTTGTTTTTCCAGGATGTTCGTGAAATAAAAATATTAATTAAAAAAAACCAATAAATTAATAATTTATTTAAAAGGCCTTAAATTTTTCATGCCAAATTTTGTTTGCTGCGGCATATTGTGCATGAGATTATATGACGCAGCAAACAATTGTTTTTGGAAAACTGTACGGGTCACTTGCGAGTGAAGTGAAGATAAAAAACTTACACTGAAAATGGCAAATAGAGCTTGGGTTCTGTCTCTTCATGCGGCAATTAAATTGCCACTGGTGATGCAATGCATGACGGGATGCCCACCACCGGTGCGTGACCATCGGATGGTCACTACATTTTGCAATGCTTTATGGGAAATTTTGAGTCGCCTATATGGGGCACTGGAATTGATCACCCAGGTTTCAGACACCCCTCAAAATGGCGCTAACCCCCATATGATCGCCTATATAGGGGTTAGGGATCCATTTCAGAAACTGCCTTAGAAAACGTATATCAGCCAAAGGTCACAGCTAGTCTCTCACTGATGCTTTCTCCCAGCCCCAAAGCTCACTAAATACCACTCTGTTCATTTCTTTGATAAGTCTAAAATCAGATATATCAAAATCAACCACTGGGTTGCATGTTTAGTTCAGCCATCAAAGTGTATCTACTGAGGCTATAGGCTATAGTGCAGCTCCGAGTGGATCAACTCCCAACCATGCCCATTTACTGCATGACACTCCCCACTTTTTCCTCCCATTATGACATGTTCTCTTCTATCAAATAAAGAGGAAAACATCTTTTAAAAAATGGTCCATTAGTTGTTTTCCTGCTAAGCTAATCAAATGGTTTTGGGCTTTAGTATCTGTTTACGACTCCTGGCACAAAAGGATGTGTTATTTTCTGCTATGTTAAATAATTCACTAAAGCTGTACAAATGATCAGTTAAAAAGCTCCAGATAAAAGAAAAACAAGCACTGCTTTGCAGCCACTTTTTCTTTCAGGAGTTATACCCAAAGGATCCAAAAATCTATCTTTGTAGTTCTTCTTTCTGTTCAACATTAACATCAAATAGATACTGCAGCACCATCAATGAGGAGTTTTTGTGTTATATTCTTTTATCATTTAAGTCAAAGCCTGATACTGATCTGCATGCAGCTATTGTTGATTCTTTCACATTTGACACTCCAACTATGTCCTTATTTCTCGCTCCATTTCCTGCATTTCCCCACTCCATGTTCACTTCGGATTTTTGTGCAGCACATTTAACATCCTGAGTACAATTACAATAAATTCAATTAGTTGCTGAGTGTTACATGAGTATTTTTAGCCAAAGGCTGCAATGCTGTATCAAGCAAAATAACAGGCATGGTGCTACTGAGGCATATGCAAATACAAAACACAGGCACACTGAAAAACTACATGAATATCACATCCTGCACCCACCTCGAATCAATCCAGGACAAACACTCACATCCATATTTAGTATGCAGAGCTGGGGAGTTGTTAAGTTGCATTAGCCAGGTTATTTTCGTATGGCAAAATCTGCATTGACTTTTATTTGACCTCATCTCACATCTTGAAGTCGCCTTCCTTTGATCAACCTCTTTTACTCTCCTGTCCTGACATCTGCAGCCATCCAGCTGATGTGCCCTGACTACATCCACCCCACTGCCTGCCTTCACTCAAGTTTCCTTCAATTTCAACACCCACACTGTTTAATCTTCAGGTTACTAAAAGTCAGATGATAAACAAACCGTGATTTGATGTAGAATTGTTGTTGGCATCCTGATCGAGGTGTTTTCAGAAGTTTAGTTCACCTAAGAAAACCTTCACTGTACTTTTACTTGTCTGATGTCTGCAACCTTCAAAGTAGCTTTTGCACTTCTGCAAGGCAGCACTGTGTGCACATACTCACTCACTCACTCTCACAGAGGTGTAAATTCGTGGTCTTTGCAATAACCATTTAGAGCTGTAAAGGGAAGGGGAGGTCAGTGGGTTTAGATCGCCTGTAGATACAGTACCATAAGCTTTTCTCAGTGAGTGCCTTTATCCTCTGCTGCTCTGAGCTTTCTGTGGCTGCACTAAATTATTTAACAGACAGCAGTCATCTGTGAGGAAACCCAACAGACTCTCCTCAGGTCCCCCGAGCCCCCAAACAGGCAGACGGGCAGCTGGGGCAGCACTGCCGGAAATAACATGGCAGGGAGATTTGGCTGCAGCGCCGTGAACACACGGCTGGTATGTGGTTCAGAGATTCCTGCTGAAAATGAAGCTGATGATTGCAGTGAAATCGAGTCGAGGTTTCCAAGCAGATGTGCTCATGCCAACCTGGGAAAAACGGCCTCTTCTCTTGGAAAGCGCAGGATCACAGTGGAGGGGATGGCTGTGTGTCTAAAGGGCATTTCAGATTGGTGGGTCCAAACAAAAGAGGCTCAGTACTTGGCTGCTTGTTGGCTCACTGCCAGCCTCGACTTCCCCACACAGAGACGCCTCTCCTCTGTTCAATGTGACAGTCCATCTCCTCTCATCCCCAGGCATGACCAATCAACCCTGAGGAGGCTGATGGATGATCTCTGAGTCCTCTCACTCCTGCTTTGAGCAACTCCTCGCACAAAGAAATTCACGTGTGCAGAGCCGTACAGTCTGTTTTTTTCCTGCACTTACCTGAGGAAATACAAGCGCACATATATTTGCACTTTAAATTTAGGAAGCTTTTGATTCAGCTCTCTTTCGCCTCCAGCCAAGAGGTACAAAAACTGCATGGGGGCTCTGTGTGCATCAGAATGTCTTACTCAGTACGTCTAAGTTGAAAGACTTTAACCTTCAGTGTATCTGTGGAAAAAGTAGACAAGCATGCAAATTGCTGAAATTAATGCGCTCTAATTAGATACAAATTCAAGATGACGGGACACAAAGTTTTACTCACCATTGCACCTCCACGTGCACACATGCAGACACGCTCTCCGTGTTGGCAGTGTGTCATTTCAAACTCCGAGCCAGGAGACGTCTGGTGAGCGTCTGGGGCCTGCTGTCATCTTTCTCGCTCCAGATAATCATCACTCATCATTTGGATCCATCCTGTCAAAGCAACCGTCTGTGTTTCCTCCATGCTCACTGACTCAGGCTGCAGGAATACATGATGCAAAGGTTTCTGTAGAGCAATAATGTAAAGCAGCTGATATTGACTCTGAACTGCCTCTGGCTCAGAGAAAGACACGCTAGATGAAGACTAAACTGTTTCAGTTGGCGCCTCTCATTTTTTTCTCTTAAATGCAAAAAGGGTTTTCTTATTCTTGTTTGCTTCCTCACAACACAGCAGCTCCAGGAAGGAACCTGTCAAAAAAGAGAAAAACACACAGTCCCCCTGTTTTAATGGCCCCTTAATTAATCTCCTTTAATTAAAAACACAGTGAAATACTCAACACATGCTGTTAGATTATGTTTTTTCCTTAATTAAGGTCTTATAATTTGCTCCAAGTGATATGCTGTTTACCCTGACAAATCTGGCCATATTTCCCAGGGTTGGCAGTGAGGCGATTTTTTTCTTCGAAGGAGTCAGGCTCATTTTGTTTTGTGGGTGACATCATGCGTTACTGCTGCTCATTGTGGAGAACAGACTCATGGGACCATTGTTAGAGGCTGTCTCATTTTCTTGCTGAAATCAAGTGAAACCAGGACTAGGAGGCTGAACAGGAGTGTGAAATGTCTGAATGTTGGATATTTCCACTCCTATGAGAAAGAGGCGCAGACCACACAGCATTTGTAGCATATGGGGAGATAATCTTTCTAATTTGGCTTCAGAGGATGCTATTTTAGAGGCTGATAAACCACAGTATAAGCTAACGGATGCGTCAGAATATCTAAAGCTAGATTCTGGATGTTGTAGTACATATAGGACCCAGTTACATCATGTTTCCTGTATGATTTAAGGGCATAACAGGAGGTACAGAGAGGTTTCAGCCTCACAGCAGGACCTCTGTTGTTCCTGTCAACAGTTCCGCCTGCATGGTGAAATTTGATGCAAGATTTTCCCCTCTTTATTTCCACACTCCATTACCCAATTTAATTCCCGTTTGTTTTCAGCTATAAGTCTTTCTGATTGATGCTCCCGTATTATTTTACATTATGGATCATTACAGATGTTCTTGTGCGCTCTGGATTTCACATGCTTACTTCCTTGGAGCTTGTAAAAAATTGGGTGTTTTTATGTTGTGTTGCTGGTATTTTGGGCAACACAACATAAAAACAACCATTTTGATATTTTGAAAAAGCTGTGACTATTTGAAGAGAAAGCTGGCTGAACTCCAGCTGTCTCTTCTTTCTTTCTTTTTTGTTCTCCAGCAACCTGCAAAAGTGGAAACACGACAAAGGAAAAGTTTCAGAGTTGGTAAATAAGAAAAGATTTTAAAAAGATGAGTGCCTCAGAGTTCAGCCTTTTTAAACTTGATGCATATCGGTATAACTTAAAAAACAAAATCACGACATGTTATGGCAATAAAAAATAAATAAATTTAAAAAAAGGCTAATCGGGTTTATTTAGGTGTTTTTTACTGAGCCCTGAAAGGGACATGAATGAAAAAATAAAAAAGGATCTTCTTAAGATCCTCTGTGAGCCTTCACAAAACTATTGCAAGATCTTGCAAAGTTGTCGAAGGGTTATAAGTAAAAAGATTATAGATCAGTGTATTTCTTTCGTGTTGAGTCAACCCAAATGATGGAACGTACGCACCCGTGGGAGAGGTTCACTGCATCTTTTCTGAGATTGGGCTCAGATAAAAACATATTGAATCAGTTCTGCGACGCAGGAACTGTTTTCTCATAAAACACAAGATATGGAGGACGAGTTGATAGGAGTCTTACGATCAAGGGACATCCCGAACAAGGACATTATGTGCATGCAAAGGGACAAGGTGGGCAGGAAATGAGTTCAAAATAAAAACTCAATGAAACTTGACCACGGATGCGTACGTTCCAATAGTACATTCCAATATTTTGTTGAATTGACACGAAAGTATTACACTGACCAATAACTCCTGAGACAAAGTTTGCGAGAGCTCGCAATAGTAATCCATCTCCCTTCAAGGGCTCGGTAGTTTTTTAATGGCAACCAATGAGTCTTCATTTCACTTTGTTATATTCACCAAATAAATGTCAGGGAACCACTACCACATCATCAAATTAAGGCGAGACGACACATGAGCAGTCAGATGATAAGGCAGCTTGTATTAGAGCCAACAGTTCAGACAGATTAACAGATTATCTAAACCACTGTATTTGAAAGTCAATGAAAGTGAACAAAATGCCCATAATGTTGGAAATAATCCCTTATTGCATGGGGCAATCTACGTCAGCCCATGACTACAGTAAGTACAGTAGGTCAAGGTTGAAGAGTCTTATAGGAGTGCAGAGCAGAACAGCTCTTTCTTAACACTGAACTGCTGGATGAACTCTGAAGGAAACGCCTCCCTGTAAAAACTTGTTTTAGAGGAGATGCAGCCGCTGTTTACTGTGTGGAGTTTGTTTAAAATCCACATGACTGTCTGGAGATTAGTGCTGTCAAGTGATTAGAAAAAAAATGAACTGATCGCAGGCTTTGTGATTAATAAATCAAGATGAATCACATTTTGGTTGCGTTACATCACAGGAGGACATACGACAATACCCTACTTTTAGACAGTTATTACGAACGGTTTGAATCATCTACTTCAGGGTGGTCACCTTTAAAAATGATGGACAAGGAGACCATTAGGAATGACGTCTGCACTTTGTACAAGCTAAAAACAGAAATGCAGAGGAGGTGACAGAGGTGACGTGGTGATAATTGATCGTGGGTGGTTGTTCTCTCAGGTGGAAAAGAATCACTCGTCTAGTTTGTGTGTTATGTGTTTTTAGTGTATTAGATTGTAATGAATCTGCATTAATCTTGAATGACTTATTCTTAATCAAACATAATTAATGGGTTCATTTATACTTTCTCCACAACAATGGCAACCTTTGAAAGTATTCCCTTTGGAAGAGTAATGTGAACAGGAAAATGTATAAAACCAGGAGAACCAGATTCAAGCAGTTGTGAGATGATTATTATATAAAACTTACAATTAATCTAGAATTTCCTTCTTATATAACAATAATTAAAAGTACAATAAAGACAGCTTTCTTTTTGAACTTTAAGCATGCCACTTAAAATTCAGTCAGCATATATTCAATAAAAACCCTGACAAAACCACAGCGCTCCGTGTTTGATGTACCCGTACCTCAGGTTAAAAGATGCTGAGCGGTGTCACAGCTACAGTTTGGTATGCTGTAGTCTCTCTAATTCCTCTCTTGGGGAGCTCTAAATTGGCATGTCATTATAGCTTAGGTGTCAGGACAGGAGTTCCTCTGTCTCGCTGTAGGGCATCCAGGTGCATAAGGCGACACACAAAAGGCAAACCGAGCTGTCCTTGGGCTGAGGAACGAGACATTTTTAACGTCGCTGAAGCCCTGCACCCTGCCTCTTTGAAAGTTGCAGGTGACTAATCTTCACTTGTCAAACAGACAGGTTAACTTTTTTATTTTTTTTAAACTGACACTTTGAAGGTCTCAGCTCATTCCCTTGACTCTTTTCCTGCAGAGTTCAGATGTTGCTGATTCATGGTGTCCTCCTGTCGAGAAAATAACTATAGTATGATACTTGCACTTTAAAAGCACGGTTTTGCCTGAAGGAATCAAGTCTCTGACTCATGACTTAGTCAAAGTCTTTGAAGGATATCATTAGCTGCTGCTGCTGCTGCTGCAAATGTCAGGTGAGAAATGATTTCGTGAGAAGGGACAGGAGAAGTAGTTACACCCCTGTTATGAGCTTTGATGAATCCATGCAAACCCTAATAAGAGTACATTGATTTTTACCTTGATCCCAAATTACAAGAAATTTTGCCGCTTAAAAAACAAAATACAACATGCTATGGCAAAGGGGAAAAAAGGCTAATCTGGTTTATTTTTGGTGTTTTTTTTATGGCAATCAATGAGTTTTCATTTCACTTCATTATAGTCACCCAGTAAATGTCAGAGAACTGCTGCCACGTCATCAAATTTGGAGCGACACATAAGCAGTCAGATGATAAGGCAGCTTGTATTAGAGCCAACAGTTCAGTCTGCACGATGCATAGAAGTTGTGCGCTCAAGTGTATCCCACTAACCTTTTCACCTCGCACCTTTCTGTCATTATATCACCAAACTGTGCAAACAGGAGGCTGACACTTTGGGGTGAAAGAGGAAGGTGTGTTGCGAAGAACAGAAAAATGCAGATGAATTGGCATCAGAACTAAAGGTAGAGGGGAACAGCAGGTCCCCACATGGCCCAGCCCCCTCAGCTGGCTTTGTTTCTGCATCTCCTTTGCAACAATTCAAAAGCAGCTTGCACAAATTAGACCCATGGGAAGGGGAACAGACCAGCGTGCGGAAAACTACTGTCACTCAGTCGGCCCTCTACTGAGGAAAGAAAGAGGAAGGGGGACACTGGATACACAATGTGCCCGAGTCGATGAATTGGCCACGAGGGAGCAGAAGCTGCTCCGCAGTGACACTTCTCACTTATA